TAGGCACGTGCCACCATCCCCAACCCAATCATTTTTGAAGTTTATATTTAAGGCAGTGTTACCTCTTCAGTTTAAAGAGCTAGTGAGCCCTTTATACAAGACCTCTTGTATATGAGACCCTCGTGATGGCAGTACATTGCCTTTTGAGTGTTGTACTAAAGGGGACAGAAGGACACTTTACCTTCTAGGGGCTCCTGTTTCATGGAACCCAGCACTTCCACTGGTCACATTGGGCCAAGGTGGAGAGTGTCATTTTGGCTGCCATCTGGACAGTTTGTTTGAGCTCAGCAAGGTTCCGGCTGCCCAGACTGGCTCCATCTAAAAAATTGCCCCAAACATCTGGGAAAATCCCTTGTTAGATGTATGTCTTGACTTTTTCAGTCAGAGATGTCTGCAGGGAAGCTTTCTACAAAGTACATTTGCATGGATATTCAGGACCTTAAGCCCTAGAGTTGATTTTTCTGTCTTGGGTGAGCTGGGATCCAAATCAGACCAGTGCCTGACACCTGTGCCACCTGCTCACCTCTCCCCATGGAGTGTTGGTGCCCCAGGGAGCGTGGGTTCACACCCAATCCATCCCATGCTCTTGATTATAGGGTCTGAGATGAAAGGGCAGACAGATGCCCTGCTCCATTCTTCTTCAGGAGTGTGCTGGCCATTCCACCCACTTCCTTTTCCACCGAGTTTGTTGAGTTACAAAATGAAAGCATGTTGGGCTGTTGATGGTGACAGGATGAGTAAACTGACTTGAAGAAGGAGTCATTGTGATTCTTCTTGTTGCCTCTGCCACCCAAGAGTCCGGGGTCTCCATGGAGGTGTCATCTCTGTAGCTGACCCACACACGGTTCTTTGTATCATGTCTGCTATTGTAAATGGCATTGCTTTAAATGACTTTTAAATTGCTTGCTGCTAGTAAGTGTGAAGGCAAGTTGACTTATATCTACTAATTTTTATGTTTTGTTGGAATGTATGTCAAAAACAACACAGACTATATGAGTACAGCTTGGCAATTTTTCACAAATTCAGCACACCCATGTAAGCTTCTCCCAAATCAAGAAACAGAACATTATTATCTGTAGTCCCAGCGTTTGGGAGGCTGAGGCAGGAGGATTACTTGAGCCCAGGAGTTTGTGACCAGCCTAGACAATATAACAAGACTCTGACTCAAAGAAAGAAAAACAGAACATTATCTATACTTAAGAGGTTCCCCTTTGACAGTCACTGTCCCCCAAATATAATTTCTAACCCCCTCCCACCCTCTGCTCAAATTTTTTTTCGCCATCTTTTTCTGCTATACATGGCAACGCACAAATAGTGACTGTACAGTTGATTACTCAATCCAGGACATTTTCACCTCCCCAGAAAATTCTTGGGTACCCTTTCACTGCCAGTGTACTCCCTGCTCCAGGCAACCACTGATCTAATTTCTGTCATAATAGATTGCTATTGCCCGTCCTAAGTCTTTAAGTGAACTCTTAAGTATCTTGTGTCTAGGTTCTTTCATTCAGCCTGTTTTGAAATTTGCCAATGTTGCATGGATCTATAGCACATTCCTCTGTTGCTATATTGTACAAATCCAGTTTGTCTACTCACCAGTTGATTGATTTGAGCTTTTGGGTTGTTTCTAGTTTGGAGCTGTTTTGAATTACAGCTACTATGAACATTCATGCACGAATCTTTGAGCGGTTGCCTAAGTGTTTTCATGTCTCTGAGATAATACTTAGGAGCAGAATGATGCATTGTACGATAATTATGTATTCTGGATTTGATAAAAGACTGCCCAGCTGTTTTAGATGTGACCATTTCACACCTCCATCTGCAGCATCTGTGAGCTCCCAGCCAACACTAGGAAAATATGTCTGTGTTTTGTTTTTTGTTTTTTGTTTTTTTTTTTTTCATTTTTCTTTTATTATTCATATGTGCATACAAGGCTTGGTTCATTTCTCCCCCCTGCCCCCACCCCCTCCCTTACCACCCACTCCCCCCCCCACCTCAATACCCAGCAGAAACTATTTTGCCCTTATCTCTAATTTTGTTGTAGAGAGAGTATAAGCAATAATAGGAAGGAACAAGGGGTTTTGCTGGTTGAGATAAGGATAGCTATACAGGGCATTGACTCACATTGATTTCCTGTGCGTGGGTGTTGCCTTCTAGGTTAATTCTTTTTGATCTCACCTTTTCTCTAGTACTTGTTCCCCTTTTCCTATTGGCCTCAGTTGCTTTAAGGTATCTGCTTTAGTTTCTCTGCGTTAAGGGCAACAAATGCTAGCTAGTTTTTTAGGTGTCTTACCTATCCTCACCCCTCCCTTGTGTGCTCTCGCTTTTATCATGTGCTCATAGTCCAATCCCCTTGTTGTGTTTGCCCTTGATCTAATGTCCACATATGAGGGAGAACATACGATTTTTGGTCTTTTGACCCATCCTAGAGTGAAGTGGTATCTCATTGTGGTTTAATTTGCATTTTTCTCACCTTTCTGTGTGTTTAGTGAGCATTCAGTTCCTTCCTTGCAAAGTGTCTGGACTAGCCTTTTACCAATTTTTAGTTGGGTGGCTTTCTTGCTGTGTTGTAGGAGCCACTTACCTATCTAGATATGGATAAGCTTGGTGAGTACTGTCTCTCAGCCTGTGACTTGCCTTTTGGAAGCTAGGAATTGGACCCTGGGCCTTGTGTGTGTAAAGTTACCACAGAGCCATAACCCAAGTAACCTCATTTTGTTGTTGTTGCAGTACTGGGGTTTGAACTCAAGGCCTCATGCTTGCTAGGCAGACACTCTACCACTTGAGTCACTCCATCAGCCCTTTCATTTTCTTAATAGCATCTTTTTGATGATAGGTTTTTTTGAGACAGGTCTTACTATGTAGCTCAGGCTAGCCTTGAACTTACTCTGTAGTCTACACCAACCTCAAACTTGAAATCCTCCTGCCTCTTTTTCCCACATGCTAGAATTACAGGCATCCTGTGCCACCACCTGTCTTAGAAGTAACTTAGGATAAACAGAAGGGTTTTTTAATTTTGAGGAAGTCTTTTTATCAATTATTAATGATTATTGCTTTGTATGTCCTAAGAAATCTTTGTTTATGCCTGTCTATTGATTTTTTAATTTAGCAACCTTGGTAAACTCTCATAAACTCTAATAATTTATCTGTAGATTGATTTGAGGGAGTTTTTTAATAGACAAACTATCATCTAATAATGGCAGTTTCATTTCTTCCTTTGCAAACCTTACACCATTTTCATTTTCTTGCCTTCCTGCACTGGCTAGGGTCAGCCTCCTAGTTTAGCATTGACTAAAGAGCCAGTAGCAGGTTTTCTTTTCTTGCTCCTGATTGTTTACGGGAAATTATTTCAACATTTCCCATTATATATGGTTTTAGGGTGTTTCATGGACGCTCTATATCAAGTTAAGGAAGTTCTCTTTTCCTACTTTGATAAGACTTTTAGGGTGTTTCATGGACGCTCTATATCAAGTTAAGGAAGTTCTCTTTTCCTACTTTGATAAGACTTTTAGGGTGTTTCATTGACGCTCTATATCAAGTTAAGGAAGTTCTCTTTTCCTACTTTGATAAGACTTTTAGCCAGGACCCAGTGGCTCATGCCTGAAATCCTAGCTACTTGGGAGGCTAAGATTGGGAGGATAACATTTCAGTTCCAGCCCAGGCAAATAGTTCATGAGACCCCATCTCCAAAATAACCAGAGCAAGCCGGGTGCTAGTGGCTTATGCCTATAATCCTAGCTACTCAGGAGACAGAGCTCAGGAGGATCACAGTTTGAAACCAGCCTGGGCAAATAGTTCGTGAGACCCTATCTCGAAAAAAAAAAAAATCACAAAAAAGGGCTGATGGAGTGGCTCGAGGTGTAGGCCCTGAGTTTGAACCCCAGTACCACAAAAAAAAAAATAACCAGAGTAAAATGTACTGTAGGTGTGGCTTAAGTAATAGAGTGCCTGCTTTGCAAACATGAAGCCCTGAATTCAAACTTCAGTCCCACAAAGCGTTTTTATACATAACTTTCTGAAGCCCTTTATGTACATGTTTTGAGTTTAGCAAGGTCGCTAGATTTTAAAAGTCAATACATAGGAATAGGTAAACATTTCTTAGTGATTTATTTTAATCTCTTAATGTGACTTTAAATGATTAAAATTTTTTGAGACAGGATCTTGCTACCTAGCAAGGTTGGCCTCAAATTCTTGATCCTCCTTTCTCATCCTCCTGAGTGTTGGGATTGCAGGTGTGAACTGCCATGCCTGGCCCTCAATTATTACTTTTTGGTTCTTAACGTTTTCATTTCCAGATAAACTGAATTTGGTTTTGATGTGTTACATCTTCTAACATTAAGATTTGCTTTGTTGATGCTCTGTAGGATTTGTGCATCTGCACATGTGTAAGCTAGGCTGAGGGCCCAAAATGTGGCATTGGGAATGTTCTCCTTTCTGTCTACAGTGGGAAGTTTGCTTCAGACTGGAATTCTCTTTTCTTTGTATTAATTTTTGTTTTTCATTATTTCCTTCCTTATAATTTTTTTTATTTTAAAATTCTGCTGTCCTTTTCTCTTTTTTTTTTCCCTTGAGACAACAGTCTTGCCCTAAAGCCCAGACTAGCCTGGAAGTCATTACGTAGCTCAAACAGGCCTCAAATTCCTCCTGCCTCAGCCTCCCAAGTGCTGAGATTATAGGTGTGTACCATTGTGCCTGCCTGCTGTCCTTTTCTGGCTTCATGAATTGAATAAGTAGCTCATTACTTTCAATCCAGTCTTATGCTAATGTAAGATTTAAGACTATATCTCACCAATTTTGATACATGGCACCTCCATTGTCATTCAGCTCTAATGAATTGGATTTCCAGGTTGTCTTCTTGAACTCAGGAGATACATTTATGCTTTCTGGATCAGGAGTACAAGAGTGGGACAGGCTGGGTGCTTATAGCTGAATTAGTGACCCTGGGGGATGATGTAGGTCATGTTCCTAGCTTCTACTCACCGCACCTGTTCCCTTTGCCACAGGGTGACCTGGCCAAAAAGAAGATCTACCCCACCATCTGGTAAGTGCATCCCCCACTGCATCCAGGGTCTTCCTGTCAGGGATAGGTCTGGCCTTGCCTTTCCCCATCCTGGCAGCAGCTGTGTTCTGCCCTCAGGTGGCTGTTTCGGGATGGACTTCTGCCTGAAGACACCTTCATTGTGGGCTATGCACGCTCCCATCTCACAGTGGATGACATCCGCAAACAGAGTGAACCTTTCTTCAAAGTGAGTGGCTTTACGTCTCCCCCAGCCTTGTTTTGTCTGCTAGCCTCCAGCAAGGGGCTCACTAGGGGACTTGCCCCCCACCTCACTTGACTGGCAGAGAGGCAGGGCCACCTGGAGCACTCAAGCCTAGCACCTTACATCCTTGCCCTACCACCACTCTGCAGCTACTGAACACTCACACTACCTCCTTCACAACAGGAGGAGCTCTGGGCAGGGAGCAGGGGAAAAGGCTCCCCCAGCCCAAGACCCTGTTTCCCAGCCACACTCTGAACCAGACTTGCTGGATTCATCTTGCTCTGCTCTGGGCCACATTGGGACCTGCCATGAACTAGAAAAAGGACTATCCCCAGGTGCCTCTTCCTACAGGAAGTCCTACCAACTGGCATTTTCTTAATGATTTTTTTAATGATTTTGGGCAGAGATTTTCCCAACATCTTCTCCCAGGTCAAATTTTCCTGAAATCTGACATCTGTCCTACAGCATAAGAGCTGTGGGGATATGCAGGGGGTTGCAGGGCCCCATCACACAATGTTCATGCTGCCTGCCTCTACCCCTTCCCCATGGGTATGCAGAGCTGCCAAGATGGGGTGAACCTTCACTATGTGGGGCCAGGATGGCCGACTTCTAAGGGAGACCTCTATGGGCCTCTAGAGAAGCCCACCCTGGCTGTGGGATGAGAAAGAAGGTATGCACAAAGGAGATCCTTCAGTCCCTGGGGGCAGAGCAGACATAGACTGTGAGGGAAGTGGAAGGAGGGTACTGACATATGGCTGTCTGTCCATCCATCTCTCCCAGGCCACTCCAGAAGAGAGGCCCAAGCTGGAGGAGTTCTTTGCACGTAACTCCTATGTGTCCGGCCAGTACAACGATCCAGCCTCCTACCAGCACCTCAATAGCCATATGAATGCCCTCCACCAGGGGTCACAGGCAAACAGGCTCTTCTACCTGGCCTTGCCCCCCACTGTCTACGAGGCTGTCACCAAGAATATCCGTGAGACCTGCATGAGCCAGATGTAAGGCCTGACCCACTCCCTCCCTTCCTTGCTTTCTGTTTGCTGTACCTTGGTTGGATCTGCCAGTGAGAAAGGGGTGCTCTCCACTGCTCCTAACAACCCCCCAGGTCTAGACAGTCTAAAAATATAGGTGCCCTGTTTGTTATTTACTTGAGTTATCGCTTCAAAGAATGAAATAGGCTATAAATAATGGTAGTTTTCTAACAATCTTTATTGAAAATGCTTATAGCTCGAATGCTTGTGTAAACCAGAGGTCCCTGGTTGCAGTTACTACCATGACCACAAGATGGTAGTGTTGCTCCACGAACTGCTAGCTGCTGTTATGCTCATTCTTGTACATTTGTGCTTTCCCAGAGTCCCTGCCAGGTGGCAGTGCTGTTCCATGAGAAACCACTGCTTGCTGGCAGCCCTCTTCTGATTTTGATGCAGAAAGCCACTTTAATTGTGGGAAGAGATAGCCAAAAAAAGGTCACCGCTTCCTTTTCAAACCAATGGAGATTGTTTGTAGTGGCCTGTAAGTCCTCTGCCAAGAAAGAGACTATGCATGGTGGCACTTGTGATCCTAGCACTAAGGAGGCTGAGGCAGGATTGTGAGTTCAAGGCCAGCCTAGGCTGTGTAGAGAGAACCTACCTCAACAAAACAAAGAGGCTGAAGCAAGAAGATCCCTTGAGCCTAGGAGCTCCAAGCCAACCTTAACAACATAGTGAGGACCTCATCTCAAAAATAAAGAAAATCACTGGGGTAGCTATGCCCTGATTCCCCTACTCCCTGCTCCCCCACTAGCCACTGGGCTATTTCCAGCCCACTGAGGACCTGGTGTTAGGGCAGGAGGAGAACAGGGCCACCCAAGAGTGTGCTGGCAGTGCCACCCTACCACACAAGAGGCAGGCTTAGGAGCTGTTTCAATCACAAGCCAATTGACAGGAAGACTTCCCAGGTGTCCTTGGGTATAAAAGGGCTCTGTGCAAAAGCAGAGAGGCAAGGTACGGCTTACCAGAGCTTCCCTGTGTCACCTGAGAATGTGAAGAAGATACAGTCCCTGCTCCCTGAGGAGGGGCTTGGGGATAATGTGTCTTTGGGCTCTTGGCAGAGGCTGGAACCGCATCATTGTGGAGAAGCCCTTCGGGAGAGACCTCCAAAGCTCTGAACAGCTGTCCAACCACATCTCCTCCCTGTTCCGCGAAGACCAGATCTACCGCATTGACCACTACCTGGGCAAGGAGATGGTGCAGAACCTCATGGTGCTGAGGTGGGGTCCAAGCCCTGGCCTGCACAGGGGAAAGGGGATCAGGTCAAGGATGGGTGCCCCAGGTGGACTCTTCCACCTGTCCTTCGCCAGCCTCCACCCTGTGCCTCCCCACAGATTTGCCAACAGGATCTTTGGCCCTATCTGGAACCGGGACAACATTGCCTGTGTGATCCTCACCTTCAAAGAGCCCTTTGGCACTGAGGGTCGGGGAGGCTACTTTGACGAATTTGGGATAATCAGGTGAGAGACTGTCCCCATCTCAGGATGCTGACACGGGACATGGGGCATGATCCAGCCACCCTGCAGAGCCTCCATCCCTGTTCTGGGCAGCTCCTGCTCACACCCAGAGGTCCAAATCAGAGTTGTCAGAGGTGGCTATAAGGGATGCAACTCCTCCCCAGCCAAGCCACGCAGGGGTTTCCAGGGTAAGCAATAGGGTCGTTGTCTACTTCCTTGCCTTAGGAGACCTGGAAGACATTGGGGATAAGGAAGCAAGTCTCCTAGTTTGTCACTAGAAAGCCTTGTTTGGAGATTCTGGGCCCCCTAGAACCTAGCCGACAGGCAGGGAGGAGGGGCTGCAACTAAGGTGTGCCTGTTCTTCACCCCTCACTCCAACCCTGGAAGTGGTGCCTCATTCAAGCTTCAGCCTCTTCTACCACCAGGGACGTGATGCAGAACCACCTCCTACAGATGCTGTGTCTGGTAGCCATGGAAAAGCCTGCCTCCACTGACTCAGATGACGTCCGTGACGAGAAAGTAGGTAGAAGTACACCTGCCACGTCCCCAGCAGCTATGTCCCATAGCAGGACCCTCTGGGATGAGGCACTGGGCTTCCTCATGCCCACTGCCTTGCCCCCATCCTTTTATCCAAGGGGCCCACTCTCCCCTGGCTTTCTCCCAGGTCAAGGTGTTGAAATGTATCTCAGAGGTGAAGGCCAATAATGTGATCTTGGGTCAGTATGTGGGAAACCCCAATGGAGAAGGTGAGGCCACCAAAGGGTACCTGGATGACCCCACAGTGCCTCGTGGGTCCACCACTGCCACCTTTGCAGCTGTTGTCCTCTATGTGGAGAATGAGCGGTGGGATGGTAAGTGACACCTCCAGAGTGGAGATCCTTCTCAGTGAGGTCAGACACACACTGCTCAGCAGCCGAGGACACTAGAGTGGGAGGTCTAGCGCACAGGGAATACAACACCCTTGCCATACTCACACCACATACACACACTCAAACTGAAGCTCTCAGTCTGTCTTACACATGCCCAAGCCTCTATGAGACCCAGTCCTGAGGCCAGCCCTGTCCCCACCCAGGGGTGCCTTTCATCCTGCGCTGTGGCAAAGCACTGAATGAGCGCAAGGCTGAGGTGAGACTACAGTTCCACGATGTGGCTGGTGACATCTTCCACCAGCAATGCAAGCGTAATGAGCTGGTGATCCGTGTGCAGCCCAACGAGGCTGTGTACACCAAGATGATGACCAAGAAACCTGGCATGTTCTTCAACCCTGAGGAGTCAGAGCTGGACCTGACCTATGGCAACAGATACAAGGTGCCTACTGGGAGGGCCAGCCAAGAAAGTCTCCTGTGAGGGTGGCCTGGGTGGCTGCACACAGTGGTGTCAGTAAGGACCTTCCCATCACACCCTGTAGAATGTGAAGCTCCCTGACGCCTATGAGCGCCTCATCCTGGATGTCTTCTGTGGGAGCCAGATGCACTTCGTGCGCAGGTGAGGGTACCCAGCAGCCTGGCCCTGGCTTCCCTTGGCGGGGGGGGCAGGTAATGGGGGTGGCCTTCTCCTTCCCTGCATGCCCTACTGTTTCCAAAGCCATACTGTGTCCCCTCAGTGATGAGCTCCGGGAGGCCTGGAGGATCTTCACACCACTGCTACACAAGATTGATCACGAGAAGCCCCAGCCCATCCCCTATGTTTATGGCAGGTGAGGGAAGAGTGGGGGCTGGGGAGGCCAAGCGGAGCTAAGCAGGGCAGTGGGGTTCCCCAGGGGCAGGAATCCCTCACATCTTCCCCTCTGCCTGTCCCGCTTCCAGCCGCGGCCCCACGGAGGCAGATGAGTTGATGAAGAGAGTAGGCTTCCAGTACGAGGGCACCTACAAGTGGGTGAATCCCCACAAGCTCTGAGCCCTGGGCACCCACTCCACCCACACTCCACCCCCCCTCCTCAGCCACCCTGTCTTTCCCACCTTCCCACCATCCAACCTCACATCAAGAGGACTGACCCCACATTGGGAGGACTTCGGGACCATAGGCCTCAGCTTCACATTCCTGGCCCCAGGCTCAGGCCACTACTGTCTGCCCCTCGCTGTTGCCGCTGCTGCCACCAGAGCCCAGCTACATTCCTCAACAACCAAGCACTTAAGACTTCTGCTGTGACTCGCAGGGCTACCACCAGCCCTAACTGAGCCACCCATCTCTCCTCGGGACCTGAAACACCACCTCCCCTCATTCCAGCCCCCACAGAAAGAAGGAGAAGAACATCCTATCAGTCTGTCCTAGGACTCCTCAGGACAGGAGTTAGGGACAGTGAGGGGCAGTTGCCAAACCCCACTCCCCAATGGCTGTTGGCAAGCTCCTCAGAGCTTGGAGTGAAGTGGTCAAGTGTGTCTGTGTGAGAGGCCACCTAAGCCTCAGTGCCACTCAACATTCCTGGTCACCAGCTGGAAGGAAATCTTGTGCTGCACAGCAACATCTTGGCCCCCCAGAGGTCCCTTCTCACCAGCTCTGCACTCCATGGCCACCCTTACCCCACCCACAGGCAGTTTCCCTGCCCCAGGAAAGGTAGAAGCAACAACTGTGATCCCCTACCTCAACCCCTGCCATTAAATCCTCAAACAGCCCCATCTGTCCCCTTGTCATTACCCCCTTTCCCCAAAACCATGGAGAAGAAATATGTAACTTTCCCACTCCCCATGTTGCATGCTAAGTTCCACCCCAGCACCTGCGCCAGGCCTCTCCCTTAGCCTCCTTACCTCTGACATCTCCCACCATGCTGCAGCCGTGGACCTGACTGGGTGTGAAACACTTGTTCCCATCAGTCTGTTCCACTCCACAGGTGTTTGTCATCAAGACCAACTTGCAGGGCTGGTAGACTGGCTCAAGTGGTAGAGCACCTGCCTAGCAAGTGTGAGACCCTGAGTTTAAACCCCAGTACCACCAAGAAAAAAAAAAAAACGGCTTGTAGTACAAGGCCAGGTCACAATTTTCTTTCACCTTCTACACGAATATTTCTACCACTTTTATTGTAAATGCAAGCGGGCCAGCTAGCCAGCCTCCATCCCCAGCGTCCCTGTCTCACCCAAGGTCATTTCAGGCAACACTGCCAGGAGATTTGGTGGATTTTGTGACTGACCTCAGTGGCCAAGGGGGAAGTACTAGACAAAAGCAATGCCCAGCTTTCTGAACTGGGCAGCAGCTGAAGGGCGAGAGATCTGAGGTTGCCCAGTCTGCCTGTGTTATCTTCCAGAGGTGGCCATTAACAAAGCACCACAGACCAGGTGCTTCCAACAGCAAAACTGCATCCTCTCACTTCTGGTGGTCGGAATTCCAAAATCAAAACACCTATTTCCAGATAAGTTCACATTATGAGGCTCTAGGGGAACACAAATGTGGCTCAACCACTGCCCTGCCCCCAACAAGGATAGTCGCCATCAAGCATCTTTTCCTGCCCTCTCCTGAGCCTCTGCTGTGGCTGAGCACTGAGCAGATAACAGAAAGTAACACCATGGTCCCTGCACTTAGGGCACAGGTTGTGGTAGATCAGGGCAACAGAAGACTGATCAGAAGGCAGTGTGTTTTACGGACTGAGCAAGCCAGTGGCCCAGAAAATGACCACGTGAGGAACAGTTTGCTCCTGGCAGAGGTGAGTATAAGCCCCAGCGTTCAGGGACTGGGGAGGCCCAAGCAGCTGGAATACAGGCATGCACCACCATATCCAGCTATGCAGAGCTTTCTGTTTGAACCATCCAAGCCTCTCCTTAGTCTACTACTGAGAACCAACCACCCTCAGCCCTGCAAAGTCTCCCTAGGCTGGAATGGCAACACTTGGGCTGGTTAAGTAAAGGGAGAGCTTGGACTCCTGTCCAGGACCCTACAAGGGGAAATACACAGAGGAAGAAGAAACTTGAATGTTCAGTAGGCTTATTCCTGTCCCATAATCTAGGATGGTGTGTTGCACCACTCCAGACACAGTATGCATGCATATATGTGTGGACATCCACACTGCATCCTCGTGTGCAATTCCCAGTCTCCCGTCCCCTCCTTTTAGCAGACGAGGTGGTACCTCCAAGTTGTGGGAGGAAGGGGATTGCCAAGGTCACCTCGACCTTGAATAGAAATTTGATGGTTGGACCAAGACAAATTATAGTCCCTTAAGGGCTCTGCTTAGCCCAGGTCCTCAGACCAGCTGACAGGGCTCTGTGGACAGGCTTGGAGGTCAGACTTCGGTTACAGAGGCCTTGGGCCTCCATCCTCCTGGAGAAAGGGGCACAGTAGAGCCTGACACCCAGGAGCTGGTGGTGCTACTGGAGTTGGGCCTGGGAGCTAGCCAGGCAAGTATGTGTACTAGCAGCAACTGCCACCTCTTGTCCTCTGGGGTCAGATGTGAGGGCTGAGCTGTTGGGCCTTCCAGGCCAGGCCAGCCCCCTCTACTTCTTGCTGTAGACCCAGGAGGAAGACTCTAGGGACAGGGCCCAAAGCCCCGGTGAGTGGATAAGGGTCAGTCTTGGGCCTCAATACCACACAGTCACTTCCTCTGAATCTCGTGAATGTCACTGGGCCCTTCATGCTAGGCAGAGTGCCACACGGCTCCTCTTTAACCCCGGGGCCATAGTATATGGCTATAAAAGGGCTTTGTCTTGACTCTTGCGGTGCCATGTAGCTGCAATGAACAAAAGAAGCTTTGCAAAAGGCTAGAGATGATTCCAGGAGGGTGAACCCTGAGATAAAATCCAGCAGACCTGTCCCTGAAGATGAGAGAGGCCTTCCCCCCGCACACCACCAGATGGTGCCATCCTCATGTCTGCTCGTGAGAAAGAGTCTTAAATCTCCAACCGCCCTAGTCCCCCTAGTCCTCCGTGTTGGGTCCTCAAAACCTCAGATGTGGGCCTAAAGATGGCACTGAACCATTGTAAAAAGAAAAACGAAGGTGCAAGGAGCCAGTCCTGACCCCACGGTGTATCTTTGTGCTCAGAGCTCTCACAAAGCCCTTAGGGGAGCACCCTTTTAGACTGCAGAGCTGTGTGCTGGGAACCTGCTGGCATAGCATCACTGGGGTGGAGGCTGCTATCTAGGAGTAGCAGGAGGAGCCCGAAATGCAAGAGGGATCCAGCTCCATGTGGGGGTCCCTAACACAGAAGTGACTGCAAGTGACCAAGGTGGAAGAAGTGTGGGGATGACCTTCCAATCTGATCCTGCTCTGTGTGCCTATACTGGAACAGAGGCAGGAGGGCTCTAGTAAGGACACCCAACTGTCACTTTACCTCTGGGTGTATATAAAGGACAAAGACAGAGTAAAGGTGAGGACAGCCAACTGTTACATCAGCTCTGGCCACAGATACCAAATGAAGATATGAGGGGCCCAATTGAGGACCATCAACTATTACTTCATGGTGGGTTGTCTGCATCAGGGCCAGAAGAGCTAAGTCAACTGAAAGCACAAATCTTGGTGACTACATTGGAAAGGAGAATGAGGGAGCCAGGAGCAGTGATTCATACCTGTAATCCCAGCTACTTAGGAGACAGATTGCAGAGTACCCAGGTTCGAGGCTGGCTCTAGGCAAAAATCTTGAGACCCTATCTAAAAAATAACTCGAGAAAAAAAAAGAATGAGGTGAGGGACCATTTAGGTCACTCAATGTCACTTCATCTCTAGATCATAAAACTTAGGCAGAGGCATGAAGGACTAGGCGGGGTGAAAAAACTGGCACCTCATTAAATAGCAATTACAACTTGTAATCCTAGCTATTCAGGAGGCAAAGATCAGGAGGATCATGGTTCAAAACCAGTCCGGGCAAATAGTTCACAAGACCCTATCTCAAAAATACTCATCACAAAAAGGGCTGGTGGAGTGGCTCAAAGTGAAGGCCCTGAGTTCAAGCCCCAGTACCACAAAAAAGAAAAAAACTAGCACCTCAGCTCTCAGTTCCTACACTGAAGCAGGGACAGGAGAGCCACATGTCCCAGCCATTCATAAAGCATCTGCCTAGTAAGTGTAAGGCCCTGAGTTCAAGCCCCAGTGCCAACAAAAAAAAAAGGGGGTGTGTAAATGGAGGGCTAGGGATGTAGTTCAGTGGTAGAGCACTTGCCTAGCATGCAGAAATGGCTGAGTGAGTAAAACTAATTAGAAATAATAAGAAACTACTGATACAGGTGACATGTATGAACCTTGAAAACATGGCAAGTGGAAGAAGCCAGACACAAAAGGCCACATCATGTGTGAGTCCTTTTATACAAAGTGTCCACAATAGGAATAGAGACACCAAGGGAGGAATGGGTACTGACTGCTGCTAATGGGTCTGGGGTATATTTTGCAGGATATGGAAATACTTGGAACTAGACAGTGGTGATGGTTGTATAACACTATGGATACACTAATAACCAGTGAATTGTACACTTGAATACAATTTGTTTTATCTTTTGAGGCAGGATCTTCCTATGTAGCCCAAGTTGGCCTTGAATTTGAAATCCTCCAGCCTCAGTCAAGTGCTGGGATTATAGACGTACTGTCACCACACCCAGAAAGAATGAATTTTATATATGTGTTACCAATTTCTAACCCAATCTGGACTTTTTCTCCCTCTTAGAATCATGAACCCCAAACAAAACTGAGAGCTGATAATGCAGTTAAGAAAAGCTTTGTTCTTTGGCCAGATAAGAAGAAGCTGGAGAAACAACTCACAGATCAGAATCCCCTCCTGCTAAAGGATGAGTCCCTTTGAAAGGAAGGGGGAGGGTTTTTGTCAGTGAGTGGGGGATTATTCATGACTTTCTCTGAGGAAGGGGTCATATTCATCCCAGCGATAAGGGGCTTCCTTCCTTTAACCCTTAGATGGACTAATTTCATTGTCAGGCAGAAGTAGACCAGGCCAGGATGGTGGAATTTTATTAGGGCACCATATTACAATGAGATGGTATTAAGTCTGAGAGTGAATAGTCTACATCGCACTACCCCTGAGCATTAATCTGGAGACTTTGATGAACACTAAATAAAGAGGAAATTATAAACCAACTAGTGGGCTAGAGACATACCTCAAGGGGTAGAGCACCTGCCTACCAAGTGCAAGGCCCTGAGTTCAAACCTTAGTACTACCAGAATAAATAAATACAAATAAAATAGCTGGGAATGGTGGTATATACCACCTGTAATCCTAGCACTTGGGAGGCTGAGGCAGGAGGATCCAGAGTTTGAAGCCATATAGCAGCTTCCAGGCTAGTTCAAGCTACATAGTGAGACCATGTACTGAAGAAAAAAAAAGGAAACAAAGAGAGGAAAAAGGGGCTTGGTGTGGCTCGAGTGGTAGAACACCTGCTTAACATGAGGCCCTGAGTTCAACCCCCACACCAAAAAAAAAAAGTCAGCCTCAACTGACTTAAACCTGTAATCCTACATATTTGGGAGACTGAGATCAGGAGGATCACAGTTCAAGGCCAGCCCAGGCAAAAAGTTATTGAGACCCCATCTCAACCAGTTGCTGGGTGTGGTGGCTTGTGTCTGTCATCCAAGCTACTTGGGAAAGATGGAGGTCCAGACCAGCCTGGGCATAAAACCAGACCCTATCTCAAAATACCCATCACAAAAAGGGCTGGGGGTATGGCAGAAGTAGTACAGTGCATGTCTAGCAAGCATGAGGCCCTGAGTTCAACTCTCAGTACCACCAAAAACAAAAGAAAAGGAAAATTAGCAGTTTTTCTTTAATGACTCTTGGTTGTTTGAATACATTTTTATGGCATACTGTGTGTGTGTGTGGTTGCTGCTGGGGATTGAACCTAGGACCTGAAGAGTGCTAGGCAAGGAGTCTACCACTGAGCTGTACACCTCCAGCATTTTTCATTTCAGTGTAACAATTTGTGCATAAAACAAAATGGTCTTCTAAATAAATATGCAAGATGTTCTTTTGTTCTGTTTTTAAAAACCACAGTGAAATTCCACTTCACGTGCACTAGGATGGCCACAATTAGAAAGACAGACAATAACTAGTGCTGAAGAGGATGCAGAGAAATTGGAACCCTCATACTTTGCTGGCAGGATTATAAAATGGTGCAGCCACTGTGGAAAGCAGCCTGGCAGTTCCTCAAAAGGTCAAACAGAGTTCTAGGCTGGGAATGTAGCTCACGTGGTAGAGCACTAGTCTAGCATGCCTGAGACCCTGAGTTCAATCCCTAGTACTATAAAAAAATAAAAGACAGTTAAGTGCGTAAACATAGTTACCAGGGGACCAGTAATTCCACTCCTATGTAGCTACCCACAAGAAAGGGAAATATACATTCATAGTAAGACTTGCACTAAATATTAGAGCATCAGTACTCATACTAGGAGAAAGCTGGACCCATCCCAAAAGTTCGTCACTGGTGAACAGCTAACAAAATGCCGCCTGTCCATCTGATGGCCTACCACACAGCAAGAAAAGGAATGAGCTACTGATAATGCTGTGATGTGGATGAGCCACAAAAAGTGACACTAAGTGAAGAAAGCCAATCATGGAAGCCCACCTGTCACAGGGTCCTGTTTATGGGAAGCCCATCTTTTTCCTTTACTGGGGTTTGAACACAGGGCCTCACACTTGCTAGGGAACTGCTCTACCACTTGAGCCACTCCACCAACCTTTATTTGTGATGGGTTTTTTCAAGATAGGATCTCATGAACTACTTGCCCAGGGCTCACTTCAAAGTATGATCCCCCTGATCTGTGCCTCCTGAGAAGCTAGGATTATAGGCATGAGCCACCAGTGTCCAGCTTATGACTTCCATCTTATTTGAAGGCAGATCAGTGTTTGCCTGAGAAGAAAGAGTAAGGAACGACTGAACGGGATGATAGAAATGTTCTGAAATCAAATTAATGTAGTAGTTGCACTACTTTATAAATTTATTAAAACCTATTGGATTTTATATATGCATTTAATGGGTGAATTTCATAGTATGCAAATTATATCTCAGTAAATCAGTTTAAGGTAGAAAGGAAGCTATGAAACCAAATAGAGGGAGAATCTACAAATACCTCATAAGTACCCTCCAGTGCTCTTGGGGTTGTGGAAAACAAGGTGGCCTGAGAAACAGTCACAGACGTTAAGACTGAGGAGACATGATGACTGCCTGCATTGCGGTGTCCCCGAGGATCCCAAAGCAAAAAAGGATATCAGCTGCAAAGGAGTGAAATCCAAATCAATTCTGTAGTCCAGTTAACGGTATTTACCAATGTCAATTTCTTAACTGATGAACCACGGTGAGGTGAGATTTGGGGGACCTGGATAAAGGGCATATGGGGACTTTCTGCACTGTCCCAGCAGCTTTTCTGAAAATGTAAAATTTTCCCAAAGTAGAAATTTTGGGTTATTTTGCAAGGAGGGCAGGGTGGGATTTGAGACAGGTTCTAAAACTCCAGATCCTCCTGCCTCAGCCTCCCTCCTAAGTGCTGGGATTATAGGCCTACACCATCACATCCAGTCAAAAATTTACATTTTAGAAAATGTAGTTGTGCTGTATGTATAGTTTATGGTATACTGCTTGCTTAGCATGCCTGAAGACCCTGGGTTTCATCTCCAGGACAACAAACAAATAAATAGGAAGGGAAACAAAGGTGACTTCAGACATACAAAAGCTTGAAACTCAGCAGCAGCAAACCTAAGGTACAAGAATTGCTAAAGGAAGTTGGGCGCCAGTGGCTCACGCTTGCAATCCTAGTTACTCCGGAGGCAGAGATCAGGGGTATTACAGCTGTAAGCCAGCCCCGCAAATAGTTTGCATGACCCTATATCGAAAAACCCATCACAAAAAAAAAAGGACTTGTGGAGTGGCTCAAGGTGTAGCTCCTGAGTTCAATACAGCAAAAATGTGTGTGTGTGTGTGTGTGTGTGTGTGTGTCATGTAGAAACCCATTATTTTGCATAATTAATTTAAAAAGAAAATCCAAGTGTGGGGTGTGGGTCAGTGGTAATGCATGTGCTTAGCGTGCTTCAGGCCCTGTTTCAGTCCCCAGCACACACCACACGCCACACACACACACACACACACACACACACACACACACACACACCAGTCCCAGAGAAAATAAGGGATTATCCCAGGAGGCACAGATCTGGAACTGAAGCCCAAGCTCTTAGTCTATCACTCTTTTGGTGACCCTGGGGAAGGGGGAGGTGCCTCTGGCTCATCAGGGGAACTCATTAAATCAACCTTTCCCTGCCTAATCTGAGGAGGGTGTAAGAACTACCAGTCTCTGGGTTTGATCCCCAGCATCCCAAAAGAAAAATACAAAATAACAAGAACTACCAGTCTGGCAGATGCGGGGGACAGATGCCAAGTGTGTGATTGGGGGAGCTTCTGCTAGTGAACCCCAATGAGGAGGGCATGGTGCCAATGGTTTGGAACTAGAAATGCATGAGAGGCCACCAAATTAATTGATAAAACCGAAGTACAAACCCATGTACAGCAGAAAGCTGCTCAGATTCTCTTGATCATGTTAGGGAGAAGTGTGTATGAGGGACATATGAGGCATGCCATTACAGAAAGCACGGTATTCCAGCCAGAGCTCTACCACGCCGGGCTCTATAAACTTTCTCTGTGTTTTGGATTATTCCCCAAGGGGCCAAGGGGGTTTCATGCGAGTGGGGTTATGGGATCAAAGGACAGGGATGTCGTTCTGGTTCTGCCCTGCTGCAGCCATCGCTGCAGATGGTTGTGTGCACTTGAGGCACAGAGCTCAGGCAGGAACACGCGAAAGCTTTTAAGTGTGTCGCAACAGTGTTTCAGATACTGCCTTTCACTGAGTGATGCATGAAACCGAAGGAACGAGTTTCTGGACAGAACACACTCTGGAAGGAAAAGCAGCCAACTAGGTTCACGCTAGTTGACTTAGGTCTGTCGGATTCTGTTGTTACGGGCTTGTGGACATTCCTTGTTCCTAAAAGGCACAAATGCTAACTTTAGAAAATTTCTAATCATGTTCCCAGATCCATCCTCTTCCCAAGGCCTCAGATATCTGACCTCAAGCCAGGAGCTAGTCCAAGGCGAGACTTACAGGGCGGGGTTGATGTCGGCTCCTCCTCCCAGTTAGTAGCCTGGCGGCCGAGCGCGAGCCCGCGGGGTGGGGTGGGCGGGGCCTGGCCAGGCCCCTCCCACCCGGTGGCTAGCGCGAAGGATGGAGGTGGGGCCTGAGCAGGGCGTGGCCTCCTAGCCGCAAGGCGGATGGCGAGGCGGTGCCAGCGGGCTGTGGCCCCTCCCCGGGCCGCCATTGTTGGGCCTGCCAGGCTGCTCTACGCTAACTCCCTTGTCTTACCTCGCCGGGCAGAGCTGGGCCGCCAGCCCGACACGGAGTCCCCCTGACCGAGGCCCCGGCGAGCCCGGTAGCTGTCACCAGTCTCGAGAGCAACGGCTTGAGCCTGGGGCCTCCCACAGGAGTGGCCGGGAGGGTGCGTGAGAACCACTTCTACGCCCTAGTGCCGGAGGCTTCTGTAAGCCCGATCGTGAGCGGACAGGTTCCGGAGGCCCCTCCTGGCCAGGCAGGACGTCTCCTGGCGTTCCCGAGGAACCTGGCCTGGCCAGGAACAGTCGTAGCACCGATCGCGCCCACCCCCCAGCAGGGGTCCAGCACAGGCTTGCTCTTCTGCTTTGTCCCTTACACACACAGCGCACGGTCCCCAAACAGTGCACCTGCCGGCGGTCCCAACCCAGCGGGAGAAGTGGACATGAGGTTGGCAGGTGGGTGGCTTCCACAGCGAACGGGAGGGAGGCCCAGGTGTTCCGACGTCTGTCAGGAGGGACCGGGGTGGCCACTGGGCTTGGTTTTGAAAATGGAGGACTGTGCACACAAACACTCATTCTGTGACCTTGGGCAAAACCTTTCACCTGTGAGGACTTCTTCCTAAACTGAGAGGCTCCAGGGAGCATGGCGGCTGGGTGGACAGCAGCAGGAGTGGAGCTGGAGAGGCATGGTTACACGGGAACTGACATGGGAGCCAAGGGGGGTTCCACATGAACCGGATGACTTCTCTGGTGTCAGCTGGATATTTACGATGAAGATGCCTTGTTGGGGGAATGACTGGGGTGAGATGGAGAGTACAGCTTGAGAATGGGAGTACAAACCAACCAGCTGAGGTACATCCAAGTGGAACTGGGCAGTGAGGAACTGGCTGCCAGGGTGTGGGCTAAAGATACGTCAGGGCTGGAGCCAGAAAATAAGGTTTCATTGCTACATGGTACCTAATTAAGTCACCTATAAGGAGGGTGTACGTAGAGACAAGAAGGCAGCCTGGGACAGAAGCCTGGGAGGGTCTAACTTTAAGGGAAAGGTAGAGGAACACAATTGACCGAGGAGAAGTAGGGGGGTCCAGTCAGGAAAGTGACAGCCCACTGAGAGGTCAATGCATAGCGGAGCCCATAGGTGACCAGGGACATGACACCATGAAGATCATGGGTGTCCTTTGGCCACAAGCTATTGGCTTGGAGTGGTGGGGGCAAGACCAGATTGGAGCAGGTTGGGGAAAGAGTAGGACATAAGATGATGGAAAGGGTGAGTGTAGTTGACTTTTAAAGAGTTTGATGAGGGGCTGGCAGAGTGGCTCAAGTGGTAGAGTGCCTGCCTAACAAGCCTGAGGTCCTGAGTTCAAACCCCAGTAAGAGTTTGATAGGGAAGAGGAAAGTGAGAGGAGAGAGAATGGGGATGTGGGTTTTTTGAGTGTTTGTTTGCTTTTTGCAGTACTGGAGTTTGAACTCAGGGCCTACACCTTGAACCACTCCACCAGCCCTTTTTTGTGAAGGGTTTTTTTGAGATAGGGCTTTGGGCTTTGTGAACTATTTGCCCAGGGATGGCTTCGAACTGCAGTCCTGATCTCTGCCTCCTGGGTGGCTAGGATTATAGTTGTGACCAACCAGCACCCAGCTCCTCTTTGCTTTCTTAAGCTGGGAGATGTTGACAATACAGAAGAAAGAGTGAAACAGAAAGAAGGATCCTTACTACAAGAAATCTGAGAAGGGAGGGGAACTCAAGACCTGGCTTGCAGCAAGTGGAGGAACTGGTCTTCCAAAGGCATAAGAACCCTCCATTGGACAGGAGAAAGGACGGGCAGATGGGCAGAACACAGCTCTATTGGTTGTCTCGGAAGAAGGAGTTGAGGAGGGTGCTAGGAAGCCCTTCTGGAGCAGTGAATTCTAGAAGTCCCCTCCAAACCTGCTAGGGAGAACCAAATAGAACAGCCTTAGGGCTTGAACTCAGTTTCCTCCTTCCACCTACCAGGGAGTTTGAGTCTCCCTCTTTAGTCCTCCCGTCACTTCTTCCCTAATGGAAGGGGAGAGCTGGTCACGAGGGGCCCTGGGATCATTCTAGAGTTCATTCACTGTTGCCTAAGGTGGGCCTGCCCCATGTCTGTCCTGCCTCCAGGCCCCTTCCGCATCGTGGCCCTAGTCATCACTGTGGGTCTCACCTGGATCTTAGTCACCATCCTCCTGGGTGGGCCTGGTGGTGGCTTTCCTCGAATCCAGCAACTCTTCACCAGTAAGTGTGGGGCCCTCCCTTGCCTGGCTGCAGAGGTACCCAGGGTGGCCTCCAGGGCCTGGGGGCTGATGCCCAGGGTGGGGTGGGGGCGGCTTGAGTTTTCCATCCCCTTCCTAGCATGCTACCTCTGGCTGCCCTCAGCTTATCTCCTGGCACCAAGCGCAGCCTTCTCCCTACCAACCAGGTGCTCTAGCTGGGAAAGCAAGACCCCCTGATTACAATCCTGTGCCCAGTGGAAGTCAATAGGGGTGGGAAGGCTTCCACTGAATGCTGGGAGTGATACCCTGATTGATCCCTGCAGGCTTTCTGCCAGGCTCTGAGATAGGGAGGGACCTCTATACCTTGTGACTGGTCATAGGTCAGAACTCCAATTTACCCTTTTCCTGGAACAGTTTTGATCTGAACATCATGTAGACTTGAGCAGGGAGCATGCCAAGGGCAGTCTGGCTTAGCCCCTAGCCCCTGAGCGTGACTGCTGTGCTGCAAACCCCAGAGGCCTGCATGCTAACAGTAACAACTCTGTACCCACAGGCCCAGAGAGTTCAGTGACTGCAGGTAAGCCCCCTGTCCCTTCCCTGCTCCTCCCCTGTGCCTGCCCCACATAATGCCTCGGTATCACCCCTGCCTACCTCCAGTCCTTCAGGATTTCTGTTCTCTACCCATGCCTCACCAAGCTAGCTATCACAGGCTGCTTGTCTACAAACCTAGCAAATGAACTACCTGCTGTCAGAATGCAGTGATGAGACAGACACAGGATAAACATTCCCATTTCAAAAGAAATTGGGAAGAAAAAGGGAGTCTGTGATCCCAAGCAAGTCCAAAACCCAGCAGGGCAAAATTCCATTAGGTTCAAAGCCTGAAAAGAATTCTGTGGGACCTGATGCTCTGCTTTCTGGGCCCACTAGGGTGACCCCACCCTCTGGAACAGGAGATATTCTCACCCTCTTGGCTTGTGCCCTCTCTTGCCTGTACATCTCTGGATCTGTCCTCAGAACCACCCTTCCTTCCTTTTGTCTCATCTCTGTCCCTTTCAGTATAGGCTGACAGTTTCCTTTTTTTTTGGCATCACTGGGGCTTGAACTCAGGGCCTCACACTTGCTAGGTAGGCACTCTACCACTTGAGCCACTCCGCCAGCCCTGTTTTGTCATGGGTCTTTTTTTTTTTTTAAAGATAGGGTCTCAAGAACTGTTTGCCTGGGCTGGCTTTGAACCATGATCCTCCTGATTTCTGCTTCCCGAGTAGCTAGGATTACAGGTACGAGCCACTGGTACCTGGTGTGACAGTGTTTCTGATGGTATAAACTTCTAACAAAAACTGCAGTTCAGGACTGGGGGAGGTGTGGCTTAAGTGGTAGAGCACCTGTTTTGCAAACACGAAAAAAAAAGAGTTAAAAAAAAGGAAACCTGCAATTCACTATGTGCAATTCATCAGGGTCCAAACTGTAAGACAAGAGAGTCCTGCCTGGATAACCCCATCTGGAGCCAGGCTTCTCCTGAGAGGGTAGATTGGATGTCAGTCACACAGCTCACCTCCAGCAAGTTCTTAGCCAGCACATGCTTGGCGGGCTCTCTAGAGAACATGTTCTCATTTTGCAATGTGATTAGGCTGACATTTCCCAATCTTCATGTTCTGCTTCCTTCACGCTTAGCGGTTCTTTTCTCAGTTTCTCTCTGCTCTCATATTTTACCATAAGCAGCAAGGAGAAACCAGGCATGCCTTTAACACTGCTCGGAAATCTCAGCTAAATACCTAAGTTCAGTATTTATAAGTTCTTCCTTACACAAAACACGAGAACACAAGGCAGCCAAGTTCTTCGGCACTTTATAACAAGAATGGCTTTTCCTCCGTTGTTCAGTAACATGTTTCTCATTGCCTTCTGAGACCGCACCAAAAGCACCTTTAGCTTTCATACTGCTAGCAAGTTTGTGATGATCGTGTGCTCTCTAAACAACAGATGCATTTCCTATTGCTCTTTTCCTTCTGAGCCCTCAACAGAATCGTCTTTACTATCTGTGCTTCTTTTTGTTTGTTTGTTTGGTGGTACTGGGTTTGCTTGCTAGGCAGGTGCTCTTCCACTTGAGCCACACCAAACCCTTTTCACTTTAGTTTATTTTCAGAGAGAATCTCACTTTCAGCTAGGGCCAGCCTCTGACCATGGTCCTCCTATCTCTGTCTCTCGTTTGGCTGGGATTATAGGCATGCACCATCACGTCTGGCCCCATGTGTTTTCTTTTTTTTGAGGCAGGGTCTCACTTTGTAGTCCATGCTGGCCTTGGATTCACGATTGATTCTCTTGCCTTAACACAGGCATGCACTACCATGACCAGCTACTATCCATATTTCTACCAACAGTTTTTTCAAGGCTTTGTCTACCCTGCACCTCAAAATTCTACAGCCTCTACACATTACCCAGGTACAAATTCATTTCTACATTTTTTAGGTATTTGTTATATAAGCACTCCAATATTCCTGATGCCAACATCTATATAAACTTCCTGAGTTTGCCATAACAAAGCACCACAAAGTGGGTGTCTTTTTTTTTTTTTTTTTTTTGCTTTACTGGGATTTGAATTCAAGGTCTACACCCTACACCTTGAGCCACTCCACCAGCCCTTTCTTGTGATGGGTTTTTTTGGAGATAGGGTCTCGCAAACTATTTGCCTGAGCTGGCTTCCAACCACAATCCTCCTGATCTCTGCCTCCTGAGTAGTTAGGATTACAGGCATGAGCCACCAGTATCCAGCACAAAGTGGGTGTCTTGAACAACAGAAATTTATTTTCTCACAATTCTGGAAGCCAGAAGTCTAAAGTCAAGGTGTCAGCAGGACTGTGCTCCTTCTGGAAGATCTAGGGGAGAATCCTTCCCTGCCCCGCCCAGACTTAGTACTAACCCATGTATACACTGGCTTGCAGCTGCATCACTCTAATCTCTGCCTCCACTGTTACACTGCTGACTCCTTCTGTGTGCCTTTGTCTCTTCGCTCCTTATAAGGGCTCAAGCTACTCCAGTGTGACCTCATCTTAACTAATTTGTCTGCAAAGGCCCTATTTCCAAACAAGGCCACATTCTGAAGTAGTGGGAGTTAGGACTCCAACATATCTTTTGTGGATACACAATTCAACCCGTTACAGAGTCATCCACCTGCCCTTCCACCCTAACTCAGGGTGATCCCCGAAGAAATCAGGAGACTAGCAGAATCCCATTCTCTCTTTACCTGCCTCAATTCCTCTACTTTGGTCTGGCTGTATGCCTCATCCATGTAGTCAGACCCACCCTGACTTTCTCCACCCTTGCTTCAATCCTGGTTCTGTAAGGGCTCCAGGCCAGCCCTCAACCTCCTATCTCTTCTCCCACCAGTAGCAGAAAAGCCTTCTCTCTTGGGTCCCTGTCACCTTGTAAACAAGACAAGAGTGTTGGAGTCTTTGTTCCCATCTTCTGTGTGAGGAACAGGAAATGTTCTTCACTCTTTCCCTCCCCCTACTTTGTCCATACTTTATCCTGTTGTACTCAGTCTTTGCTAAAACTTTAAAAAAAAAAAAAGATGTCCATGGAAGTATACCCAGACTAGGCCTGAACCATGTTCCCCCACACACACTGGTTCCCTGCTCTATGGTCACATATTCAACCCTGTGGCTAGTACCAACCTCCTCCCCTCAGATCTCAGGTGACCCCAGGGCCAGGCCCATGGGTCACAACTGCTGTCCCTGCTCAGAACCACGGGCCAGGAAGTACAAGTGTGGCCTGCCCCAACCATGTCCTGAGGAGCACCTGGCATTCCGCATGGTCAGTGGAGCCGCCAACGTCATCGGGCCCAAGATCTGCCTCGAGGACAAGATGTGAGCTCCTTGGGGGACACAGGGCCTGAGAAGTGAGAAGGCTCTAGGGCCAAGGGCTGAGGGCTGTGTGAGGAAGAACAGAGTAGATATTCACAGAAGTTTTCTGTCCCCCTACTAGGCTTATGAGCAGCGTCAAGGACAATGTGGGCCGTGGGCTAAACATTGCCCTGGTGAATGGTGAGTACCTCATGCTGCCAGGTCAAAGTTCAGGCCACAAAAGCAGGAGCCATGTTCTGACCTGACCCCTCTCCATACTTCCTCTGCAAACATAGGCAACTTCTGGGTGTTTGCCCTGGCCCTCCCCTCCAGAAACTTCCAAGGAGCCTTGGGAAAGGGTCTGTGCCAGCTGAAGGCTCTACAAAGCAACCCAATTCACAAAAGCATAGTAGCAGTAAAGGGTGCCTTGTGGGAGCCCCTGGAGGGCCTCAAATGCCAGAGGCTCCATGCTTCTGAGTGGGACGCAGCTATCTGGATAAGGGGATGAATAAGAGGGGAGGGTTGAAAAGCTTCCAGAAGGACTGCACCCAGTTGTTACCTGCCCACCCACTGTGTCCTGAGCCTGGTTTGGGGCCAAAGTAGTAGGGTAGGGAAGCCCTGGCAGCTTACCCAGCAGGACTTCCCCCTTCTCTTGATGCAGGGGTCAGCGGTGAGCTCATTGAGGCCCGGGCCTTCGATATGTGGGCTGGAGGTGAGCGGCAGCCACTACTTCCTGCTGGACGTGTTTTCCCAGAAATCCTGTCCTGTGTCCATGCACTCAGGCTTGTCAAACACTTCCCTGGGTTCACAAAAGGCAGGGGAAGGGAGAGACCACCATGTCTGTATAGACACTGTGTTTTGTGACAGGACATCCCTGGCTTCTTTACCAGTTTGTCCATGCCACAATAGTGGTCCTCAATGGGGCGTGTCCCTGGCCCAATCCCTACTTTGTTTTTTCCTCATTTGGAGAACAGTGGTTGCTGGGGAAGGGGTACTCAGTGGGGCCTGAAGCTCCAAGTTCCATGGGCCCTACCCCCTCAGATGTCAACGATCTTTTGAAGTTCATTCGGCCATTGCACGAAGGTACCCTGGTGTTTGTGGCATCCTATGACGACCCAGCCACCAAGTAAGTGACTGCCAAAGCCAGCCTCAGCCTTGTACCTAAACAGTGACAGCTTACAGCTCACATTTCTTCCTTGTGTGGCAGGATGAATGAAGAGACTAGGAAGCTTTTCAGTGAGCTGGGCAGCAGGAATGCCAAGGAGCTAGCCTTCCGGGACAGCTGGGTGTTTGTGGGGGCCAAGGGTGTGCTGAACAAGAGCCCCTTTGAGCAGGTACAGCAGAGAACCCGGCACCTCCGCCTCGCAGCCCTGGCAGCCTAGCTGCCCTTTCTGTAAGCCTGCCCTTGAATTCTGCCCAGCAGGGCCCTGAGCTGATAAGTGGTAGCCCTGGCCCCCTTACTGTCTGCGGAGGGAGGGACAGTAACTTTGACCTTTCCTATTCTGTATGTATTTTATTCTAAAGGGTCTTTAAGTGGTAAAGTTTGCACATTGGCAAGATTCACAACTAAGAAGTCTTCTTCCCAAACATCTTAAATAATGCTCAGTCCTGTCCCAGTCCTCTCAAAATCCAGGGTGCCTGACCCTCATGGTGCTCTTCTCCCACCTTCCTTGGCTGCCAGACCCTGTTTAGGGCTGGGGGAGAAAGGAGAGCTCCTGGCCTCGTCCTCACCTTTGGGAGGCTCCCAGCAAAAGCCATGGTGACCCCAAGCCCTGTTCTCCACAACACACAAATCTCCAGGAGGTTTTGGCTGATGAAAAACCAGCTGAAGTGTCCCACCCCTGCCTTGCTCTTACTGCAGCTCCCTTGCAGCTCCCTGCAGCTGGGGACACACATTCTCAGTCCCCTCTGCGGTGCCTACACTCCATAAAAGTCCAGTCCACCTATGAGGGGATGGGCCAGTGCTGTCACTGCCATTTTTCCCTGGGGCAGAGGAAGGGGGTGAGAGTCTGGAGAGCACTCAAGTGTTGGCACAGCATAAGAGGCAGAAGGCCCGGGCCCCGGCCTGCTTCTGTCACCTATCCCTGGGGGCCAGACTGTGACTTCCTGCCCCACTCCCCTGCCCTGCAGCATGTGAAGAACAGTAAGCACACCAACAAGTACGAGGGCTGGCCGGAGGCGCTGGAGATGGAAGGCTGTATCCCCCGAAGGAGCATAGCCGGCTAGCACAGCTGAGCTCCAGGACCAGGCTGAGGGAGGCGGCATGGCGCCAGTGCAGGGTGGAGGCCTTGCCCTATGCCCAGGAAGGAGGCTCCTCAGCCCCAACACATCCGGGCTCCAAGGCAGTGACCAGATGGCCTCAAGGTGATGGGGGCCACGGGGCTGGCCCATTGCACTTTGTCACGGGAGCCCATCTCCTTGTTTTCCTAAAACTGGCCCTCCAGTCAGCCCCCAACCCCCATTCTCCTCCACTCCTCATGTCACCTTCTTCCAATCCCTGAGAGCCCACGGTGGCAAGAGTGCTGGGTGCTTGCCCCCATCATTGTAGCAACCATCTGGCAGGCTGGGGCCTCTTCCAGAACATCTCCCTTCTAGAGGCGTTCATTGTACTGCAGGGCAAACCTGTTTCCAATGTGATTCCTGTCAGTGAGCCAAATCTGATGGCCACTTCTGCAAGCCTGACTGCCTCCTGCCTCACTCTCAGCAGGAGCTGACCTTGGGTGGCAAGGTAGTCGGCACCTGATCAAAGTTCCTAAGGAATCATGTGGCAGCATGCAACAGCCTGCAGTTGTCAGAGGGCCCACCTTCTAGATGGCCTCTTAATAAATTGATGGCCCCCAATGGAATAAAATGCATCCAGATGTTGTCCTTAGTGAGTCAGGGGTGCTGTTGTCCTATGTGTGTGGAGGGGACAAGTCCCAGAGGCTCAGCCAACCTATTCCCTGCAGTGGCCCTGCAGACAGCCTTTGTCTTCAGGGCCACTGCCATCAACAGGCTCTGCTGTGGCTCAGATGTGACTCAGGTTGGTAAGCAGAGTAGCTCCCCAGCTGGCATCATCCATAGCCTTGACTGGGAGAGATGGCTCCACCCTCCAGGAGAGACATAAGAACTAAAACCATCCCAGGTGCTGGACTATCAAATATAGGGAGGCAGAAGCAGTGTCTGAGTTCAGAAAAAGAAAAGGCAGTTTGGACTTCCTAAGTGGGAGGAGTCAAGGGCATCATGGTAATTTGAGGTGGCCATGTCAGGGGTGATGAGCTTAGGAGTGGCATTAAATGCCGCCAGTCCCAGAGAAAGGGCTGAGTGCAAACGAAACCTCAAAAAATGAAAGTATTTCAGTGGCAGGTAGATGTTGAGTCAGAGGCATGGGGTGCCCAGGTGGAGAGGCCACCATGGTGGAAACGGGTGTACCCAGAGAAACAAGGATTCAGCTTGCTTATTTTGTATATATGAAATGATAGCAGACAACACCCAGCCTTGAGTCTGTGCTAAACTCTTTACAGTGGATTCCATCCCCAGCACCACAAAAAAAAGTCCTAGGGCTGGGAGTGTGGCTCAGTAATGGAGCACTTGCCTGTTACATCTGTCTACTCCTTTTTTCAGGAGACTTCCTTTTTTTGGAGCCATTTTAGGTTCACAGAAAAATGAGCAAAAATTATAGAGAGTGCCTAACCCCACCCATCAACTTCCAGTTTGCTATAGTCAATGAACCTACATTAGTTTACATTAGGGTTCACTCTTGGTATTGTACATTCTTGGGTTTTGACAAAATTGTGTAATGACATCTATTCACAATTATAGTATCAAAGACATTCATTTCTTAAATCTTTTACTATGGAAATTTTCAAAAATTTCCAAGAGTAGAGAGAATAATAGAACTCCAGCGCACCCTTCACCTGCTTCCATGATGATTGACACGTGACCAGTATTGTCTCTTCTGCACCCTACCATGTTTCCTATATGTTAAGGCAAATCTCAACTTTGTTATACCCTTACGTGGTTCACACAACACTAGCAAGTCCAGCCATTATCCCTGCTGTACAGAAAAAGGCCCTGTTGAGCTTAGGAGGGTTACTCAATGGAACCACTGGTTCCTAGCTTGCCCCCAGATGAAACTGATCCTCACACTGTGAGGCTGGGAAAGGCATAGAACTGTGCCTGCCAAACAATTGCTAAGATTGCCCGGTATTCCTCCAATTTGTCCATTTGCTTAACAAATATTTACCAAGTACCTGTGTTAGGCCAGCCACCATGCTGAATGTACACTAGGAACGTGGAAGAGAGCCACAGTGATGACTTCTCTTTCCTCAGGGGACTACAGTCTGCTGCTAAGGGGCTCCAGTATGATGGAGATGGAAACAACATGGCCCAGACAGGCTAGGAAATTGATGGTGCAGAGCACAGCATGTCTGGCTTTCCTGCCTGTCTTTCACCAGGGTGTGCACAACCCCCATCACCACCACCTACTCTTTAGCAGTTAGCATATCTTCGCAAGTGCCAGAATCCAAACTGAAACAGCGGATGTAATGTATTGTTCCTTTAATGGGCCCCAAACCCCCAAGTGATTCTAGTTCCAATAATGTCATTTGGATATAGGCTCTCTCCATCCCTTGGCACTGCTTTTCTTTTTTCCTTCAGTTTCCAATATGCTGTCTTCCCTGGGTAGTGGGGGAAAATAGTAGGGTCCCCATTTAGCAACCCAAGCAGAAAAGAGTTCCCACCTTCCCGATAGTTTCAGTACAACTCCCTGAAGACCAACTCTCCTTGGTCCAGATTGGATTATGGGCTTATCTTGGCACCAAGCTGAATGGCTCTGACTGGCTACATCTGGGCACGTGCTCACCTCAGGGGCCAGTGTTAGGGTCATCGACACACATTCAAACCATGTGTACCAAGAGTGGAGAAGGGAATGGTTCTTCCAGAGAAAACTGATGTGCTATGACATGATGCTAGGCAGGCAAGGTCTACAATTGCAACCACGCTTCTCTAGAAGTGCATGTACCCCATACATGCACTTGTATATGACTTCTATGCCTGCTTATTTAGCACATATTTCTGGAGGCCCCTGCCTGGAGAGCAAGAGCCAGGCTTGCTCTCAGGGTCAACACTGTGGTCCTATTACACATTACAGTGGCAGGTCTCCCATCTGACTTCCTTTTTGGAACCAGATGTCCTTGCCTAATCTGTACAGCCCTTCTTTTTTCTCTCCTGGGATAAATTATTGGTCCCATGAGCCCACTAAACATTCTTTCCTTCCTCCTTTTCCTGCAAACAAAGCCACCGTATTCTTCATGTCAGATATCCCACCATCCTCCTCTGGATTTTCAGGGAAGGCTGAAGTGATTGACAATAATGAAAAGCAAGCTGGGTGCTGGTGGCTCACACCTGTAATCCTAGCTACTCAGGAGGCAGAGATCAGGAGGACTGCAGTTCGAAGCCACCCCAGGACAAGCTTCAAACTGCATGATCCTATCTCAAAAAAAAAAAAAAATCACAAAAAAAGGGCTGGTGGAGTGCCTCCAGGTGTAGGCCCTGAGTTCAAGCCCCAGTAATGTAAATAAATAAAATAAAATCATAATGGAAAACTTTTGCTCCCCTTGACTCCTGACATACAACAGGAATTGTTGGCTCTCAAGTGGCCAGGTGCAGGTGCTATTCAGGTTCATTGAACAGCATAAGGTAGGCCCAAGAGCATAGGCAACTGGAATATGAAAATTCAAGTTTCCTAGCCAGGTGCTGGTGGCTCACAATTATAATCCTAGCTATGCAGGAAGCAGAGATCAAGAGGGTTGCGGTTCAAAGCCAACCTGGGCAAATACCCAACACAGAAAAGGGCTGGTGAAGTGGCTCAAGTGGTACAGTGCCTGCCTAACAAGTGTGAGACCCTGAGTCTAGACTCCAGTGCTGCCAAAACCAAAAATACTCTGGTTTCCTCCAAAGACACACCTTTCAGGTTGTCCTTCCGTGGCTCTTTCAGCTGATTTTTTTTCTCCCTGTGGCCAATTTCACCCCATCCTCAGACAGCCCCTATCCCCACTGCCCTTTTCCAGGCGGCAGTCTTCAGCCCCAGCATGTGACAAACCCAACCCTCTCACATGTCTTTGCTCCAAGGACTGCCTGCTTCCATCAGTACCCCTCAACCCCATTTGAGAGGGACAGTACCAACGTTCTGGGACACGAAGTACTTGCACACAAGTGGTATACTTACTGGTCCTGTTGAGCCCAAAGAATAGCCTAGAGCTATGATGGTTACAAATGTTTTCCATCACTCATACCTGAAATCCCCTTGAGCATGTACCCCCCAACATGTACATTTGCTTATATGTCATATACTTGTACTAATTTGAACGTTATAAAACATAATTTTTAAATAAATGCTTTAAATTTCAATGTAAATAAATTTATTAAAATTATGATTATTTGAAAAAGAGACACTACGGGGGTTTTTTTGCCTTTTCTTTTTTGGTGCTGGGGATGGAACCCAGAGCCTGGTATATGCTAGGTAAACGCTCTACCACTGAGCTACATCCCAGCCCAATGTTTTGGTTTTTTTTTCACATTCCCAACCATGACTTTGGGGAGCACTGGCCTCCATCACAGCCATGATGAGTTCATTTGGGGTGGGGTTGGGGGCTGTTACTAGGGTTGTGAACTGAAGGCCTTGATGCTCTACCACTTGTGCCACATCTCCAATCCAAGATTCATTTAACTTATTATGTATTTATTTGCCTATTTACTTTTGTTGTGCTGGGGGTGGAACCCAGGTGTTCACGCAAGCTAGGCAAGTGCTCTACACCCCAACGGAAGATGTTCTTCTGTGAGATGTTCTTCTGTGTGTGGCGGTCCTGGGGATTGAGCTCAAGTTCTCATGCTTGCCTCTGCCACTTGAGCCACACCCCAGTCCTTTCGCTTTTAGTTTCTTTTTAGAATAGTGTCTCGCTCTTTTGCCCAGACCAGCCTTGGACCTCGATCCTCGTACCTCCGCCTCCAGAGTAGGTAGGATTACAGTTATACGCCACCATACTCATCAAGAGGCTCAAGAAGTTCATTTTAGAGCAAGTGCCCCAGAAATCTTTGGGAACATACGAATCACTTTTAACTGCACTTGTTTACTGTCTCCAGCACCCTTTCTACACTCCCACCACCCTTTTTTTCCATCCTTCTGCCCTCTGTTTCCATTCCTTTCCAGCAAACCCTCCGAACCTTGACGGTGGCGGAACGATTCGCCTAAGTGACTCGCTAAGCACTGCGCGCAGCGCCAGCCAGCTGTGACTCAGGAAGCAGACAGCCGCGCGCCGCCTTGTGGCTCTCAGAAACGTCACATCCGCTCGGAACCCCACTTCGCCACCTGAGGCAAGGGGCCGCCATGGGAGGGCGGGGTCCTGGCGCGCGGGCGGAGCCTCAGCCGGGCGGGGCGGGGCCTGTGGGGGCGGGGCGGGGCCCTGGCGGGCCGCTAGCGGGCGTCTGCTGGCCCGGCAGGCGCTGGTGTCGAGCTCCGCGGCCGCGGAGGCAGGTGAGAGCCTTTGGCCGGGAAGGGACGGGCGGGAGGTGGCTTCTGGCCCCGACCCCGCTCCGCAATCGCCCACTCAGGCACCCCGGCCCAGCCAGACCCTACAGGGAAGGACCGCAGCGCATTCGCCAGCCTGGCGGGCCATAGAGTTACGTGACTGCCCCCCTGACCCCAAAGAGACCATTGGGCCCGATCATGCACCTTTCCTGCGGTCCCTACCCGGTTCGCGCCCGGGTTCTGCGTGTGCCCCACCTGACAGTCTCCACAGTTCCAGGTGGGAAGCAGTCCCGCTCAGCACTGCCCGTTACCTTAAGCCCCCAAACACTCTGCTGATGTGAAGAAAGCATCCTGCCCGGATTGCCTCCCCTGCCTTGGAGAGCATCTGCTCAAACTCTTCCAGCCCCTCAAGCAGAAACGGTGTGGGATCCTGGCCAAACCCTGCTTGCAGTAACCCAAGGCCGCCAGCCCTGCTGAAGGGATGGGGAGTGGGGTGGATGGCCCTTAGCCTCTCCCGTAACTCCCAACACTGCTGCCTGCATCTTTTCCTTTCCACTTGACTTCTACCCGACCCTGGTTTTCCTGCCTCCCTCTTCAGCTGTGAGACATAAGGTTGGACCATGGCTCCCAGGGTAAGTGACCTAAGCTCCAAGCCAGCAGGACTATTGCATTCTAGGGTGGGGGTGGGGAGATTTTCCCAGAGGTGAGCCTTTTTCTGAACTTGCCCTCCTCCCCCCAATTTTCCCTCTCCCCAGCCTCGGAGGGAGGGCCAAACACTGATTTAGGATTCAGAGGGGTGGGGTCTCTGCAACACTACAGGGGCATGAAGCAACTGACAACAGTGATGTAAAAACTGCTCTGTCCTCATCCTGATTGTCCCAGTTGTAGCACATGATATGATGGGTCTTGGCCGCCCAATGGAGAAGAAGAAGGGAGGCAGACCCCCTCCTTTCACTCTGAGATACGCAACCAACTAGAAACCCTCAAGTTCCACTGGCAGTTTTGGCTCTGGTAGGGGCACACATGGGGGAAGGCCCTGGACTCTGTGCAGAGCCCCTCAGATGTAAGGCAACACCTCTAGGGGCTCAAATTCTGAGACTGCCAGAGAACTGGGAGCTCTGGCAGAAGTACCCCAGTGGACATCAGACCCAGTCCTGCTGCCCTTTCCTGCAACTTCCCCAGGACCCTGTCTTGTCACGGTAGACAGGTAGGGCAGGCCATGTAGCCAGAGCAGCAGTATTCCCAACTGCGTGCCAGTGGCAGACGTCAATCCCTGGAGCCTTTGGCCCAGTGGTCACCTACTGCCATGCCACTTTACCACTACATTGTGCAAATGACACTCAGATCTCCAGCCTGCTCTCTGAAGACTTCCTGGATCTGGCCCAAGACTGTGTACCCATCAACACCCTCTGTTCTCATCCAGCTGGTCTTTTTGTCCTCCCACCCTCCACCCCCCCAGGAAGCTTTTGAAAGGTTTCATCTCCATTGTAATTATCATTACAGCCCTGCTGTGCTTTCATCTTGAAGTCAGTGGGGAGAAGGCTAGTGGTGACAGGAATACAGGTAGCTCTCCTGAATCCCTTGGTATCAGGACATCTCTGCAAGGCCACTATGGTGGGCAAGCACAGGGAAATCGAAATCGGCAGGTATGGCAGGCTGAATGGGAGTTCCTATCTGTAGGTGGCCCCTCAGGATCAGTGATGAGATGCTTGAGGCAGCTGTGCTGGGGGAGGGGCCTGTGCTACCTGTTGCCTTCCCATTCCTGAGCTTGGGGCAAGAGCTCTGCTGAGCCTTCCGGCAGTGGACTTCCAGATCCCCCATGGTCCTGGGTTTGCAGATGCTCACTTTCACTCTCTGTGCTCCTTCTCTTCTCAGGGAGAGCCCTGCCATCAAGAAAGGCAGCACAGGACCGGCTTCTGCTCATGGACCCGTCTCAGGACAACTCAGCAGCACCAGTAGGGGTGCCTTCCTAAGCTGCAGAGGGCCTGGGCACAGTATCCTTCAGGAAGAGCCATGGTGTTCAGGAGGGGCGGCAGCAGCTCCCAGCTGTGGCCTGGCCCCCTAGATATGCTTGGAGCTGCACTGCTGCTCATCAGCCTGCTACAGGGGGCCCAAGGGATGGCCAAGGCCAACCTCAGCACTGCTCTGGGCCACACAGGGGGCCGCTACTTGAGCATTGGGGATGGCTCAGTAATGGAGTTTGAGTTCCCTGAGGAGAGTGAGGGCATCATTGTGATCTCAAGCCAATATCCAGGACGGGCCAATAGGACAGGGCCCAGCCCCACACTGAGGGTTACATCCCTGGACACGAAGGTGCTGACCATCAAGAACGTGAGTGCCATTACCTGGGGCAGTGGGGGTGGCTTTGTGGTGAGCATCCATTCAGGCCTAGCTGGACTGGCCCCACTCCACATCCAGCTCATTGACCTACACGAGGCTGCACCCATGCTGATTGAGGAGCGGAGAGATTTCTGCATCAGGGTCTCACCTGCTGAAGACACCCCTGCTACCCTCAGCACCAACTTGTCCCACTTCTCGGAAAACCCAATACTGTACCTGCTTCTGCCTCTTATCTTTGTCAACAAGTGTTCATTTGGGTGCAAGGTGGAACTCGAGGTTCTGAAGGAGCTCCTGCAGAGCCCCCAGCCCATGCTGCTGGGCCTCTTGGGCCAATTTCTGGTCATGCCTTTCTATGCTTTCCTGATGGCCAAAGTCTTCATGCTGCCCAAGGCCCTGGCCCTGGGCCTCATCATTACCTGCTCGTCACCCGGTGGTGGGGGGAGCTACCTCTTCAGCCTCCTTCTTGGAGGGGATGTCACCCTGGCCATTTCTATGACTTTTATCTCAACAGTAGCTGCCACAGGTTTCCTACCACTGTCCTCAGCCATCTACAGCCACCTGCTCAGCATCCACGAAACACTCCATGTGCCCATCTCCAAGATCCTGGGGACCCTGCTATTCATCGCCATCCCCATAGCAGCAGGGGTGCTGATCAAGTCCAAGCTCCCCAAGTTCTCCCAGCTGCTGCTGCAGGTCATCAAGCCCTTCAGCTTTGTGCTCCTCTTGGGTGGCCTCTTCCTGGCTTACCACATGGGGGTCTTCATCCTGGCAGGTGTCAAGCTACCCATTGTACTGGTGGGCTTCACGGTGCCCCTGGTTGGCCTCTTGGTGGGCTACTGCCTGGCCATGTGCCTGAAGCTGCCAGTGGCCCAGCGACGGACAGTGAGCATTGAGGTAGGGGTGCAAAACAGCCTGCTAGCCTTGGCCATGCTGCAGCTGTCCCTCCGCCGCCTTCAAGCAGACTATGCCTCGCAGGCCCCATTCATTGTGGCACTGAGTGGTACCTCCGAGATGCTGGCCTTGGTCATTGGCCACTTCATCTACAGCAACCTGTTCCCAGTTCCATGAGGCCCCTAGGTCAAGCTTTCATCACCTCAGCCCCTACACTCCATCCACTGTCCCCACAGTTCGTGTGTACCAAAGGCCTTTAGTTCTCATGTACTATGCACTCAGCCAAATCCAGGCTTATTTTTTTTTACTGGTTTTTTATTCTCCGGCTTTCAGTGCCAAAGAGGCCATGCTGGTTTAGGTAGATGGGCACTGCCCAGAAAATATATTTCAATAAAAGAGAGAAGCAAGCCTGGGTCCCTTCCAATCCTTGACCCTTGAGGCCTGGGGAGGGGAGTAGGTGTGGACCAGAGTGGAGGATGGGCTTCAGTGGCATGGTGACCCCTGCACAGGCTTTTTTTTGAACAGTGCCGGGAAACCAAACCCAGGTCTTTGCACGTGGTAGGCAAGTGCTCTACCTCTGAGTGGTAGCCGCAAACCTGTATAGGCTGTCTTGACGTCCTCCCTGTGCACCCCTCCTGTGAGAGGTAGGCCTCTCTTGTAGAATGAGCGATGGGAGGAAGAGGGCAGAAGCCTGGGTTCCCTTCTTGCTCCAAAACTCGGCCTTTTTGTTCTGCTTTGGTTTGTTTGTTTGTTTGTTTGTTTGTTTGTTTTTGCAGCCAGAGTAGAAAAAGGAGGCAGAAAGCCACCAAGCGGTGGGGCAAGTTTGGCAGGGCTAGGCTATTTCTGTCAAAGAGAGACACAATGGCAGGGGGAGGGGTGCACTGACTTGCTCCTCGAGCAGGCTGGGAACTTGGGGCGGGCCAGGCCTAAGGGAGCCGGCAGACTTCCTGGTCCTTCCTTCTCCCAACCTCTAGCTCCCAGATGAAGCAAACCTGGCCCAACTCGTTCCTCCTCCCCAACCTGGAGGACTGGGAGCGCCAGTCCTCTGCACCATCGCCGCGGGGGGATCCGACAGGCTGCTCGGTCCCCGTGGCAACTCTTCCCGGGGCGCGGCCGGGGCGGAGGCGGGGCGGGCCGGGGGGATCGAGGGACGTGGGTGAGGAGCTACGGCGGCGGGCGCGCCCCGCTCGCGGCTTCCGGCGGCGGCGGGCGGTGCCGGCGCGCGCCCGGGGCGGCGGCGCGCGGCTGGGGGCTGTTGGGGTTGGCATTGGCCGTAGTGGACACCGGCGCGGTCACCATGCAGCTGACGGTGAAGGCACTCCAGGGCCGCGAGTGCAGCGTGCAGGTAGGGCACTAGGCCCGGATCGCCGGGCCCGGCCAGCGCACTCACCCTCTCCAGTAACTGGGTAACTGGGACGGGCACGAGTAGAGGACGAAGACGGGTCGGGCGGGCCAGCCAGGCCAGGGAGGCTGGGAGAGGTGACCTCAGGAAGGGACGCGAGGGTTTCGCCGCCCAGGGGCTGCGGCCTGAATCCCTGCCTCCCACCCGCGGCCCGGTTAGGTGCCGGAGGACGAGCTGGTGTCCACGCTGAAGCAGCTGGTCTCCGAGAAGCTGAACATCCCCGTGTGCCAACAGCGTCTGCTGTTCAAGGGCAAGGCCCTAGCAGGTAACCAGGGAAAGGAGACGCCCATGGAGCACTGCAGGAAGTCGGGCGGCGGGTGTGCAGGCAGAGCCCAGGCATCAGTGTGATGGACCAGGGCTCTGGCTCCAGGCACCAAGTGACACTTGACCCTAGGGAAGCTGGCTGAATCCACCACAGCCAGATGCCATAGCACTGCGCTCTGGCTGCCTGGGGCGGGTGGCATCGCTTCCGGGGCCACACCCACAGCTGCGGGTAAGGAGCCCCACCAATCTCTCTTTGGCAGATGAGAAACGACTGTCAGATTACAACATTGGGCCCAATTCCAAACTCAACCTAGTGGTTAAACCTCTGGAGAAGGTGTTACTGGAAGCAGGCACTACCCGGAGACTGGCTGACTCCTCACCCCCACCAATCTGGCAGTTGATCTCCAAAGTCCTGGCCCGCCACTTTAGTGTGGCAGATGCCAGCAGGGTCCTGGAACAACTACAGAGGGTGAGAAGGGCAATCCTGGATGTCCGGTCCCAGCTGCTCCCACCCCCTGCCTCTGTCACCCGCTGAATCTTCTTGGCTTTCTCTTCTCAGGATTATGACAGGTCCCTGAGCCGCCTGACACTGGACGATATTGAACGTTTGGCCAGCCGCTTCCTGCACCCCGAAGTGACTGAAGCTATGGAGAAGGGGTTCTCCAAATAGCATTCTCAGATTATGGGGAAGAGCCCGAGGCTAAGCCACAGCTGCATGTTGCATTAAATGTGTTCTCATGTTGCAGTTTGGCTCATAGTAATAATAATAGCTGGTATGTATCCAGCTCTTACTATGTGCTAGGCACTGCTCAAAGGACTTGACCTGGGTTCTCTTCCGCCTCCTGCAGAAGAGGTGAGATAGCACAGTAGAGGTACCTAGCATGGTGTGGGACAGCCAGAATCTGAGTCCAGCCAGCTTGTAGAAGTGCCTCAGCATGGAAGAAAGGTGCTGTTTGGAGGGATGGGCTTCAGCATTTCCCATTTAGCCCAGAACAAACCCTTGGGTGACTCCCTCCCAAGACAGAAAGGGAAAGCAGCTGGCCCCTGCTGCCCAGTCCTGTCACCTGACTTCTAGTGCATCTTGGCGTAGCCCTCAGCAAACCTCCACAGGAGGCCAAGTGATAGCCAGCCTTGGGCCCCTCACCTGCTGCAGCCAGTGTGCTCTTGATGAAGGAAAAGCAGGTTAGGAGTTGGGGAGCCGGTAAGTCACCCCAGCTCTGGGGTATGATGAAATTTCTGTACCACTTTGGTAACCCAGCCATTGAGTCTGTACGACGAGGGTCACTCCTCCGACCTGAATCCATTTCCTTCTTCCTTACCCCAGCTTAGGGTGAGGAGTCTGTAGCCATTCTATGCAGTTCCACCTTGTGTTCAGTAAGCAACTGAAGCCGAAAGGGAAGCTATAGCCAAGCACGAGCCAGAGATGGAGTGTTCTGGGACTTGGTGACACAGCTCTTCTCTGGGGTACCCTGTCTGCTTGGCTCCTCCTCCCGGAAGTGGGGGATTCTCGTCCATGAGAGCAGACAGGTGACTCAGCTAGGACCGCCTTGGCCTCTGCACCCAGCGCTCATCTACACTCTGGAAAATGGATGCTTTCTCCGCCACCTGCATACAGGGTCTTTTACTTTGCACACCCTCATTGTCTGTGAGGAGCCTCAGGGTGCTGGGGAGGAGACAGAAGTGTGGGCTGGGTGGCAGTGATTCTTCTTTTCACTGTGCCCTGTGTATGGGTGCTAGGGGTCATATAAGCACCTGCTCCTTCGTGGAGGACCCTTGGGAGCAGTAGAGGATGGAAGGCAGCCACATGCAGGATACCACTCCTGCCCCTCTGCTCTCACCAAGGAGGCCAGTTTCAGTGTGGTCAGGGCTGCACCTGCTTCCTCGTCCAAGACCCTCCTGCCAGGGCCTTGTGGAGTGAACACAGTCCCCGTACTGGAAAGATGGAGAAAGGCCTGAGGGTGAAGAGGAGATGATAGCCCCTGGTGCTCCCTGAGAGATGGGGATCACACAGGCAGGACCTGCTTAGAAGTGTGTGTGGCCTGGCAGTTCAGCTGATGAACTTAGGATGTGCTCAGTTATTTTGAGTCAGGGAACGTATTTTGAAAATTAACTAACACGAATGATGCATGTGAGACTTTTACCCAAAAGGAACTTGATTAGCTAGGCTGCTTTTGGTTTTCAATAATTGGTTTAGCAATAAAGGAAACTCACTTACAAAACTGAAAAGTCCAGGAGTACTGGCAGTGAACGAACAATTTCACCAAATACCCGGCTTCTTTTGCTTCTTGCTGCATCCTCCAGTAGCTGCTGAATCCTCAGCCACCACCTCCAAGGATCAGAAGGTGGCCTGCCGCTTCAGTTGGAATGCTTCATTCACTGCCAGGGAGGAGCACTTTCTCTCTGTAGTGTAGCTTCTGTCTCATGCCCCAGCAAATAAATGCTGTTGTTTCATTGGTCAGCACTGGGTCTTGTGTCCAGTCATTTCAGGGGAACAGTGAGAGGGGGTAGTAATTGCCCATGAGGACTGGCTCCCCTGGAGCCAGGCATGGGGGCTGCTTCCTTGGACACATGTAGACTGCACAAGGGACTGGGGAGGTCCTGGAAGAGGGCTAAATGGATGTCTTTTTTTTTGGGGGGGTGGGTGGCAGACTAGAGTTTGAACGCAGGGCCATGCCCATGCCTCCAGTCCATTTTGCTCTGGTTAGTTTGGAGATAGGATCTTACAAACTGTTTGCCCAGGCTGGCCTCCAGCCTTGATCCTCCCAATCTCAGCCTCCCAAGTAGCTAGGGTTACAGGTGTGAGCCACCACAACTTGGCTATATGGAACCCTTGAATGGTGGCTGCAAATAGCAACTGTCATACATGTGTCAGAAACATCACAGTCACCTTGGATGTAATAGGAAGGGCTGGACGAGATGAGGTAGTGGGATCAGACGAAGGAAGGTTTTCTGATGTTTGCAACTGTTGCATCTGTTCGAAGAGGTTTAGACCTACCGGCCGGACTCACTGTCCCACTCTACAGGCAAAGACGCAAACCCTAGACAGTTATTGAATCCCTTGTGCCAATGTCTCCCAACTTTGGGTGCCAGCGGCTGTAGGCCTCACGTTTGGAAGCTCATCCTGGCCAGAGATGGGTGAGTTTCGATGGTACAGTTGGCAAGTTTTGCCAAATGGCTGCTTGTGGACTGAGGGGAACTAAATGAAGGAGTCACACTAAGGAGCCAGAGAAAGAGCAGGGTTCTGGGAAGGGCCTAAACGTAGTTTTGTGGCTTTAGAAAGCTAGGGGTGCCACCTGCTGGGTGGTTGCATGTGGGAATCAGGGTTGGGGACATGGAAATGAGGAGTGAGGAGTCCTCAGGGTGTGTGTTGTAGGCCTTGCAGATGGTTGGAAAAGCTGACCCAAAAAAGCAAGAAGAGGGTACCATTTGGTGGTCAATCACTGGATTGATTATTCTAAACCCTTTCCAAGTTTTTAAAAATTTATTAGTGTATATTAATTGTACAAAGGGGTTTCACCATGGTATTTTACACATGCATATATTACACTTTCATCAGATTAACCCCTTCTATTGCTCTCTCCTTTCCCCATCCCATTCCCCCTCTAAGCCCTTTTTGTGCAGAACTCTTTCTTGTTTCAACCTCACCTGACTGCCAAATGCTGAGGAGTGGATGAGCCAGGACTTGAACCCAGCCCTGCTCCTATCCCTGAGCCCATGTGCTGCTGTGCTCAGGAGTTATCTGTAGACAGGGAGTCCTAGAAGCTGTAAGGGTGGGTGACATGGTTACCTAGAGAAAGCAGCATGAAAAGAGGGGAGAGGACTGAGCCTAGAGGAACTGCCCCAACTACAGAGGAAGTAGCAGCAGAGGCACTGGCAAGGAGGCTGAGGAGGATCCACAGACATAGAGCCGCAGCACTATCAAGCGCAGGCCTCCAGAAAGGGAGGCTGTCCAGAGCTGCCAAGACGTGAAGCGAGTGCAGGATGGTGTTTCCTTTGGAGTTAGTAACACAGAGGTTGCTGGCAATGCTGGCGGAAGTAAAGCCACTGTGTGGTGGGCAAGGAGTGAGGGAAGACAGAGCGGTGACAAATGCTGCAGGGAGAGATGGGAAGAGGGGCGTGAGAGGAGACTGGGGCTCTGCATGAAAATGGAGCAGCTGCAGGCCCCAAATTCTAAGATCCTTCAGCAGGGTCTGGAATGTTTACTTCAAGGCCCTCTGAGCCAAGAGTCCACACCAAGAGGTAGCACCAATCTAGCACTGCCCACTGCCCAATACAAGGCACTGATACTCACTACCTACTCCTCAGGGAGAGCCCTTGGAAGAGTCCTTGAGACCCAGGGATGTGGTATTATGATGATGACACCAGGAGACGGCAGTGTGAATGAAGGCCCAGGCTAAAGTGGCCTCTCCAAGACAGAAGTGGCCTGGAGCCAGGCATGGTGGTGCATGCATGTTATCACTGCACTGGGGAGGCTGAGGCTGGAAGATCACGACTTTGAGGCTAGCCTGAGCTACAGAGCAAATTCAAGGCCATCCTGGGCTCTGTAGTGAGAACCTGTGGCAAAAAACAAAACAAACAGGGCTGGCGGAGTGGCTCAAGTGGTAGAGCACTTGCCTAGCAAGCATGCGACCCTGAGTTCAAACCCCAGTATAGCCAAAAAGCAAAAGAAGTAGTCTGGTAGTTAGGATGTTTGGGTGGCTACTTCTCAAGGACCCATGGGAGGAGCAGACTCAAAGGAGAACAGCATTTGTGGAGTTGGAGGTACCTAGTGGAAAAATTAATGAGTGAGGCTTCAGTAAGAACTTGTGACCTCTTTCACATCAAAAGATTGGAGATGCTGGGCACCAATGGCTCACACCTGTAAACCTAGCTACTCAGGAGGCAGAGATCAGGAGGATCCTGGTTTGAAGCCAGCCCAGGCAAATAGTTCATGAGACCCTATCTCAAAACCCCATCACAAAAAAAGGGTGGAGTGGCTCAAGGTATAGGCCCTGAGTTCAAGCCCCAGTATCGCAAAAAAAAAAAAAAAATCACAAGTTCGCACTGAAACCTTCAATTATAATCCAGCATCGCAGTTCTTTCACACATTCCCTCATTCCACAATAAGAATTCTGGGTTCTGACATGATATATTTACTCATTTGCTCTTTCAGATAGAATCCGTCTTAAAGTGCACCCAAAATAGCTTCACACTCACCTCATCCCCATCATTATGGATGACAATTATGCTAAGGTAAAGCCAATTCTTTTTGTCCTTATTAATTTCCCTCAAAGGGAGGAAAATAACAGAATTGGGCTTTAAAAGCACTGAATCAGCCAGGCATGGTGGCACACACCATTAGTCCCAGTTGAGGTGGAAGAATCACTTGAGCCCAGAAGTTCAAGACTGCTTGGGCAACTAAAAATGGGCTGGAGGTGTGGCTCAAGTGATAAGGCACTTGCCTAGAAAGTGCCCTCAGTTCAAACAACAGTACCAAAAAAAAAGGCACCTAATTATCTCTGTGTGATTTTTGTCATAAAGGTTCATTTAAGCTTTTGGTGTCAATAGCCCTCCCAGAATCATGGTCAAGGTTCCTAAGCCCCACCTGACTTTCTGTGAAAAGTGTGGCAAGCACCAACCTCACAAAGTGACACAGGACAGAAGGGCCAGGCTTCTCTGTATGCCCTGGGAAAACAGTGCTATGACAGAAAGCAGAGTGGCTGTGGTGGGCAGACTAAGCTGATTTTCCAGAAAAAGCTAAAACTTCAAAGGAAATTGTGCCGAGGATGGAGTGTGTTGAGCCCAACTGCAGATTTAAGAGAATGCTGGTGACTAAGAACTGCAAGAGCTGTGAACAGCAGGAAGATGAGAAGAGAAAGGGGCAAGTGAACCAGTTCTAAGCTCCATCTTTTGTTTTCATTTAATTTTAACTTTGTTCGTATTCATTTATTCATTCTTTTGAGTTTATTTATTTATTTATTTATTTAGGTGGTGTTATGGTTTGAATTCAGGGCTTCTCACTTGCAAAGCAGGCGCTCTACCCCCTGAGCCACCCCTCCAGTCCATTTGGCTCTGGTTATTTTGGCGATAGGGTCTCTCCAACTATTTACCCAGGCCGGCCTCCACCCTCAATCCTCCCTGTCTCCCAAGTTGATAGGATTACAGGTGTGAGCCACCAGTGCCCAGTTTTAATTAGTTAATTTATTTTTGTGGTACTGGGGCTTGAACTCAGGGCCTTCACCTTGGAGCCACTTCACTAGTCCTTTTTTGTGTTGGGTATTTTTCAGATAGGGTCTCATGAACTACTTGCCTGGGCTGGCTTTGAACTGTGATCCTCCTGATCTCTGCCTCCTGAGTAGCTAGAATTACAGGTATGAGTCACCGGCCCCCTGGCTTGAATTTATTTTTGAACTTGTAAAATATTTACATAGTTGAAAGTCAAAAATACATAAAAAGGTGTATTCCAACAGATACCATACCCATCTCAATCTCCTGTAGATGACTATTTAAATTCATTTCTGGTATATTCTTCCTATCTTTTTTTTCCAAGAATCATTGTGCCTGTATTTATGTCCTTTGCGTTCTGCTTTTTTTTTTTTTCTTTTTGGTGATACTGGGGTTTGAACTCAGGGCCTTCAGCTTGCTAGTCAGGTGCTCTCCCAGCCATTTTCATTTAGCTATTTTTGAATAGTGTCTTGCATTTATGCACTATTGGGCCTGAACTTTGGTCCTACCATCTACACTTACTACACAGCTGGGATGACAAGCACGTGCCACCACAACCAGCTTTTTATTAGTTAAGATGGGATCTCATGAACTTTTTGCCTGTGCTGGGTTTGAACTCCCATTTTCCTGATCTCTGCTTCCAGAGTATCTAGGATTACATGAGTGAGCCACTGAGCCAGCTGCACTCTGCTTTTTTCACCTAACAAAATATTCTAGAAATCATTTAATTTTTATTAGATTTTGTTCTTTTTTATTGCTGCATAAAACTACTAGGTGAATAGCCATCTTTCTCTAGCTAATGGTCATACACATTTTCCAATGCCATTGACACCAGCGTGGAATAGCTTTCTATTACCAATTATGTTACATTAGCTTTGTGTATGTATTGTTTCATTTTGTGGAGTATCTTTTACATGCAAGAGTGCTGATTCAGAGATAATCAAGAATGTCTGTCTACCTTAATACTTTGTTCCTTTCAACACCCTACAAACTACAAACTGCTACACTGCACTGTATTAAGTGCTGAAGATATATAAAATGAACAAAAAAGATACCAGAGACAATATCAGCAATAAAGAAATGAATAGCCAGCTGCCGGTGGCCCATGCCTGTAATCCTAGTGACTCAGGAGGCAGAGATCAGGAGGATCGCAGTTGGAAGCCAGCCCTGGCAAATAGTTCATGAGACCCTATCTCAAAAAACCCATCATAAAAAAGGGCCAGTGGATAGTCCCTGAATTCCAGCTCCAGTACCGCAAAAAAAAAAGAAAAGAAAAGAAATGAATAGAGGGCTGGCGGAGTGGCTCAAGGGGTAGAGCGCCTGCCTAGCAACCATGAGGCCGAGTTCAAGCCCCAGTGCTGCCAAAAACCAAAAGTGAATAAAACAAGAATATAATTTCAGATGGTTAGAAATACTAGGTGGCAAATATGATGAAGAGTGGTACGGTGGAGGGGCTCAAGTGGTACAGCACCTACCTAATAGGTGTGAGGCCCCAAGTTCAACCTCAGTACTGAAAAAAGTTATGGTGAAGAGTACTTAGGAGTGCTACATTACACTGGTGATTCTGAAGACCTCGTGGAGGTGACATCAGCACCCAAATCCTAGTGATGAGAAGAAAGAAGCCATGGGAAAGTTTGAAACAATTTAAGTAGTAGACGATTAAGTGCAAAGGGATGGGAACAGGCCACCTTGGCCAGGGGGGCAGAGAAAAGGCCCCAGAAACTGCAGAGAATGAGGGAACAGGAAGGTGGCATAAAAAGGTGGCAAAGGAGCTGGGAGCCAGGTCCTAGGGTTTTTATAAGCTACAGCAAGGAGTTTGCATTTTATTCCAAGTGTAATGACAAAATATTTTTGGATTTTAGGCAGGGATGTGATTCGACGTAATTTATATTAGAAATTCATTCTGCTGTGTGGAGAATAGGCTGTAGAGGGCAAGTGTACAAGAAAATCAGTCTAGGAGCTGTTGAAAGTATTCAGGAGGGATGGTGGTCCCACTGGGGAGTAGCAGTAGAGGAGAGAAGAGGGCTGATGTAGGACCTATTTCGGAGGGAAACCCAAGATGACTTGCTGATGTAGGTCAGTATTTTATCGTTCCTTACAATTACAAAGGAGGAAAATAGAAAACCAACACAACAATCACCCTCGGAAATTTCATGTCACTTTAAAAACTTTTTGATTGTAAATGTCACCTTAGGTCTCTTTTGAAAATTTGAGGTGAAAACACAACAAAGAAATTGAAGTCTAACGATGCCATCACCCAGAGGTCCTGAGTATTTACACATTGGCATATTGTTCTAGGATCCCTGTGCATACACTATATAATTTACTTAATTGGTATTTTAGTGATTACAGTTCTGTGCTTTGCGTTTTCACATATCCTATTAGACCTATGCCACTGCCAGCACTTTGGTTGAGGTCCCTGTCACCTTCTCAACTTCGTGCTGGCAAGTTTTCCCTCCACACAACCCGCTCTAAAACACTTCTAAAACGCAAATCAGATCGGTTCACTGTCCCCTATGATAACCCCCCCTTTGGATGACCAATGGGGATGGAGTGCAAAGCAATATCCCCATGAGCAGCCAATCTCTTAGGGAACATTGGGTCTGGGTAAGAAACGGCGAGAATCCAGGCACGCACCAGGCGCTCACGCGAGATCTGCAGGGTGGCTGAGGCAGGATGGGTTTACGCCGGTCCACTGAAGCCACCTGGGTGCCCAAAGAGGCGGAGCTTCGTGAGAGAGCGCTCATTGGCTAGTCAGTCAAAGGGGTGGGAGTTTTCCCGCACACGCAGCCTAGTGGGAAGAAGTCAAAAGTCCTGCGAGCCATAGAGGACCTGATTAAGCGTGCACGCTGGGGGGCCCAAGCCGCCTTCCTTTTTTTTTTTTTTTTTTTTTTTGGCAGTACTGGGGTTTGCACTCAGGGCCTCAGGCTTACTAGGCAGGCGCTCTGCCACTTAAGCCACTCCGCCAGCTGCCCTACTGCTTTAACAGATGGAGCTTCGTGAGGGTCTGGGGACATCAGTACCCGCTTGGAGGGAGCAGACCGGGCACCTCGCAGCCTGTCTCGGGGTGTGTTTGCGCAGTCGCCCTGGACCGAATCATGCATGAGGCGGCAGAGTTTCTGGAAGGAACTTGTGTCTCTCCGCTGGTGACAGGGCCAACGTGGGTCCCCAGCAGAACCGTCATGGCGGGAACTGATCACGCGCCGGCAACCTCCCCGGGGGCCTTTGTGCGCAGGCGCGGGGGTGGTGTCGCGAGCAGGGGGCGGAGCTTCAGGAGGGCCGCGCGCTCTCTCGGCGGCGGGCAGAGAGGGCGGGCTGTCGGGCCTGCGCTCGGAGGGTGGGGTGGAAGGCGGGGCAGCGGCAGACATGCAGGCAACCGACGCGAGAGTGGGCGACGCGGCGGGCGGCGCCGAGGGCCAGGGTGGCCAGAGTGGCTGCTGCAGTCCCGGCAGTTCTGGCGCCGTGGCAGTTACACCCGGTGGAGCTCACCGTATTACACGTGGAGACGCCGCGCCCTTGGCCAGAAGGTCTGGAACCCGACCACATATTTTGTATCCTACCCAGGGCCAGCGAGGAACTAACTGACTAGGGGCTGCCTGTGGCGGGGGAAGCGGTAGCCTGAGGGGGGGCAGAAAGAAAGAGTGGGTGGCGGGGGCAAGCAGGGGGGCGGCTGAGGGCCTGGCAGTGTGGGCGTGGGAAGGGGTGCGATGAGAGCTGGAGAGGAACGGGGTGTCTGCGGGCGCTAAGGCCCGGCCGGCATGGCCCGAGGCGTGCGGAAGGAGATCTGAAGGGGTTGGACATGTCTGGGTGGCCTTGGAGGGGTGTGGATGGCGTCAGAGGACCCCGGAGGCCTGTGCACAGGCAAAGTTGGTATCGGATGGTGCCTTTACGGAATCTCCACTAGCGACCTCAGCGTGCCCTTCCCGACCCCTTTGGAGGCCGAGATCGCCTGTGGGGCCCTGGCTCCAGATGCCGAACCGCACCGAGCAGTGCTTGGGAAGGAGCTTACAGTGAGCGGGAGCATCCTGGCGGTGTAAGTGCTGGAAGGGGCTAGCCAGTCTCCACCGAGGGGTGCTTCATGAGACCCCCACACGAGTGCGTGGAGAGTTCACAGGCAGGGAAGTGGTGCACTGGGGCTCTCAGTAAAGCTCTCGTTTGCTTTAATGGGTGCCTGATGGACAGAGCAAGAAAGGCAAGCAGTTACCACTTCAACTCGATTTTCTTTTTCCCTCAATCTTAGGCACTGGACAGCTGAAGACTCTCGCCTCCTCCGAACTTCCATCATCAACTTTCTTGAACAGCTTTCCCTGGTGGTGCGGACTATGCAGCGCTTTGGGCCCCCCGTCTCCCGCTAAACCTGCTGGGTAAAGGGGCCCCTGACTAACCTCACGTCCCCGCCTAAGCAGTTCATCCTTTCCAAGGGCAAAGAGTTCAGAAGCAGTAGCTACTTAAGCGTGGGGACCTAATGGTTTCCCTTCACCAGCTCTTCAGTACTTAGGGTCCACTTGTTTTGTTTGGTGCTTAAATTTTTGTTATTACAGAAAATAAAACTGAGCTACACTAATCTGCATCTGAGTTTCTTTTCCCCCTCTGTTGGAATGGAAGTTCTGAGATTGATAGTAAGTAGTACAAAGTCATTGAAGACAATTTCAGAAAGGGAAGAACATGAAAACTACTTGTATCCTCTCGTACAGAGATAACTACATTTTGGGAAGTGTCTCAGTTTTAACTTCTAATCATATTAAATGTATCACAATTATACACAATATATAATTTTTGCACGTTTGGGCTGGGCTGGAAGAGTGGCTCAAGTAATACAGCACCTGTCTAGCAAGTGTGAAGCCCTGAGTTCAAACCCCAGTACCACAAAAAAACCGTAATTTTTAAGGTTGGTGTTAACTTTCTTCCTGACTTTTTTCACCTATCATGACCTTCCCCCTTATAACAATTTTTCAAAAATTTGTTGTTGAAGGGATACATAAGTTAATGCATTTTAACATATTTTGTTGCACATTTAAGTAATTTCCCATTTTCCCCTTTTAATGAGTAATGATTTTGATGGGATTCTTGTATGAATGAATGATTATTCTCTTCATATAGGTTCCAAGTGATAGAATTGCTTACTGAGTTCAGTATGTACTTTGCAATTAATGTCTGAAGGCTCTCACCTACAGTACAAAATTGCACTCCAGAAAATGAGGCCACTTACATAAATGCTGGCTTCCCTGTTCCTTCGTGCTGCTGAATATTTTCCTGCCCTAAATCAAGCACCACCAACAAAAATCCACACATTAAAAAAAAAAAAAAACAGCTAGGTACCAGTGGCTCACACCTGTAATCCTACTTACTTGGGAGGCTGAGATTGAGAGGATCATTGTTCCAGGCCAACCTGAAAAAATAGCTCGCAAGATGCCATTGTATCCTTTCCAAAGGACCACTTTGGCAGGGCCAGTGTGGATAAGGGAGGCTACAAAAGTCCAGGCAAGGCTGCAAGGAGGGCGCAGTGCAGGGAGGTTGACGACAGTGTGGGCAAGGGACAGAGGAGTGCGCCGTGGGCAATCGGGCATCCGGGGAGGGCACCCTGGCAAGGCAGGGGGACGTCGATGCCTGAGAGGTCTGCAGGCTGGGCAAGAAGCCTGGAGCACTGGGGAGGAGACTCCCCTAGGCCGCGTGGACGGGGGGAGGGGTAGCTCATGCAGAAGCAAAGGGAGCTGTAGATGTGCCTTCAGCGCACCTTCCCCAGGTCGCTCACCTTGCCCTTCCAATCCCCTCTGTAGACAGAGACGGTCTGCAGGTCCCTGGCTACGTATTTCCAACTCTGCAAGTGAATAGCAGTGGCCTGGCCATGTAATATCTGGAAGATTCTGAGGTGGGGGTGGGGGCAGTTGCTGGGAGGAAGACTGTCTACACTCTTGGGGTGCTGCAACGTGAACACTGAAATCACTGATGTTTAGGTGTAAGTGGGGGAGGGGCGTGGTACCCTGCACCTGCACTGAGTTTTCATCTTTGACCTGATGATCCCTCCCCCCCTTTCAGTAGCACAAGTGAAGACCTTGTTCTCCTCTGAAGTTTGTCAAAACTTGTCTTGACCAGCTTACCCTGGTGATAAGAAACATCTAGGTCCTAGGAACCCAGCTCTGTCAATACATGGACAGGGAAACAGATGTCAATCCTAACGTGTTTCCCCTAGGACAGAAGGCATAGGCGTCCGGGGTGACTGCCACTTTAGCATCCGAGTGTAATTTTGACTCCAGGTGCCCCTGCTCTCTCTTGTTGGGCCTCTTTGACAAGGCTAAGGAAGAGGATGGTCAAACATTTGCACCTGAAGATAATAAAACTGAGCTCCTGCGGTGTCCCTTTGCAAAACATGGGAGAGAAGGAGGACGAGAGCCACTGTGCAAGGTGCTGGTGGCTGTGATGTGAGGACAGTGAAGACTGTCACTGAATGCACGCAGGGCTGCACTGACTACAGTAAAGCCTCCCCTTTTTTTAAATTGCTTGGCAATACGGGGTTTGACTCTGGGCTCGGCTTGCGTGTCAGGTGCTCTCCTGCTGAGCCTCACTTCCAGCCCTTTTGGATCTGGTCATTTTTCACATAGGGTCTCACATTTTCACCAGGCCATCCAGGATTTGAGCCTATATTTTTCAGTTCCCAACATCACTGGGGTGACAGGCACACACCAAAATGCCCATCTTTTGTCCATTGAGATGGGCTCTCTGAAATTTTTTGCCCAGGCAGCCCTGGAACCATGATCCTCCTGATCTCAGCCTGTCATGTAGCAGGGATGACAGACACCCAGCTCTTTTTCCTTCCTTTTGTCTCCTCCTTCTTCTCTTTCACTCTCTCTACCTCTTTTTTCTTTTTTTTTCTCTACTCTGTTTTCCTTCCTGACACCTATTTTATAGACATTATTTGTTGATGGCTAGAGGAGAAGTACCTGCTTTACAAGACTCCTGCTACCTCTGTTGCATCTCCTCCTCCCATTAAAATTCTAGTAGATTCTATTCATTTCTGAGAGATTCCACTCGGGAAAAATTTCCCTTGTTTTCATCTCTTTGCCTTAGTTTGTGTGATCTCGCAAGGGAATATGTTAAGTGATCTGCCTTGTCCTCTGTCGTCTTCTGTCACTCACTGTGTCTTTCTGGACTGACAGACTGCCCAGGCGCCATCCTAGGATTTGTCCTGAGCTGGACTCCCTGTCCAGCTTCACATGTAGTTCTTTCCACTTTTTTAACTTACCTCTGGGTTAACTCAGAATGTTCACACTCGGTGTAAAATTGACACAGTTTGGTGTAAAGTCCTGTGCAGGTCAGCAGGTCCGTGTAGCCGGTCAGCAGCACCACAATCTACTCGGCCCCATGAATGGGCTTGCAAGGCTGCCCAGTGGTTTTAAACTCAAGTCAGGTCCCCTCATGCTCCATTCTGAGCCCTCCTGTGATGGGCTCCCCTCTCAGTAAGTCAAAGCAAAGCTGTGAGGCTGCGCTGTATGCAGCTCAGTGGTAGAGTGCCAGCCTAGCGATCATCCTGAGACCCTGGGTTTCACACCCAGCACAGCACAGTGGCCTGCGGAGTCCTCTGTGATCAGGCCTGCTCCCTCTCAGGCCTTCTCTGCTCCCATCCAGTTTATGCAGTCTGAGCAGGCCATACTAGTTCCCTTACCCTCCATAAACCACACCAGGTCCACTCCTGCCTCAGGGCCTTTGCACCAGCTTTGGTCTCTGCAGCTGTCTTCCCCAGCTTTCCCTCTGCCTCACTGAAGTGTCCCCCTCAGCAAAGGCTTGCTAGGCCACCCTATTTAAATCGCACACTACCTACTCCCCTCCTGCATCACTTACAAGTGTGAGGGTTAAGGTGTAGTTAGGTGCACCATGACGGGCGTTACGGACCAAACAGTAAGTGGATGCCAGGCCTTAAGAAATCTGTGTGCGGTGGAAACCACTGGGGGGCCTTGAGCACAGTGGGTACATCCTATGCCTTATACCTCCACAGGACCCCACTGCCTCCCACACCAACGATAGCTGAAGGGGGCCAGGGCAGAAGGAGAGGCTGGCATCCAGGGAAGAGGTAAATGGCACCTCGTGTCTGCGTGAGGACAGTGGAAACAAGAGGAAGTGAGCAGATTCTGCTAGAGCCACCAGGATTCACTGATGGATTGGTCCTGGCCTTGGTTCCTCTCAAATCCTCAGAAACCCTGTAAAGAGTTACCTTTTCCCCCAAAATAGAAGACCAGCTCATTGAAAGCCTAGCAGGTTTACCCACCTGTCCCAGTAACAAAACTGCACACTGGCCCCATTCCCCCAACATTTAATTATGAAATAAAATTACACAAACCAACAAACAAACAAACAAAAAAAACTCATGCAACAAAAGAAGAGAGAGGTGGGGGTCTGGGGACCATGAGACAGGGCCAGATTGCTCATCGGAGGCAGAAGACACAAGGCAGTAAGGCACTGCCACCTCAGCCCCTCAGGGCAGGTGTACAATAGGACAGCTGAGACTGAGGGGCTCCAGGGCAAGTGCAGACAACACTGAGGAAGTTTGGCAATCGGGCTGAAAGAAGGAGCCTTCCAGAGCAGGACCCCCAGCCCCAGGTCAGGCCCCAGCACAAGTCTGCTTCCAGTTCTCTGGGTGCTCAGAGAAGAGGTCCCCATGAGAGATTAGTCTTGAGTCCTGACACATTTGGAGAGGGACACTGGGCTGGGTTGTGACAGACAGTCTGAGGGCAGCTTCTGATGCACAGACCCACCCCAAGTGCTGCTGGTACCCAGGCCCCCTTCTTGGGATGGGTGGGATCAGTCAGTGCAAAGGCAAAGACCCAGAGCCTGGGCCAAGGCTGGCAATGTCACAGAGGAGCCAGGACAGGTGGCAGGGCCAAGAACGGCTCCAGGAGAGGAAGGTCAGTGAGGCTGACAACATCCCATGGGGGACACATATTTACAGCTCGAGATCGAGGTGGAGTTAAATTTAATAAATAAGTGGTCGGGGTATACATAGCAAGGAGGCAGGGGCTCTCCCAACACATGGGCACAAGGGCAGGAGGGTGGGGGTATTGCTGCTGCTGCTTGGGGCGGGGCTTGGTCCTGTGGCCCGCTCCCCCTGCAGGGCCCAAAGCAAGGCACTAATGAAGGGGGCCCGGGTGTGCTGGGGGCATCTTGGCCCACTGACCTCCCCCCTGACACTTGATCTTGGGCTCAGCCCCAGGGACCCAGGCTGTAGCTGCCGGCCACTCCCCTTGATGGGAGGACCATGAGGACCAAGCAGCCCCCTCCTCACCGATTGCACCACCCTCAGCTGTTGCTGGACACCAGGCTAACGATCTGCTCCAGCTTCTGACGCAACTTGTGTTTCCGACAAGAGGCATCTCGGTCCAGGGCAGTGAGGATCTGGGGAAGAAGGGTCCCTTGGTGCCCAGGTTCATGGGAGGGCCGGTCCACTTCTGCGCAAAGCCCTCAATTCCCAGGTAGGCTCTTTCCGTCCACTGCCTTCGTCCCAACCCCTTGCTCCCACGCTGCTCCTGTGTGCAGCTAATGGTTCAAAATTTTCACCTCTGAGCAAATGCTTCCCCCAGTCCTGCTTTCTTTAAATTCCAATCCCAACTACAGAACTGTCTTCCCCATGGCTGGCAGGCAGCCAAAGGGTGGTGTACACTTACTGCACCAATCACCCCTTCCTGTTCCTTCTCAACCCCCACCTCTTCCACGCAAATCTCTCCTGTTCAGGGCTCAGTGATCCCCTTGCCAGACCTTGCAAGCATGGCTTCCTTGACCAGCAGCATGGAACAGAACTGGCCACTTCTTCCTCCTTGACCTGTGAGGGGTCCTCACTCATGCTGCAAGACTCCACCAGGACTCTTGGGTTCCCTCCCACCTCTCTGCCAGCTCCTTCTCTTCTCTATGACCTCTGAGGGGCCCATGGGTCATGTGTCCCTGTATACCTACTTAGACTCCCTTTTGATGCTCACTCAGACCCCGGAGCTTTAAATGAAATCTACTGGCTCAGAAAGAGGTAGCTCCATCCCAGACTTTTCCCCAAACTCGATTCCTATTTCCAGCTGCCTCCTTGTCATTTTAGGTCTAGTTAGCTGTACAATGGTACTTGATCTTGACCTTCCCAGCCCCAATCCAAACTACCTTGGCACCACCCCTCCCAAGGGGCTCTGAGTTTTACCCAGGGCGTTACTACTTTTCATGGAAGGCCTGAGTGGTTCCGAAGAACTCCTGGTCTCTGTCCCCTAACACTCAGGACCGTTTCACGCATACCTTTCCTATCTATGTTTATGGCAATGGACTCCCTTCTGCCAGCTGCTTAGGCAAGGAACCCTGCAGTTATCCTTGATTCCTGCCGTGCCCCACACCCAATATCTCAGATGATAATAAATCCTGAAGTCCATGGACCCTGTGTTCACCTGCCATCTCCAATCATAACCATCACAGGCCCTGCAAATGACTGGTTCCACCAATCTCTGGCCCCGCCACACACCCCTTAGCCCATCCCTCCCTGTGCTCCAGCCAGTGACTTCTCTCCTGTGCGTCAAAGCCCGGCATCTAGAAGAGCGCATCACCTGTGCTGCTCCACAGTGCGGCGCAGGGGAGGAACTATAAACAATCTAAGATACATACGCTCTGTGTCCCCTGTCCTGTCCGCAGGGCCCAACCCCCATCAGCTCTCCAGCCTTTGTCCTTAGCTGCGCCCTCAGGGCTCAGCGTCAACACACCTCCTGACGGTACTTGGTGACATAGAAGTAGAGCTCGCTGAGTGCACTCAGGACACTGAAGTCATTGGCATGAAGGCGGGACTGCTCCACCAGATAGGCATCCATGTCCTGGTCACTGATGGATGCCATCTTTGCAATGTCTCTGTAGTACCTGTTGGGGCCTTGAATAAGTCAACCGAGCAGTTGTCACAAAAATCCAAATCCCTGCCCTCGGTGCCCAGCCAGCCTCTAGGGCTTTTTCCTGTAGCTGGCCAACCTCAGACAGGCTGCCCAGGGTAGGGCAGCTCCTGACTGCTGTCATGCACAGCAGTCTCCACTCAGGGCCCACCTCTCCACCCAGCTCTTGTAGTTGGGGATGTCCTTGGCATAGAGCAGCTTGTTGGAAGGTGAGTCCTTGCCCAGGCGGTGCTCAGATGTAGAGCAGGAGTCCATGAAGGTCTGGGCCACCACCGACAGGCAGGCGTCCGTGATACTGTTCTTGTGGATGTCAAACACGAACTGCGGGTTCTTGATCACATTCACCCAGAAGCGCAGAGGCAGGCTGAACAAGAGGGACACACACCCAAGACTCCCTAGTGGCCCTGTGGGCCCCCTCCCACCACTGCCCTCCTTTACACCTTGTTCCTATCTGGCCAGCTCATATCTTGTCCTGAGGTGGCAAGAGAGACACATCTAGGGTAAGTGACCTTTAAGCTTCTGTTGGACTTCAGGCAGTGAGAAATATGAATAAAATGGCCCTTCTGTTCTCCTATTATTTCAATCCCCTCTGCTGCTTCCACTGTCACCACCTGTGCCAAGCCACCAGCATCTCTACCCTGTGCAAGACCCCGGAGAGAAAAGGACCATGTCCCAGTGCTGGCCCCAACATCCACATCCCACCTGCCAGCAGCATCTACCTGCAGACTCACAGCTAGCCCCAGGCCATGCCACTGTCCTTCCCTACTTGGATGACTTCTCTAGCCCCAGCTCGTCACCCTGCTTCCAGAGCCCTGGACAGTGGCAAAGCAACCAGCCTCTTCTGCCCACTCATCCCCAGAGGGGCCAACAGAAGCCAGCCACAGGGCAGTACCAGTTACTCTTCCAGGTGTGGCGCACATCAGGGTCACTGATCTGGTGCTGGTCAGCTTGCTCATCCAGGAAGTCGAACATGTACTTGATGGCCAAGGGGAGGGCTGAGCCCCGGTGGGCTGTGCTGAACACAGTTTCAAAGAGGTCATCCACAAACTTCTGCAGTGTGCCCTATGGGAGACAGTGAGGGTACAAACAAACTATGAGAGAATTGGGCCAAGATGTTCTAAGACCTAACAGACAGGGTCAGAAAGGCTCAGTAAAGTGGGGCTTCCCTATAGGGCCAACTCTAAAATGGACCCAGCCTCAATCTCAGGACCAGGTATCTTATCGAAAAGGCTCTGAGAAAGTGGTCCCTGCCCTGGCAAAGCCAGGCCAGCCTCAGGGCGAAGGCCAGACCAGAAGATACTTGTGCAGAAAACCAAGATAGCATGAGGCAGGCACACACCTTGGTGGCCAGCAGCCGTGTCAGGTAGATCTCTGAGACCATCTTACTGCCACGGTCCCCCTCTCGGTGGTCAGCATGGTCATGGTTCTTCACCAGGTGCCACAGTTTGGTGCCCGTCTCCTGGTCAGGCGTGATCATGGGTGCCCGTGAGCGAAGGCTATCAGGGCTGCTGGCAGTACGGAGCAAGCTCTCTGGGACAGAGGACAGGCATGCCCCTTAGGCCACCGGGGCTGCTAGCCACTGCCCAGCCTCTTGCCCTACTCTCTTCCAGGAGCCCAGCAGCTCATCTGCTCTTGCTGACCCACCCTACTTCTAAGTGATACAGAACTAGAGACCTCCCCCCATGCACAACCCAGGAAGGCCTCCAGGCCAAGCCAGCTACTTGAGGCTTCCCAGAATGACTCACGTAGCCCTAAAGGCACAGGGCCGGCAGAGGCCGCCGTGCTCATGACACTTACCATAGCGGCTGAGGGAGCGGGTGAAGGTGAAGGAGTTGACCATGTTATAAGCAGACACTTGTTTGGGCACCAGTGCTACTAAGGAACCATCTGTCACCTGGAGGTCCCAGAGACAGAGAAGGGGCAGTACAGGAAGCCAGGGGCCCATCACCCACCCAGACCATTCGGTGTATACATGAGTAGCACCCAAGGCCCTCTGAGGAGGGCCTATGAGTTCAGGGATGAGAGCTGGGAGGAGCCCGGGCCACTGCTCCCAGGTTGCCCTGGGGGTGAATGGGTTCCCAGTCCCTTACCTGGTAGTGGGCCAGGGAGTTGACCCTCTTCCAGTCACACTCGATCTTGGTAGTGACATCCTCATCCTGGAGGATGATACGAGCCATACGGCCCTGGCGCCATTCTGTGGGCCACAGTCAGCTCTTAAGAACATCCCCCAAGACTTCACGCCCACTCCTCTCCAGGAACAGAGCTCAGGTGGAAAGCATGAGAGCCCCCTTGCAGTACTGGGGGGCAAGAGGAGACGGAGGGGGGCCTCACCTAAGTCCATGTCTTCAGCTTTGGGGCGCTGGGAGTACGGGATGCCTTTGTACACAGTATCCAGCAGCTTGTCCTTGGCCTGGGTGATACTGTCACAGTTGAGAACCTTCACTGGGACCTGAGTGCCACCCTCACTCTCTGGGCACACGCAGTGCAGGGTCTAAGGGTGAAAGGACCCAGTGTTAGTCTGGGGCAAGGCCTCTCCCACACACCACTGCTTCTGCCCATGCTCACTAGTGTCTTGTAGTCGATCTGCTGCCGGATAAGCTTGTCCTCACTCAGAGAGTAGCGGGCCTCGCCCGTGATGGCATCAATTGGGCCCTTCTCCATCTGTTGCTTGATGGCGCAGTACAGCAGGAAAAGTGGCTCCCCCGCACACTCCTGCAGCCAGGGGTTGGAGGCACAGCTTGCTGCCTGCCTGACAGCTAGCTATCCCCAACATCACTTCCCCTAGTGCCCAGACTACCAAGCGCACCTTCAAAAACTTATGCAGCAGAAATGTGAACCAGTTGGTAAGCATCTTCTCAGCCACTGATTCTGTCCTAGGACAGGAGAAGAATGCTCAGGTCTGGTAAGGGCAGGGCTGTGACAATGGGCAGGGTCAGCAGTGTGGCATGGAGCTGAGTGGGGCCTGGTCAGGGGCAAAGCAGAGGTGGGGCCAAGTGGGACAGTACATACCTGCGCAATAGTAACTTTGGGTGATTCTTGCTCTCTAGGTTTTTCTCTATAAGGTCTGCCAGCAGCTGTTTGAGAAGCCCAGTGGCATAGTCGAGCCGGCTCTGCAGGGCCACCATGGTCAGGGAAGCCACGGTGCCGCGGTCACGCATGGAGAAGCTGCTCTGGGCCTCCAGTGTGTGGATGAAGGTAAGCACAAAGGCACGGCTGTGTAGCAACTGCCCAAAAAGGCGCAGAGCCTTCTCAACATTGGGGGGAGTCTGTGGGGAACAGGGAGTCTCAGAAGGTGTGGTGGGGGTGGCCCTGTGGGAAATGAGGAGTGGACAGGCTTGGGGGGCAGCTCACATCCGGCTCCTTGAGCACTGGGTGGGCCTCAATGCCAGGGAAGAGAACGCGCACGGCGTAGGTCCGGTAGTCCAGGAAAGGGATCTGAACACCATCCATGTGGTTCGTCAGCTCGTTAATGTCTGTCTGCAGCTCTGCAAAAGCTAGGAAGAGGCAAAGCAGAGGAGTGAGCCGAGCAGACGGAAGACAGGCACCAGTTGTCACCCACTGCACCACAGCCCCGGCCTCAGGCACCTTCCTTGCACTCCAGGGCCACGCGGGACTCCAGGTTGTCCATCTGCAGCTGGAGCCGCTTGAGCGTGCGGTCAGCGTCCTGAGTCTTGCGCTTGTAGGCGACCAGCACAGCGGTGATGGCCAGCAGCAAGAGCCCTCCCCCTGAGGCTAGCCCCACCATGGCCGGCAGGGTTAGTGCCCGCTCGGCCGTGATGTGCAGTGTGCCCAACCAGAACTCCAGGCCGCCCACCAGCACCTGTGAGGACAGGCCTGAGGTGAGCCGACTCTCATGCCCACCCCAGCCTGTCCTGGTGGCCTCCCCCTGCCACACACACCCACCATGACAGGCTGCCGGCCAGTCTGACCGGGTGAGTCGCACAGGAGTTGTGTGTCTGAGACAGTGAGTGCACACGGCTGGCCTCCAATCAGCACTGTGTAGTTAAGGCGGGAGTTGCCAGCTGCTGCAGGGATCAGGTTCTTGCCCTGGAGGTGGAGGGCACGTGATCAGCCCAGTGCTCCCCACTCTCTGCCCCTCCCCTCCTCCGCGCTCCCTCCTTGCCCCACCGGCACCTTCAGCACAACATGGGAGCCAGGTTTGACGTCCAGCACACCAGAGGGCCCCAGTGGCTCAAAGCTGGGGTCAGGGTAGTACGTAAAGGAGGAACGGTTGAGGGAGCGGGCTGTCTGCACGTGGTCCAGCAGGAAGCCAAACTCGTCAGGGTGTTCACCTTGGGCCCGTGGCTGAGGCCGCCCAGGGAAGATGCCAGGGGCCTTACACAGCATTGCGGTGTCATTGATCACCTGGCACGTCTGTGGGTAAAAGGGTGGGCGCCTCAGTGCACGAAGCCATGGGTTGTAAGGGTGGGATGTGGAAAGGGAAGCTGGTACTCACATTGGTGGTCTCAATACCACGGTATTTGGCCCGAACCCGTGGCTCCTGGACAGTCAGTAGGTGAGTCCCACTCACAGTAATGGCCGTGCTTCCACTGCAGAAGAGGAGTAAGGGACTTCAAGGCTCGCTCCCCCACCCAGCCCTGTGGAGTTTATCAAAGTTGACATGAGAGCCTAGAGGCTCCCTGACCCTGGTGCCAGGTACTGTGTGGTCAGGACTCACTCTGCTCCCTCTACCAATGGGGCTCAGACTCAAAGGAGGTATCACTTGATGCCCAAGGCCCCAGTTACCAGGTGAGGCCCCAGGAGAGAAGTTTAGTGAGTTGACTCTGCCCCAACCCCATTCTCCCAAAGATCTTATTTGCTTGTTTTGCATTGCTGAGGATGGAATCCAGGGCCTCATGCATGCTAGGTAAGCACTGTACTGCTGAACTATGTCCCCAGCCCCCCAGACTCTTACTTGATGATGCTCCAGGTGGGCTCAAGGTGAGTGACGGTGGGGTCTTGAGTGTAGGTGTAGATGACTCCAGGACTGGAAATGTTGGCATGGTCAATGGCAAGGGTGATAGGTGCCTGGCTGGGACCCAGGGTGGAGACAGGCGAGATGCACACGATCGCTTCAGCATCTCTTCTACACGGGCAAGCAGGGAACTTGAAGCAGGTGGCCCAGGCCTTCAGCCACCCTACTCCCATACTCCTCCTCCAAGCCCAGTGTTCAGCCAAAGGCTAGTTGGGCCCTGGCCTACCTCACAAACTGGCACTCTCCATCTCTCACAGTCACAGTAACTCTACTGCCAGCATCCAGAGAGCTGCCAGAGATGGTAAGCCGGGTGCCCCCTGAAGCTGGGCCCCGAGTGGGACTCACACGGTCAAACGCTGGGGTCTGGGGAAGAAGCAGGCCTGAGGGGATGGAGGAACCAGCCCAGTACAGGGCCTGCCCCACCTTCCCCTCAAATATGGGAGGAAGGGCTGGGAAAGAGAAGAACATAGCAGGCCACGCACCACAAAGCTGTAGAGCTGCTGAGACTGTGTACGGAAGTCAGCAGAACAATCACCTACACAGAGCTCAGCAGGCCCTGGCAGTGGGCTGGGCACGAGCGACTCCTCCATCTCACATACGATCCTAGGGGTCAGAGAAGGTCAGGGCCGTGATGGCAGACAGGGACAGGGTGCCCACATGGCCACACTCACCTCTCAGCGCTAACATACTCAGTGGGGATGGAGTTGCAACGTACACCAGCCACTCGCAGGCCCACCTCTCGAGAGGCCAGTCCCAGGTTCTCACCCACAATGGTGACCCGGGTGCCTCCTTCCTTGGGCCCCATGAGCGGATGGATCTGCAGAGCAAGATAGGAGGTAAGAGGGTCAGCCCAGACTCATGAGTGCCCAAAAGGCAAGGTAAGGGTGGAAGAAGGTAAGGGTGGTGGGTGAGGCTGACCTGGGTGATGCGGGGATGGCTGCACCGGGCGCCCTTCTGGCTTGGGTGCATCCAGTTGCTCTTGGGGGATGGGCAGTGGGCCCGCAGCTGGCACCTGTGCTCTGAGATGCACCAGCCGCAGTTGAAGCGGGGATCGGCCTTGAGGCAGAGGCCACAGCTGGGCCGCTGAGCCCAGCACTTGTACAGGAGGGCTGTGGGCACAAGAAGCACTGCTGATGGAGTGGGCAGCAGCAGAGAAGTGGGGAGCATTAGGGCCTCCAGACTTGCCCCCAGCAGTGCCAACCCCGCCCTGGGAGGCAGGCTCCTTGGACCCAGGTCACCTCTCACCTCGGAAGCTGGGAGGCTTATCAATGGGGAAATCTCCATCCCAGACCACAGAGAAGTCCAGCTCAGTATCACCAAACTCATCACCTTCATAGGAGTACTAGGGAAAATGGAACCACACGACCACGGATAAGTAGGAAGAACCCTCCCAAGATTCTTGCCAATTATTCCTCCAACTCAGGAATCCCCAGCAAGAGACTCAGAAGGTTCCCTGCCAGAGCTACCTGAGGCTTCAAGACTAGCAAGCTGGGCATAGACAAGAACCATCCCTGTTATGCCCCAGCCTGGCCTCACAAGGGGAGGCCCAGGGAGGGCCTCACCGAGGCATTCTGGCACTGCACACTGCTGCTGTTGAAGCGCACAGCAGGTACCCGCTGCTGCCGCCCCTGCACCCGGACCACGCACTCATAATTCTTCTGGCCCGACTGAGGCTGTGGCAAGTTCTTAGCCCGCAGGGTGAGAGGTTGCATGACACCCACGGGAATCAGGAGGTCTCCTCGAGGCAGAATCTCAGGGCAGCCCTGCAGGGGTTGGAGGGAGCACCTGTCAGCGGCACACTGGGCTACCACCACTCTCCAGATTCAAAGAAACTAAGCAGACCAAACACAGAAAAGTGAGAGGCCAGCCCATGAGGAGGAGCCCAGCCCCCTCACACAGTACCGGCACCCGCCTCACCTCAGGGCTGTGGACCCTGCCCTCCTGGAAGGAGCACTCGTGGGGGTGGCTGGTACACACGTGGCGGTACTTACACCAGTGGCAGGGATAAGGGCTGCCAACGCAGGACATGCACCTGGCGGGGGAAGCAGCTTCAGAAATAACAGAGGCCACACCACCCTGCAACACCCTCCCACAGGACACACTGGAAAACAAAGGAATAAGGCAGCCAGGGCGTGCTCAAGGCCAGCACTGCGCCTCAGGAGCAGAGAGAAGTGGAGTTGGGGATCAGGAAGGCCTGACAGCTTACCCTTGAAGCCCCAGAGACAGCCACTCTACAGGTCTTGCCTATCCCAGAACACCCTTCTGTCCCCAGGGGTAGGGACAGGTGCTGGGTCAGGTACTCACGACTGGAGGGCACTGCAGTTGTAGAAGACAAAGTCAGCTCCAGCAAACCTCACACCAGTCTCCTTGGAGAGTAGCTGCAGCCGTACAGTGCGGTTGGCCCCTATAGCAAGCCCAAGAGCAGTCATGAACTAGCCTGGGTCAAGGAGCCGCTTCCCACCCAACCCTGCCCCAGCCCACTGACCATGCCCCCTGGTAAGAGCCTGGAGCTCCTGGAGGGAGGGTGAGGGGCAGCGCAGCTCGCCAGAAGGCAGCAGGACAGCCTCGTTCTCTGTCACCTCCTCAAAGGCGCAGCTCACACCCGCACTGAGGTCTGGCACGTTGTGCATGGCTACGGTCAGCTAGGGGAGGCAGAAGGCTCAGAGTAGGTGCACCACAATGCAGCACACCCAGACCCAAGCATCATCCATGCCACTTACCTGCACCCCAGGTGATGTCACCGACACGTTGTTGGGTCGGACTCGCACCTGTACACACTTGCTCAGCTCTTCTGCAAAGCCACGTGGGGCAGAGGCACCTGGACAGGCCCCTTCTCGGCAGCACCTGCCCCAAAAGGGCCCAGGTAGGGGGTGCAGTGAGAGGCTGGAGGGACAGGGGACAGTCTACCCAGCTCACAGTGCCAGGCAACAGTGTGCCTTGGCCTCATCCCCTGGGATCCAAGGGACGTCACTCAGGGTAGAAGTTCTGCTCATTAGCTGGAGAAAGTGGAGGAGCAAGGGAGGGGGAGGCTCAAAGGCATAGGTGGGGAAGAAGTGGGCAGGCAGGTGAAGGCAGGCATGACAGGTGTGGCTGCCTTCTGCCCAGCTGGTGGGGCCCTCCTATGTCCCTCTGTCTCCCCAGATAATGGTCCCAATGAGCCCGTCGCTGCCTGCCACTCTGCACCCACTGCTCTCACCTGTGCTGCAGCACACACCAACCACAGTGTGGGTCCCCTGAGCCCAAGCAGGCTGCACAGCTCAGATACTGCTCACAGGTCTCCACCGGGAGCTGGCTCACCTGGGGACAGCCACATCAGGACCTAGTCCACCCCCGCCCCACCAGCCACCACCACCCACCTCGGGCCCACCTGCTTCTCACTCAGGAGGTAGATGTGCTGGTGGTCAGGGCTAAAGAGCAGGTCTCGGAGTATGGGGCTGCTATCCACCACAGGGACCGTCTCATACAGGTGGGCATCCTGAGAGCCATCAACCCGCACCTGAATGACAAGACCAGGGCAGAGAGATCATAGGGATTATAGGTCAGCCTGATTCCACCATAGTCCCCCTGCACCCAAGGCATCCTCTTTTCTTTCTTTTTTTTTATTTTTTTTTTGTGGCAGTATTGGGGTTTGAACTCAGTGCTTCATGCTTATAAGGCCAAACGTCCAGCCTGGCATCCTCATCTTGCCAGGGACTTTCTAGGTTGTGGCTGAGCACTTGGCCTGAGGTTCCCACACCCTCAGTCCTGGGCCAGGAAAGCAGGGTGCAAAGGCTAACTCTGGAGTCAGCCAAAAAATGCTGGTGGGGGTAGGTGGCTGAGAGGCCACCTAAGGAGCTTGGCTGAGCTCTTGGGGATTAGCCTGGGCTGGGAAGTCACCATACCCTGCCCAAGGTGTCTCAGGGCTCATCTGCACATTCCCACTCCCACCCCTTCCCATAGCTCAGAGATAGGCCAAGGGTTTCGGGCCCACCTTCTTCAGATTCCCACTGCGTGTGCCAATGAAGACCACAGAGTGCTGATGGTAGGTGTAGGCAGCCACACTGGCCATGCCGTCAGTGCTATCAGCCAGCAAGGGTAGCCCCTCAATCACATGTAGGCCACCCAATGGTTGATTCAACACCAACCCACAGAAGTTTCCATTGATCTGCATGGGCTGGTGAAATAGGAGGGGTATATGAGAGTCCAAGCTGGACAGAGACCTTCAGATCTCATGTTCCACAAGGGAGAAGGATCTGAAAGCCACTGCCCTCCAGCCACATTTGATAGTTTGCCCTGGGACCCTACAGGAAACTGGAGGCTAGGGAGGGTGAGTAGGGAGAGAAGAACGAACCCTGGGCCTATAGGACTTGAGATGGAGTGAGGAGGAGTACGCTGGGAATAGGTAGAAGGGTAGGGAGAGGAAGGTGACAGAATGTAAAGAGGGCACTGGCAAAAGACAGTGAGAAGAGAGGAAGACAGAGGGTGGGGGTCTTGAGAAGGGAGAAATGGGTGTCACTCCCAAGGTCATTCCAAGCCAGAGACTGGATGGGCACCAGAAAAGGGGCAGAGGGCCAGCAGAGCTGCCAGGCCTGGCCTGGGGACAGCATGGGGTAGGAGAGGAGCTCACAGTGTTGATGCATGGTAGCTCCTTGTTCAGCAGCCAGGGCAGGGACAGTGTGCCCTCCCCACGATAGCACGACTGGATACGGCGCCGGATGTGGGCATTGATGTTGCTGAGGGTGAACAGGCAGAGGATGGTCTGCCGAGGAGGGCTGGCCCGGTTCTTCTGGCCTTGAGAGAAGATGGTGAAAAGGACATCTTCGTCAGCTGGCACACCCAGGGCCTGAGCCAGCAGCAGGCCAGGCTTGGCCAAGTGGGCACTCTGCACCAAGCGGTACTCTATGCCTCGCCAGGAGCAGCCGATGGGAAACTCTACATATGAGTAAAACTCTGAGTCTCCTGCACACATGCGCACAATCTTGGATGTGAAAAATTTTTCTCCTGCTGTGTCCAGCAGTGTCTGCTGGGTGTCCAGCTGTAGAGTCAGGAAGTACACGAAGGAGGCACTGACAAAGCCGTATATATAGTAGATGTCAAAGGCAGGGTACAAGGACAGTGTGTCTGAAGGGATCTTGATCTGAGAGGAAACAAACTCATCCTGGTACACCTGGGGAGCGGGGCGAAGTACACAAGTGTGGGATGAAACCTGGGGTCCAGTACCCACCCCACCTTCATCTCCCGACCCCGCTCCAACAATGCAGCCCACCGGGGGCTTCCCTCACAACCCCACACCTGCGCCACCTGGACAATCAAGGAATCTAGGCCAGAAAGGCCACAGAGAGCAGGGTGACCAACCCCCCTGAAACACTTCCCATCCTCCCATCTGTAGTAGTTTATCTACATCTCAGTGGCAGTGAGGGGTCTGTCAGACCAGGGCTCTCTCCCAAGAGGTAGATCCAGGACCGAATGAAGAGGAGCTAGGCTCATGAGAAGCAGGGGACGGAGGGCTGAACAGACGGGCACGGCTCACCTACCAGGCTGAACATGTCCGCACCGTCCTCGTCACCGATGAGCTTGCGGGAGCTCAAGGTAGGAAAGTACTCCGACTTGCCATCTACAGCAGTACCCACAAACAGCTTGCTGGGCCCCTGACCCTGCTCTACAATGACACCAGCCATAGAGTCAGGCTCCTGCGCCCCTGAAAGGTAGTGCTCCTTGCGGTGGTGGGGTTCCCCCAACTTAAAGAGGTCATCTAGGCGCAGGAACTGGCAGATGCCCTGCCAGATGCTGCCACAGGCCACGAGGCGACGAGCAGCGTAGTCTATGAGCAGCAGCTTATTCACGTTGTCTACAGGCACCAGGTGGTGGGCGCATACACGCATGCTGGGGGGTGGATAGCAGCGAGCGTTGTCCTCAACAGGTCCCGTGACATGGGCCCGCAGCTCAGTCAGGTTGGGAGCCAGCTTGAAGACTCGATTAACTGCACCCACAAACACCTCCCCAGTCACTCGGTGCACAGCCAGGTGGGTGAGTGTAGTGTCTGTCACCACAAAGGCACGGAAGGGCCTGCTGCTGCCCAGGCCCCCCCCCACAGCAAGGAAGAACAGCGGGAGGAGGCAGACAGCAGGCATGGCCAGCAGCTGCGCCAGGGACAGGCCTGAGGAGAGACAGCAAGTGGGAGTCAGAGGCCCCAGGCCCAAGCTGCCCACCCTCCTCCTGCCCTGCCTGGCCCAGGGTCCCTGGCAGGCTAGGCTCCATGCCATAGGGAGCCAGGGCCACTCACCCAACACCAAGACAGAGCCCCAGATGGTGACTGTGGCTGGGAGAGAGGAGGGGGCTCTGGCAGGACAAATGAGTGAGCGGCAAGCACCAAGCAGGCATGGGGGCCATCAATCATCCCCCCACTCCCCCATACTGGAAGGGAGTCAGGAGGTCTCACCTCAGCTGGGCCACGCCCAAGGGGCAGAAGAGCCAAATGCTTGGGAAGACAGGGTGAGAGGCCCTCCCAGGACTGAGGGCTGCCGGCCCCACGGGAGAGCAATCACAGGGAAGCTCCAGGCACCAGATACCCCATTCCTGAGCCAGGAAAGGCTGGGAGAGAACAAACACGAACCCAAGGAGAGGGTGGGGATGCCTGCCCAGAATGACACTGCCACCAGGAGCCCTGGGACAGAGCTCTGGGGCATCAACGCCTGAGGCTGGCTTCAGCTCTACCATCTCTCCCTGTCCTGGCCCCAGGTGCCTCCTCCCTCTGAGGGGGCCTTGGCTGACTGTCCAGGAGCCTGCCGTCTGGCCTCCCAGCTGCAACACAAAGCACCTTCCCCCACAGCCAGGCACGGAGACAGACATAACTCAAGCTTTGCTCAGGCACAGCCAGGCGGAGCCCAGGCAGGCCTATGTGGCTCTCCCTGCGATCCAGAGGCTAGCTGAGGAAGGGTAGGGACATGGGGGCCCAAAACCCACACCTGAGAGCCCCAGCAGCATTCTAGATGGGAAGCAACAACCCCAAATACAGTTGACACCTTGGGGAGATGGGGCAGGGGCCATAGGGACAGGGCCAAGGCTGGCACTTTGCCCCCAGGCCACACCCAGCCAGCCCCAGGCTTCAAAGACAGCAGAGCAGTGTTGTGGCCGCCAGTGGGGCAGAGCTCACTGCTACCCTCTCAGTGCCTAAGCCCCAAGGGAGACGGGAGGTACTCGGCATGGTGTGGGGTGACATGTTTGAAGGCACAGAGGAGAGAAAGGAAAACATGCATTTGCTAGAACAAGGAGCAAGCCCAGCTTGAAACTGCAAAGTTTCAGATCAGACTGATCATCTCTCTGGGGTTCTTTTGTCAGGTCTGCATCCTGGAGCCCTAATGCAACAGCCAGAGAAGAAAGGAAGGCAAAAGAGAAGAGGGGCTGCATCCTATCCTCATCCTCCACACCCTGCAGGAACAGGGGTCTAGGAACAGATCTGAGACAGGTTGGGAGGGAGACCTGAAGAGGCAGGATTTGCAACCCGAGACCCCACCCCAGCCCCTACTTCGAAGTGGGAACCTTGGGCATCACAGGCACACCCAATCCCTGTGTTACAGCTTTGTCAGCAGAGAGCACGATGCTAGGGAAAGCCCCACACAGACATGTGGGTCCAAAGCCCACTCCTCAAGGCCCTCCCCCGTGCTGCTGGCCCAGCTAGCCCTGCCCCCACCAGGGACACCCCTCAGTCGACCCGAGGAGACCTTAGTGGATGGAGGTGCTGCAGCAATGCTTGAAGGCGCTGCTCCTCCGCTACAAAGGGTCCTATATCGGGCAAGGGAGCTAGAGTCGGGGTGGCCGTCCCTAACTGTTGCTCAGGGCACAGAGGGCCTGGCAGGCCGGCATTCAAGAGGCAGGGGCAGGGCCTGATCCTCGAAAGGCCGAACTGGACTCCCAGGCTGCCTGAGTCCCGGACCACGGAGCAGGCTGTCCCCGCACGGGCGGCGGGGTTAGCGGCCACCTACCTGCCCCTCCGCCGCCGCTGGCTCCGGGTGGCCGCCCGCTGGCCACGTGGACGCGCCTCCGTACCCCACACGGGCTCCACTCGCGCGCCCCCGCAGCCTCGCCCCGCACACGGCGCGCGCTGCAGCCGCCGCCGCCCACACACTGGGCTGGCCCGCGGCCGCCGGGGCCTTTTAAACCCGGACCGTACCATCGCGCCGGGCGGGGGCGCCCAGGGAGGGCCGACCGGGGAGCCCGAGCAGCAGAGCGCACAGGAGGAGGGCCGCTCCTCCCCGGGATTGGGAACCCCAGTGAGCAGCGCCGGGGCCCCCATGAGCCGCCGGGGATCCCGCCCCGCAAGCAGACCCCCTTCGCTCAATGGCCGCGTCCGCGGCGCGCGCCTCCCAACACCCCGCTGCTCCCCGCCCGCAGCCTCCGGCAACCCTGGGAACCCGTGCGCGGCCGCGCCACACCCCCTGGCGCCTGGGGCGCGCGCCCGCTCCGCCCCGGCGTTCGGGGGCGCGCCCGGGGCCACCTGCTGCGGTACGCGATCTCCCTTGCCCTGGGGCTGGTCAAGTGCACATCTGCGAAGGATTCGCGGCCCGGGCTCAGGACGCTCCCCTGACTGTTCTAACCCGGAGGGCCTGTGGCTAATAAACTGACAAAACCCAGCACATGGACTCTAGAGGCTTACAGCCATTTACATCTGGCTCCTTCCCCAGCGGGCCACCACAATCCTGAATCACCTCCCTCGCTTTCTTTTTTCTTCTAAAGCAGCTTTATCGAGATCCAATTCATCTATCATATAAGTCACTCATTTCATGTATACATACAATTCAGTGGGTTTTTAGTATATTCACAACCACTACTAATTCCAGAATATTTTCATTACTCCCATAGGAAACCATCACTCTCCACTCCCCCCAGCCCCTGGCAACCACTCACCTACTTTCTTTTGTGTCTGTATGTACACATTTAGTTTTATTTTAACAAAATAACTTGGACACGTTTAACGTTTAAAACTAATCATCATCAACCAGGTGCCAGTGGCTCACATCTGTAATCCCAGCTAGCTACTTGGGAGGCAGAGATCAGGGCGATCATAGTTCAAGGTCAGCCTGGACAAATAGTTCGTGACACCCCCATCTCCAAAATAACCAGAGCAAAAATGGACTGGAGGTGTGGCTCGAGTGGTAGAGCACCTTCTTTGCTAGTTCAAAGCCCTGAGTTCAAACCCCAGTCCCACAAAAAAAAGAATTCTATTTTATTTATTTATTTATTTGTTTGTTTGTTTGTTTAGTGGCACTGGGGGTTTGAACTCAGGGCCTACACCTTGAACCACCCCACCAGCCCTCTTTTGTAATGGATTTTTTTCTAGATAGGGTCTGGAGGATTATTTGCCTGGGCTGGCTTTGAACCACAATCCTCCTGATCTCTGCCTCCTGAGTAGCTAGGATTACAGGTGTGACTGTGGCACCCGGCTTTTCTTTATAAATTTATATTTGGAAGGTGTTTCTGTTTCACTTGACCGATTTATCGCCTGGTTAAGGATCACATATGTGGTATACCTCCATATGTGGCTATTTTTATTATATGCTTGACATATGGCTATTGTGTAGTTGAGTGTCTGAATTTGTTGTCATCCTTAAAAGAGTGTTGGACTTTGACAGGTGCTTAAGGTACTTGGGGACCAGTGTGGTTCTCTGGCAGACTATTTTCAAGCTTCCTCAGGGCAAGATGAGAGAAGTCTTTACTGTACGGCTAGTGTAGCCTTATTGCTAGGGTGTGACCTTCTGGATTTTCATTGACCAACATCCTGGATTCTCACCCTGTGGGTTTGTAGCTTAGCACACAGCGTAAAACCCAAGGGGACTTCTATGCAGAGGTTTGTAACAGATACTCCGGAGTTATTGTTGGGTAACTACGGAGGAGTAAAACTGCTGGTCATAGATTCTGTGAATGCCCAGCGTTTTTATGTAAGTATAAGGTCAAAATACTATTGGCCACCCATCACACCGTTTCTTAGCTCCATTTGCCCCATCTCACCCATTCGCTCAAGAGATCCCCATGGTGATCTCTTCGAGTTCCAAAGCATCAAATAAAGTCTGTGTTGACGGCTCTGTAGTTTCTCTCCAGCCTTCTACAGTCTTGTGGGAACTGCAGGTTTTAGGTCCAAGCCTCTGCTTGGCAGCCCCACTGGCTAATCTACTAGGAGTTTCAATGTAATAAGTCCACAAACAGCTCATTGCTCACCCTAAACTTGCTTCTAATCACAAGTCCTCCATCTCCATGAAGAGTTCTTTTGGTCAAGAAAAAACCTTAGCGTTGTCCTCGATTCCTCCTTTCTCTCAACGCCATGTCCTGTCCATTGACAAATCTTGTCAGCTCTCCCTTCAAAATCTCCCCAGGAGTTGAGCGCCTCTCCCTGCCTGGCCAAACCCCCGGCCTCTCATGTCAACCACTCCCTTTACAACGCCAAGCTGCAGAAGAACTAGGAAAGCACTTGCATTATATGGCATAAAAGGGTACTCTCATGTATGGAAAATACCTAGATTCTAGATTTTAAAAAAATACAATTAATGAGCAAATAACAGGATTAGACAACTGAAAGAAGTACATATGGTTTTTAAATATATAAAAAGAGAAACACAGTCAGGTGCCAGTGACTCACACCTGTAATCCTAGCTACTCAGGAGGCAGGGATCAGAAGGATCATGGTTTGAAGCCAGCCCCTGCAAATAGTTCACGACACCATCACATCACAATAGTAGGGCTGGTGGAGTGGCTCATGGTTTAGGCCTTGAGTTTAAACCCCAGCACCACAAAAAAAAAATACTCAACACAAAAAAGGGCTGATGGAGTGACTCAAATGGTAGAGTACCTGCCTAGCAAGTGTGAGGTCCTGAGTTCAAACCCCAGTACCAAAAAAAAAAAAAAGAGAGAGAAATGCAAATTAAAATCACACTGAGCTCAAACAAAAATGTGTACACAGTGTTCATAGCACCATTTACTTAGCTAAATAGTGAAAACTCTCCAGCAACAGAGGAATAGATAAACATGATGTGTTGTATCCCAACAATGGAATATTATTTAGTTATAAAAAGAAATGTGGAGCTGGAAGTGTGGCTCAAATGGTAGAGTGCCTACCTAAGCAAGCATCAGGCCTTGAGTTCAAATCCCAGTAACTCCCCCTCCAGAAAAAAAAAGAAATGTGGAAATGTGACTGAGGGTGTACCTCAGTGGTAGATGAACACTTGTGTAGCATGCACAAGGCCCTGGGTTCGACCAGCACTACAAGAAAAGGAATGAAATTCTGATGCATGCTACTACATGGACAAACCTCAAAAATATTAAGCTCAGGCCAGGTGTGGTGGCTCATACCTGTAGCCTAAGCGCTTGTGAGGAAAAGACAAAAGGATTGTGATTTTGAGGACAGCCTGTGTTACATAACGAGACCCTGTCTCCAAAAACCAAAATTAAGAAATAAATAAAACTTCACACTGAAAGGCATGTCTCCCATCTCAGGCACCCTGCGCGTGAGGCTCAGAGGAGCCCTCCCTCTTACACTGCTGGTGGGGCTGCACAATAGGACGGGCCCTGGGAAAAGGAGTTTGCCAGTACCTGCAGTTTTTATTCTGCGGCCTAGAAAAGAAGGACGAGTCTGTATGTGTGTGATAGTGACAGGCGGGGAGGATGTCCAGAGATCAAGTGGCGCTATGTAACCAGGTATAGAGCAGCATGCAAACAGGCTACGTTTTGTACAAAAAGATAAGAGGCAGAAGTATTCTTATGTGAGCTTGTCCTTGCAAAGAGAAACAGGACAGAGAACCAGGAGGTGAATAAAATGGGATCTTGGCTTGGGTCATTGTGGGAACATTGCCCTTTTCATGCTGATGTGTGAACTATGTGAATACAACAGGGCCTCTGCTGGACAGTTCAAGGCAAAAGAAAAGTACCATTCACCAGGTTGCCTTACCTCCCTCCCTCTCTTTCTCCTTTCCTCCTCCCCTCTGTCTTAGCCTCTCATCTCCAACCTGCTGTTTCCTCCACCTGGAATGTTCCCTCCTGCCTTGGAATGGCTGACTTCTTGTTCATTTGGACGACAGCATCAATGTGCCTCTGTACTAGAAAGGCTTCATCTTGCTTCATTTTTTTGTACTCTCTCTTTTACAGTACTGGAGATCAAACCCAGGACTTCATGCATATTAGGCAAATACTCAACAACTGAGCTACATCCTCAACCTTTCTCTCTCTTTTTGTCTACACACACACACACAGAGGAATGCGGGAATAGTGGGGGCCTGGGGACACAGCTCGGATACTGAGGAACTCTCTTCCCACCTGAGACCCACCATAGCCTCGCCATAAAGAACTGCTGCGCTACCTGAGTGCCCCAGGGAAAGCAGGGCTGGCTGTTTCAGCTAGGCCTTCCCTTGCAAATGCCCTTTCTCCCTTCAGACTCATGTTCCCACCCCATCCCCTTCCACTTCCCAGACACATAGGAAATGTGCAGAACAGGCCAATCCAGAAAGAGAAGTAGAGTAGGGATTGCCAGGGGCTGGGCAAAGGGGAGTGGCGAGTGGCGGCTAAATGGTGTTTGGGATAATGAAAATGTTCTGGAACTAGATGAAGGTGATGGTGATAGTTGCATGACATTTTGAGTACACTAAATGTAACTGAATTATATCGTTTCAAATGGTGGAATTGGGGGTTTGAACTCAGGGCTTCACACTTGCAAAGCAGGTGCTCTACCACTTGAGCCAAGACTCCAGTCCAGTTCTTGGGATCTCAAGAACTATTTGCCCAGGCTGGCCTTGAACCTCGATCCTCCTAATGGAGCTCAGCCTCCCAAGTATCGAGGATTACAGGCATGAGTCACCGGTGCCCAGCTGAGGAATTTTTTTGAGACAGGGCCTTGCTGTGTAGCCCAGGCTGTCCTCAGACTTGTGATCCTCCTGCCTCAGCCTCTGAAGCACTGGGATTACAGATGGATGAAATGAAGAATTTTATGTGAATTTTATCTCAAAGAGTTTATAAATAGAATCACTGTCGCACGATGCAGGTACTCCAGCTGTGACACGTACACTTCTTTATTGCAAAAGAAAAAAGCAGTAATGACAATGGCAGGAGGCCAGGTGGCGAGCAGCTACCATCTTCACAGAGTACTGTGGCACAATCCCAGGGGAGCTGGGCGCCTGCACTCCTGGAGATGTGGGGTGTGTAGGGGAGAGCTGAGGCCATGCCACCTCCTGGATGCTCACCGGATCTGGTATGAGGACAAGGGGGCACAGGGGACAAGGAAGAAAAGCCAGGAGATAAGCAGGGGCTGGATGGCATGTCATTTCTGGTTCTTTTCTTTATTCTGAGACAGGGTCGCCCTATGTAGACCAGGCTGGCCTCAAACTTGTGATTCTCCTACCTCAGCCTTCCAAGTGTTGGCATTATAGGCCTACACCACTACGCCTGGCTAGTCACCTCTGGTTCTCTAGCAGGACAGTCCTGCCCACTGAGAGTCAGGATGGCTCCCACTCCCTACCTTGGGCTGCCTGCCCCAGCACCAGGGCCACCATGGAGGGGTCTCCTGGTGGCCCAGCCTCCCCATCTTCTCACCGTGTACTTGTCCCACTTCTTCTCGGGGTCGTAGGGCTCCCAGCGGCTAGCAGGGAAGATGTGCTTATTCTTCTCATACCAGCTCCTCAGCACCACTTTGCCTGCATGGGACTGAGGAATTGAGAAGGCTGGGCCTTGCTGCTTGAAGCCAATCTGCCTGACCTCCCCTTCCTGAGACTTCTCCCCAGCCTAGGGACACCTGGCCTGCCAGGCTCAGGGCACCTTTCTCTGCCGAGTGCCCTGGGACCACCATACCTCATCCTTTTCCACAGTGGCATCACTCAGCAGCCGCACATCATCGTGAACATCAAAGTTAAAGAGTGGCCCTGCAGGGGTGAAGCAGTCATCCCAAAATCACGCTGCTGCCCCAGCCAAACATACTGGGGCAAGTTGGGTGTGGAGGGCCTAGGCTGGAAGCACTCACCACTCTTTCCTCGCGCCTTGGTGACGATGAAGTCGTAGAAGCTGTGATGCTAGGAGCCAAGGGGCAGGAAAGGTCAGCTTGATAGCCCACCTTAGCCTCTCACCCATCCCCCGCCCTCCCACCTGCAGGCTGGGTGCAGGCCCCTTTGTGCCCACTAGCCTCGGAAGAGCACAGAGTGCTGTGGGGACTCCTACAGAAACCCAGGGGTGTGGCACCTACTGCATGAGCCGGGGCTGAAGGAACTCACATGGGGGATGATTAAGTCCTCCTTGATGTACATGAGTTGCTCCACCCCTGCTGACCTAAGGGAGAAAGATAGGAGGGTATGGGCAAGCAGACAGCATGGGTAGCCCAGGCAGGAAGGAAGCAGCCAGTCACGGAGACTCAGCAGTAGGGGCTGGGAGGTGGCAACCACAATACTTTAGTTCTGTGGTTTAGCAAGCCTGGGACTGACATCCCACTGTCTGTCTTTGCGCCATGGCTCCAAGGCAGGGCACTCCCACCTAAGTGCTCGCTCTACAGCAAGAGGGGGCAAAAAGGAGACTGACGACTGTCTCCTCTCTAGGAAGCACAGTGCCCAGCATGCCACCTTCCTAGCTGGGGAGGAGCAGTGGGGCCATAGGCTGTGCTCATGTGGAGAGGCACACACGCCCGTTACCTGAGCTCACTGAAGTCTTTACGCAGGATCTCGAGTGCTTTCTGTAGGAACTGCTGCATCGTGTTACCCTTTTTCATCTATAGAAGTGGCCCAAGAGGTGGCATCCGGGAATCCAAGGAGTTAGGAAGAGAAGACAAGAAGTCTGGAGCAGCGCTCAATTAGGCAAAGGCCCAAAGGCCCTCGTTCTCCCTGCTGCCCTCAGAATCCCCAAGGACTTCCAAAGTCAGTTCTTTCCCACTGAACCCAAAGGAGGTCCCCCACTGCCTACCTTGACTGTTCGTCGGTGCCCAGAGCCATCCCAGTAACTGAAGGTGATTTCAATCTCCTCGCCTACAAAGCAGAGTTGCTTCTTGGGCTCCAGACCCAGTCCCCACCCCCAGGGCTTCCTCAGAGTGCGGCACAAGGCCAGGAGGACTGGTAGCACAATAGCTGCTCAGGCCTCAGCCCTGTGCTCTCCTAGGGCTCCAGGGTCCAGAGTCAAGCACCACTTGCCCAGCTCTGCCAGTACTCACTCTTGATCTTCTCCTGCTTGGCTTCCCACTCCTGCCGCAGCTCTTCCCGGAGCCGATTCTCTTCCTCCTGGGAGAGGAAATGGGTGAGGAAACGAGGCCCAGGGCTACTCAAAGAGCATGCAGAAGTTCAAGGCCAAGGTCAAGGTCAGGGCCAGGCAGCCTTTACCTCCCTGTCTCGGTCAGGCAAGAAGCTTGTATCCACGTCTGGGTTCTTCCCCAATTTCCTTTTCTTTGTGGTGATCTCTAGAGCGAAAGGAGTAAAGAATGCCTTAGTATTATTCTGAAAATGGTTTTGGCCTCGTGAACCCCTATAAGGGTCTCTCAGACTCCTGGGATCCCTATGGCAGACTTTGATAAACACTGACCTAGAAGAAGCATAAACAACAAAAACCAAAAAGATGCCAGGGTCCCATTGCTCAGGCCTCTAAAATGAAATCTCCAGAGGGAGGGAAAAGCCCATCAGACAGTGTTTTATAAAAGCCCCAGTGAGCATGCTGTACACCAGTGAACCCTCACAGTGAGGTTGACAACCTTTCCGCAGGCCTGTGAAGTCCAAAGCAGTAGCTCCTAGGACAAAGAGCCCTGAGCACCTGGGGCTCAACATGCAACTAACTCAACACAAGCTAAAATGGTAGTACTGTGGGTATGGTATCTGGGTTAAATACAATATATAAATTTATGGTGAAACTAATCAGAGTTCAAAATTCAGTGTTCAGTGGCTCCTTGCAGCAAACTGTTACCACCCTGAGCAGGGCAGACAGGAACATCTTCATTATTTCAAAAAGTTTGAGCAGCCAAGCCTGGTCCAGACTATCTTCTCTCCTCCCTCAACTACTACATGTACCGGTACCTCTACGGGAAGCTTCTGGATCCCTCTAGACCACAAGCCAGCTTCACTCTGACAGCCTCTCACACTGGTGGCTCCAGTCCAGGGACAGTAGGCCAGGCTCTGACTCAATTTGCCAATGACAGTGAGACCCCTGGCTTTCAAAATGGTTCAGTCCACCAGGATGCCTGTCATCCCAAGCTCCACAGTAGGTCAAGATTGGGAGGATTGCATTTCCAGGCCAGCCTGGGCAAAAAGGTTCTTGAGACCTTATCTCAACAGAAAAAAAACTGGGCAAGTGGAAGAGCACCTGCCTAGCAAGCATGAAGCCCTGAGTTCAAATCCCAATTACTGTCAAACAAACAAAAAGAACAAAAACAGTGCAGCTGGGCACAGGTGGCTCACACCTGTAATCCTAGCTACTTCGGAGGCTTAGATCAGGATGGTGGTTTGAGGCCAACCTGGGCAAGTAGTTGAAGAGACTCCATCTCCAAAATAACTAGAGCAAAATGAACTGGAGGCATGGCTCAAGCAGTAGAATGTCTGCTTTACAAGTGTGAGGTCCTGAGTTCAAGCCCCAACCCCACCAAAAAACAAAACAAAAGCTCCCTGTCTTCCTTCTTGCCCCAGGAGAGATCCAGGACCATGAGCATAGCCACTGAGGCTAGCTGGAGAATGTGCTTCTTCCTTTAGCCCAAAGTTAGGATGGAGCTCTGGTGGGCAGGGCCCTCACCTTCCCTTTCCAGTTCCTCCTCATACATGGCCATCTCTTCCTCCTCTTCACCTCCCTCCTCTTCTTCCTCCAAGGTGAAGGACAGGCTAGAGATCTTCCGCTTGGCCTCCTTCTTTCGCTCCTTCTCTCGAAGCTTCTCTAGCTTCCTACGAAGGCATGGGTGGTCATGATACCCCATGTCCCTTCCCCACCCTGTGTGATCAGTGTGGGGCCCACCCAGCACAGGCTGGATCTCTCCAGTACACCAGAGGGATCCTATTGCCCTGGGTCACTTCAAGCTCATGGACAGGGCTGATTACAACAGGTACAGAGGGACGCAGGGGTCACGGGACAGAGAGGAATGGGGACAATGCAGGCTTTTCAGGGCACAGAAAGGACTCACCACTTTTACAGAGGTACAAAAAGAAGAATAAACGGTGACGGTGAGAAAACTAGTGTGGATTCAAACTAATGCCACATCTGTTCCCAAAGGAGGAAGTGGTGTTACCCTATGGAGCAGGAACAGCCTGACTCCCCAGGGAGTCCCCATAGCTGCATCTTGAGGGGAGGGCTGCCCCCTGAGAGACAAAGGAGGAACCTACAGCTGCAGCTCCTTCGACTGCTCCTTCTTAGCCAGCTGCTTCTCTCGCTCCTTCACCAGGGCCTCCTGTTTGGCCTTCATATCATTCAGGGTCACGAGACCTGTGAGTTAAGGAGACCCGGGGGAAGGGTGGTCACCCAGGGCCAGTGAAGGAGCAGCCCCTGGGCCTGGGAGAGGGTGGCATGTGTGTCCTGCTCACCCACAGTGCTGGACTTGAGCTCCGCTTCCACGGCATCATAGTGTGCAGAGAACTTCTTGTCAATGTTGGATTTCATTATGTTCTCCTGCAGGGGAGGAGGCGCACCAGTGAGGGCCACCCACCACCCCATGATGGAAGTGACAGGCCAGCTGTTGGAGACCTGAGTTCTCGTTCTAGATTGACCCCTTTGCTTTGTAGGTAGAAGAATCCACGAGGCTGGGAGGGCACTGCCAGTGCTAAGGGAGCCAAGTGAGATCATTTCCCATGGATCCCTGCACCACTCTGGCCCCTGCAGTTCTCCTTCTGAGAACCAGAGCTCCCTCAGTGGACTGCAGCCACAGTCCCTACCCACCACCTTTGTCCGTTTTCATGCCCCACCTTTACGCTGAAGCTCCTGAGACCCAAGTCAAGGGCTGTCAGGAGAGGATAAAGGAGAAAAGAATGGTTGGAGGGCCTTGCCCTTCCCAGAAGGGCTTCCCTCTCTTCAGCTCAGCCCCATCCCAATGGGTATCATGTAGTCCCGCGCTCCAAAGTCTCCAAAGTGGCCAGCAGAGAAATATACCTTCAGCTTGCCAGTGGAACCAGAGCTGGAAGACTCTGTGTCAAACACAAAGCATGAACCTGAACGCTGGTTTCTTAGGCCTGGCTTCCCACTTACCTGAGGTAGGAGCCTGATCTGCCCTGGAGCCCTAAGCCCCTGCTCTTCTGATGAGTCTCCCGCAAAGGGTCCAGCTGAGGGCTTCTTGGTCCTGCATCCTGAGCCAGCTAGCACTAGCCACTCACTGAAGCACTAGGGGAACCACTAGCAGCCCAGAAGCTTGCGCCTGCCCCTGTTGTGGGTGCAAAGGGTGCTGAGATGAGCCTCAGTGACCTGCCTCTGTGCCTCTCCTCTCCAGAGGAAGAGCTTGCCCTTTCCGGTATACATTGGATCTGAGCAGAGCCCTAGCTCTGAGGACTGAGAGCCTGAACCTGGAACCTCTGTGCTCAGGAGAGGCGCCAGGGAGGCCCGCTCACTCCAGTACCACCGACTAGAAACAATGACTGTGGCTCCCTTCTGCTGTCTCAGTCCCTGACACGGTCTGCCTCTGGGCCCATTTTACAGATGGACCGTCGCCAGCTTGCTTCTGTCAACTGCCAGAGGTCTGCAAGTAAGGGCTCCGCCCCCGGCGCGGGGCCCGCCCTCCAAGCGCTCAGCCAGTTGCCCGCTGCCCGGGATTTCCCAGAGCTGAGTGGAGCTGGGCCGCCAGGGGGCCCGCGCGGCACGCATGCTCCGAGGAGCCTGGGCCCTCCCGCACCTCTGCAATCCGCTGCTTCATCTGCTCCATCTGCTCGCGCTGCTTCTCCCGCTTCTTCATCAGGTGCATGGCGCGGCCCGCCTCACTCGCGGCGCCCTTATACTGAGCCATGGCGGCGGCGGTGGCGACAGCGACAGTGACAGCGACCTGGCTGAGTCTTGGCGGTGGCGGCCGTTCAGTCAGCTGACACGTGACGTCAGCCGCCAGGGAATGCGCGGGCGCCCGCCCCGCCCCACGGCCTCGGCACTGTCACGTGACTGCAGCTCGCTCCGCCCCACGGAGGCTGAACCCCAGTCCCACGCACTGACGCCGGTGAGACGCCGGCAGGTTGGGCCTTATCTGCCTGCTAGATGGGCACAGACGCTGGGTGCCCCGGTGGCCTGCGCTTCGACGAGTTAACCTCGACCTCAAGCTGAGATTCCGGTTCCCCTACTTCCTTTTTCTTTTATTATTCATATGTGCATACAAGGCTTGGTTCATTTCTCCCCCCTGCCCCCACCCCCTTCCCCTACTTCCTCTTGACCCTAAGGCTAGACGCCGCTCCTCCACTTCCATGTTGAGCCGGCTCAAAGCCACACCCCAATTCCTGTGTCTCTTCTCCCCCCAACCCGAAGTTGAGCCTTGACCAGGACTCACGATACCCCTCTTCGGCGGTACTCCGCTTTTGACTCTCACCTGGGGCTAGGGCCTGGGTCTCCTTTGCCGCCCAAGGCCCCCGAGCTGGATGGACCCTGGCCTTTTTTTAACTTGAGGCAGTGTTGCCATATAGCTCAGGCTGGTCTCCTACCCACTCCGTACTGCTGGGATTTCAGGCGCACACCACTATACCGCACTGCCCCGTCCTCTGGATTCAAGAGGCTAGTGTGCACACTGACCTCCACGAATAGACCAGCTGCTCGTTCCCATACTTCTCTCCTGCATAGAACCCTGAGGATACAGCCCAGTGCCATAAGCTGGGCCAGAACCCCAACCCAGGCAACCAAGGCTCTACCAGGCACACAGCTTCTGGGAAATGAACCAGCTCAGGTTTCAACAGTTTTATTGGGAGGTTTTGTTTTCTGTGAAATACACTAGAGGTTGGGGAAGGAGACACAGTCACTTTGCAAGATAAGGGTTTCCCACCACTAAAGGAAAGGTATGGGGCGGGGCACACTGGGGTTTGGATCCATTTTCCCACCTCCTTCTGCTTTGCTTACATTTTTTTTCTCAGCAAGTACCAGAGAACACAAACACAAAGACAAGGAATAAAAACATAAAGATCAACCTCCAAGGGGCCACACCTGAACCTCTCCTTCCCTAGGCTTGGCTAGGGCTGGGAGGGCCCAGTGTGGCTCATTCTACAGCCTCCAGGCTACACCAGAAGGCTGTGGGCTCAGACAGGGTGGGCCAAAGTTAATAAATTAGAATAAATTAGGGGGGAGGAATGCAATTTTGTGCTGGGAGGGCCCCTTCTCTCCAACACGCAAGACTTGGTGGGGGAGGCAGGGAGCATCTCCAAAGGCCACTACAGTGGGGGTAAGAGCAGTGGGGGCAGAAGTCAGCTTTTCCTCCACGTCCTTCCCAAACTAGAGCAGAAGAATTGGGGGCGGGGGAAGAGACACACACAAGGAGAGGAATCCTCTTTTCCTAGGATAAGGAAGGGCCAAAAAAGAGGATGCTATCCAACTCCCATCTCCCAAACCATCGCTAAGGTTAAAGATTTGGTCAGTGAATCAATGAGGTGGGTGATGGGAATGTGGTGGGGGAAGCAGAGGATGCTGGAAAGAGGGGTGCCCAGCCATACCATCTCCCCAGCCCTTGAGAACAGACACAGGTCAGGGAGAGGGCAGCAGGGGCTGGGGGAGGGCAGTCAGCAATCACTGGTCAGCTTCTCCAAAGACATCATTCTGTTTACGCTTCATGTTCTCAAAGTCAAAGGCAGAGCCAGCCATGCGTTTATAGATGTCTTTGATGTCATTGCAGGTTGTCTCAAAGTGTGTGGTGGCATCATAGGAGCAGGAACAGAACACCTGGAAATAGAGCCAGAACCCAGGGCAAGTCAGGCAGGGACCCTGGGTGGGCAGCCAGAGCCAGGGCTGGGACAGGTTTCTTACCTGGCTCTCAGAACCATCGTCAATGGGCTCGTACAAGTCACTGATAGCCACAAACCTGAGGAGAAGATAGAAGGAAGGGGAAAGGAGAAGCCTCACAATGGGCCTTGCTCTTCCTGGTCTCCACCCCCACTTCAGGGGCTGGCTCACCACCCCCATCAGGTTCAGCCCATCCCCTCACTTCTGGTCAATGGGCTCCAGCAGCTCCAATGCCGGCTCAACTTCTTTTTCAGGCTCTGCAGTCTCCACTGTGGTGCTGGCAATGGCGATGTACTTGCCCTGTGCAGCTACATTGTGCGCATAGGAGATCATGCACACGTAGATGTCTGCTCACAGAAAGGGCGCCGTTAACGTGAGCCAGAGGGAATAGCTACATGTGAGAAGGTTCCTGGGGGCTGCACATGATTCTGGCCCACCTGCCCCTTCCCTGCCCCAAACAGCAGGCAGCATCCAAGCTGTCACCCACAAGGAGGTGAAAAGCTCAAGCCATCCAATCTCTAGGGACCCAAGCTGTGGTGACTACTACTAGTTCCCATTTGTTTCATGACAGGATAGCTCAGCAACCCCACAGGAAGTAGTCGTGTAGTAGCCTGGCCTACCTGACTTCCTATTGACCTGGTTCTGGGGGATGATGATTTGGCAGGAGTTGGCATCGCTGGTGCTCTTGATGGGGTGGCTGAGGATGCAGATGATACGGATGACCTGCCCAGCTTTCCGAACGCGGTCGGGGATGTAGCTGGGGTCACAGATCAGCTGCTTGCAGCGTGCCACCTGTGAAGGCACCAGAAGGTCTTGCCCCTGTCAGATCATTCTTTGTCCCAGGTGGTGGTGGGGTGGCCCTACAGTGAGGGCAGGCAGAGCTTCTGAACTGTTGCCACTGCCCCGCCCATAGTGCATGGCACTCCCTACAGCTCAGGGAGGTGAGCCCCAACACACAGAGCTGGGCAACTCTGCTACTCACACACATGATTAGGACCACTCCAGGTTTCTGTCTATTTTTACAACAGTGTCTAGCTATGTAGCCCATGCTGGCCTCAAAGTCATGATCCTCCTGCCTCAGCCTCCTGAGGGCACATGTACTATTTATACCCCACCTCATGAACACTTTCTGGACCATAGACAGCATGTGGCTTTTCAGGGATACCTTTTGCCAACAGGACTGGCTACGTAGACTTCTTTTGGAAACCCCAGTTTCCAGTTCTGAGGCCCTTGGGGCTGAGCAGCAGCAAATCCAGCAGCTTTCAGGCTCCCTGGGAACAGAGCCCCTAAGGAGCTGACCAAGCTCTGTCCTAACCACGGTAACCCCACGGCACAGGGAAGGCTTACCTCTCCCTCAGACTTCACGCCCACCACCTTGCCATTCTCCATGATGATGTCATCCACAGGTTTGTTCAGCATATATGTTCCCCCATAGATGGCACTCAATCTGTAGTAAGGAGAGGGAGGGTAAAGTCCCTCCTCCCAGGACAAATAGGGACGGACCAGTTCCACTGCATGCTCCCCAACCCACTGGGGTACAGAGAAGATTGCCCCAGGCAAGTGAAAGTCAGAGGATTCAACAGTTCATCCTAGTTCTAATAGTGCTATAAACTCAGGACCCATCTCAGCATGTTCCTTTCTTCTGCCCAGAATATTCTGCAAAGGGCTAGTGAGGGTAGTATGAAGGAGCAGCTCCACATAGAAGTGACCCAGTCCTGGTGCTGCCAGGAGTTGAGCAAGCCTTGCTCATGAAGATCTCATTTTTTGATTCCATACTTCAATGCACTAGAGCTTTGTCCCTATCACCCAGAGATGGAGCAAGGTAAATGAAGAGCACTGATAGCAAAGAAAGAAATGCTACAGAAACGCTCAAGGTAGCCATTTCCATTATTGGCCTGTCCTACCCAGTAATGCCAACTGAAAAAAGCCTTGTCCTCACCTTGCAAAGCCCTGGGGCAGCTCACCCAGGCCATAGAGTGGGTATAAATATGGACTCTTGCCATACCGGGCCAAGGACTCGCTGTATAACTTGATGCGATTGATAGTCTCGAGACAGGGCTGATCCAGGTAGCTGGGGGACAGAGATGAGAGAAGATGCTCTGACACCAGGATAGCCTTCCTACCACCCTCCGTATGGCCTGGGAAAGATATGGGTCAAATGCAGGGGAAGGACCAAAAGGCAACAGGTGAGCCTGTGGCTGAGTACAAGGGACATGCAAGGTGACAAAAAGGTACTACAGAAGTGTGGGGAGGGCAGGGTGTGGGTTAGGAAACAGGGCTCCCGCCACACCATCTTCCCCTCACTCATCAGTGCGGTAGAGTGCCAGGGCATGGCCAGTGAAATCGATAACATCCTGGCCCAGGTCAAACTTCCGGTAGACGTCACGCATGCTGGTAGTCTGGGGGTCAACACCCTCGAAGGTCTTGGGGTCATTCTCATCAAAGTTTGCCACAAACACCAGGAACTTGCGGAAGCGTCGTTTCTCAAACATGCCCATCAGATCTGAGGAAGGCGTCATGAGGAGACCCTTTGCACCACTGGAACACAAACTCCCCTTTCCACCTGAGTTCTGTCATGTAACTTGAAGTTAATCCCTCCATTCTTTTTTTTTTTGGCAGCACTGGGGTTTGAACTCAGGGCCCCGTGCTTCCTAGGTAGGTGCTCTTAACCACTTGAGACACTCCACCAGCTCCCTCTACCCTTCTTGGCCTGTTTCTCCATGTGTATGAAGAGATGATTGGGTAGGACAAGCTCTACCACTTGGGGATGTTTTGAGGGTCAAGTAGATCCTCTACCAAAAGCGAAAGTCTTTCAAAAAGGAGTGTTCCTTCATGCCCCCTCTACATATAGGCTTCCTTCATGGCAACCTGCTGTAATGGATGGCATGGGGCAACACAGGGACTACAAAACAAGTGGTCTCTGGCACTATAAGCAGAATGTGACCTTGAGCAAAGGGAAGCTCTGCTCTGAACAGCTACCTTGCCACCCATCCTGAAGACAGCCTGCCTTCCCCGCACCCACCCTGTCATTCTCTGTTTCAGGGGACCCACACTCACTAGAAGCCAAGGCCTCAGTCTCAGTGGATGGCACTTTGTAGATCTTTCCTCCCTTGTAGACAAAGCTGCCCTCAACCACCTTGAAGTCCAAGTAGCGAGTCACTTCTGTATACAGTAGCATCTTTACCAGCTGCCCTGTGGTAGGGAATGATACTGTATCAGCATGGCTCCCTGCAGAAGCTCCCGATGGTCTGGATGCCTTTGCTCTGGTCTGTGTATCCCACCACCCACTGCAGGCCATGCCCACACCTACAACACCCACACCCACACTATCTCCATGTCCCTCACCATTGGCCATGAGGAATTTGGGAATCAGGTCAACGTTCCAGTCTCGGCCCCGGCCCATTGATTCAGGGGGTCCCTCCAGCAACTGAAAGCGCTTATATAGCTGTAAGCAGAAGGGAAAGAAAGAAAAACCTCAAGGACTACCCCTCTCTCCCCCACCTTCCTGATAAGAACCTGGGGAGCTGCTTCCACCCTATGTCCCTCTGTGAGAGGCTAACTAACTAGGGGCCTGGGTCCAGGCAGCCTTACCTCCTCCAGAGGTGTGATGGAGGAGCTCTCACCCCCATAGTAGGGGTTCCGGTCCATGTGCAGCACCTTCTTCCCGTTCACAGACATGATGCCTGACAGGATGCATTCCTGCAGGAGGGGCAACAATTGCTGCTGCACTCCCACCTGCCCACACTTTCCACCAGCAGCCCTGATTTGTTTCTCACCCCAAACCTGCCAAATGGACAGTTCCTTTGACACCCTTCCCCAGCATGTTGCACTGCCTAAAATTGGGGGTGATGGCTTTATCTGACCACAGTCTCCTTTATAACCTTGCTGGGCAAAGAGGCAAGCAAGGAGAGAAATAATGGAAGCTCTGAGGGAGCCATGTCCAACAGACACAAGGACAGTCTGCAACCTGCCAAGAAACTCATGTATCACGAAAAGGCAGATAAGACACAATGAGCCATAGAGACTATCCAACTCTACCACCAAGGACATGTGAAAGGGAAGCAAAGGTTAACTCAATCCTTGTAAATGCAGGCCCCACCCTGGGTTGCTCTTTCTTCAAAGGGCAGAAGCCCCTGACTCTGAGCGTTGGCAGCTATATCCACAGAAAGGGTGTCTAGGTTCAGACTGAGGGAGATGAGTCTCAAGAGAGCAAGCCAATGGGGTTTGGACGAAGGGGGAAGATAAACACCCTCACCACTAACTGTCACTAGCCCAAGGACAAAGGCTGTAGATACTACTCAGCCTGAGATCTCCATAGGAAACCAGGGTGGGGTAGTGGGAATGTGGTCACTGCCCCCACTTCTGTTGCTTCTGGAACATTCCCTGCATCCCCTTTTCCCAAAAGTAGTCAGAGAGGCAAGATGAGGGCCCACCCCAGCAAGCCCCCCGAACCCCGTGACTTCGTACTTCATTTCTAGTGAGATTAACAAAAGATGGGAGGGGATGATGGGAAGGGATGCAGAGCGGGTGATGGGTGCAGGCGATGGGTGGGGGCTGGGTGGGCGGGGTCGGGGGGGGCATCGGCTGGAGTGGGGGTTTTCCAGCTCATCGAGCCAAGGTAGGAAAGATGGGAGAAGGCTGGGGGTCGGGACCTGGCTTGGGGGAAGGGCAGAGACGAAGGGGACCCCCCTTCGGGGAGGCGGGGACATGACAGCTGAGCAAAGTAGGTATCTTAGTAGGGAAACAGTGGGGTGGTACGGGGCTGGTTTTTCCGGGACCGGAGAGGAACATAGCAACGACGGGAGGATGGGGCCGGTAGCCGGGGGCTGCATCACCGCAGGGGGTGGAGAAGGCATAATGCCGGGCCACGAGCATCCAAGGCCGCACTTACGGTAAGGCCGGTCCCCAGCACGATCACATCGTATTCCTCATCCATGGTCAGGCCTCGGTGCCAGCGCCCGCTCGGCTCCTCCTCCTCCTCCTCCTTCACCACAGCAGCAGCTACAGACGCTGCCGCCGCACTGAACCAAAGATGGCGGCGCCTGGCCGTCTTCTGACCCCTCCGCCGCGTCAAAGAGTCCCGCCCTATCCCCGCGCCCCACTACGTCCCGCTGGGGCCACCACTTTCCCGGATCGCCTCCCGAGAGAACTGCTGGCCACCAGTTTTCAGCCCCAGCTAGACTCCGCGGGCGACGCAGCTCGCAGAGGGCGCAGAGAGGTGCGGGGCGGGGCGGGTCGACGGTTAGTGCTGCGTCCTGCGAGAAATCCTTGCGCGGGAGCCGCGCGCGCCCCGCCCCGCCCCGCCCCGCCCCGCCCCGCGCGCGCTCGTTCCGCCCCCCGGGAGGCTCGACACGGCCCCGTGGGCCGGGCGCGCGCCGCTGCAGCAGCGGGGAGAGGGGGAGGGGGGAAGAGCTGCCATTGTCACGATGAGCTCCTCCCGAAGCATCGAAGCACAACAGGAATGGACTCTGCCCCAACTGCCCCTCTGTATCTTAAGGGCTCAGGGTCTCAGCTTGATAAAAACCCTCCCAGCCTCTCCACGCCTTGGTCTGGCTGGCCTATATCCAACGCCTCCTCCCTCAGTCAAGTGCAGAAATGAGCAACAAGAGGCCCAACGTATGGCGACCCGTCTTTATTATTTTATTAGGAAGGAAACGGAGCACTCCAGGCTCCTGCCAGGTACTCCTGGTGGGAACATGCCAGAAACCCAGTAAGCATATCCAGTCCACCTGTCATAAAGGTCTTTTCCTTCTAAGGACACAAAAATAAACCCCAGCGTACTGCTTATTCTTATCACATCACACACACACCAAAAAAAAAAAAACCCACCACGGTGACAGTCAAGCTAGACAGACAGTTAAGTAATATTTTCCACCCAGTCCCAAACTCAAGAACCTCAAGCTCCTGGCTGCAGGGAGCTCCATAAAGCTTGGGGAGAGAGCATTTGCCACACAAAAGCTCTATAAACCGCAAGGAGTAATGGTGGAGAGACAAGAATAAATAAGGATAAAGGGGAGAAGGGGGACCCCTCACAATGACTAAGTCTGGGAGACTTGTCTACTATCTATGTAGAATATGTACACCTTGTTGGTAGAGATGTGGGGAGCAGCCCCAGGGAAGGCCCTTGCTGAGGAGGGACCAAGACAGGCTGAGGGGAATTTGGGTTTCATGCTATGGTAGGAAGAGGGGAAGCCCTTGGGTCCAGTGTGCCACAAGGTGGGAAAATGACAATCTGCACACCGTCACCCCCTCAAACCCTCACTGGCACAGGTTACACAATCTGGGTCAAAGAGATGCTGGGGCCCTTGTGGTCATCAAAGCGATCCATGGTCTTGAGGCTGAGTATCATGTGCAGGCCGTAGGTGAAGATGAAAAGCATGAAGAGGGAGGTGAGCAACCCCATCCAGATGCCCGGGGAGAAGAAGCCGGCACAGTCGCTAGCATAGGAGAACTGATCACCCATCACATTGAAAGCCTGGATCTGGAGGACACATGGACACAAGTCAGAAGGTACCACACAGCCCCACACAACAGGAGGCCCAGCAAGGGATAGGTAGCACAAGGACGGCCTCTCGACCACATGCCCAAGCCATGCTGAGACTTTTCGGGCCCTTCCTCCCTTTCCCTCTACCAGTACCCTGCTACCACCAACCTGGGTGGGTCCCACCAGAAGCTTAGCCCCTCCATGTTCCATACCTGGAAGTCCTGAAAGGTCATCTGCCAGAGGGAGGGCTGTGTGCCAGCCACAAGGAGATTGCCATTCTTGCTAAGAGTGCTGACATACTCGCAGTGGAAGGAGTAGATGCTTGGCCCTGTGACCTGGGACGCATTGAAGTAGGCAACAGAACCATTGCTGTGGATTTCGAGGCGCTCCATTGTGAACCAGTGTCGGGCAGACACCGGGTAGAAGTGGCTAGCCAGAATGAACCTGCAAGGATGGCAAGGATGTGAAGCAAGCAGGGGAAACTGGCCACAGCAGCCCACTCACACCTCAACCACCTTCAAGACTCACTTGAATGTCACTGTGGTACCAAAAAGCTGTTCGTAGGTCAGCGAAAGCCTGTGGAATGAGGCAAAGGTGTGTTGTCAGGCTCTGGGAGGGCCCTGAGTGGTAAGTAGTAAGTTCCTCACCTAAGCTTCCTTAGGTCCTCACAACCACCTTGCAGGGGCAGTATCCCCACTTGCCAGATGGGAAAACTGAGGTTCCTGTTATACTAAGCCAGGAACAGAGCTGGGAGCCATCACCCAGCTCCTGCAGCTCCAGCTTAGGTCTCCTTCTTCTGGTTCCCCGACTCCACTGCCCTTCCTTCTTGGAGCTACCTCTTGAGGTCAATGAGCTGCCTGGTTTGGGCTTTGGGGGTGAGGTCAAACAGGAGGATACAGGAGCCCCAGAACTGACTCTGGAAGCTGGTCTGGTATTCACCCATGTGCAGTCCCAAAGGTTGTGCTCAAGGGGGAAGTGATAGGTTCCCAAGGGCTAGGGAACATAGGAAGGCAGAACTCTGAGAATCTTCCCCACCAGCAGCCTCCAGCAGCACCACCCTGTGATACCACCTACATCTCACTGATGACCATATGCACACCCCATCCTACAGACTTGACTCCGGCTTCCAGCCTTGTCCCTGACCTACAGTAGCAACATGTGTTGGCATGGTCCTCCCTAGCCTAGTGCCCTTACCTAGCAATGGATTCATTCCAGGAAGAGCCAGTCAGGTTGAGCTTTGGCACCCCAAAGGTGAGAGAGGTCAGATCTTGCCACTGCTCCCTGTATGCCACAGAGAAGTTTTGGGCCCAGAACAGGATCCTTGGGGCAGTGTCATTGTAACTGACAGGAGGATGGATCACAGCTGATGCTGGCTGTTTTTGAAGCAGCTGGCGACCTAGCCCACCAGCCACCATGGCTACATCACGGGTCACCTGTGGAAACATCCAACAAGCCTTCTCTCAACAGCCCTGGGAACAAGGCCTGACCCACTGTCCCACCCTCCCTTCTCTTCCCACTGAGAAGCCTTCCACCAGCTGAAAGTCCCACCAGTCAGAAGAGACCCTTCCTCACAAAGCGAGATGGAAAGCTGTCCCTGCACGGACAAACAGGACTTGACTGCTCCTCTAATTCTCCCCAGAGATGCCCCATAGGAGTCCTCGCCTGTCCCCACGTGCCCCAGAGCCCTGCTGGAAGGGTGCATACCCTGGAAGGGCGGACTGCTGTGAGTGCTGCTGTGTAAGGGACATCTTCAGACTTGAATGTGCTCAGCACCTGCCCGATGACCTCATCTAAAGGGTGACAAAACAGAGAACCAGGTCACCAAGGAGCCCGCTTAAAGAAACACTCCCCACCACCTGCTTTAGAAACCTTCTAGACTGTGTGAAAAGCAGTGCTTTTAGTTTTCACTGAGGATCCCTAAAAATAGCTATTTCTCCTCCCACCCCCTCTACCTGCCTCCCTGGGCAAAAATGGCCTCAGTCATTGGTTCCCTAATGCCAAGTCCAACTTAAATGAGAAACATCTATAGAGAAAACTCTGGCTTATTGTTTTGTTTTGCGGTACTGGGGCCTGAAGTCAGGGCCTACACCACGAGCCACTCCACCAGCTCTTTTTTGTGATGAGTTTTTTCGAGATAGGGTCTCATGAACTATTTGCCTGGCTGGCTTCAAACTGTGATTCTCCCGATCTTTGCCTCCTGAGTAGCTAGGATTACAGGCGTGGGCCACCAGCGCCCAGCTTAAGGAGAAGACTCTATCTACCCAACTAACTTTCCATGGGGAATGACTGCCCTTTAGAGCAAAAGCAAGTCCTTTTAATTGTTTTTTCTCAATGTTATTGGTATATTAAGTCCAAAACTCTCAATGTTACTGATGTATTAAGTCAAAAACTCTGCATTCACTCAGCCTGAGCACAGACTGGATCCCTGGGCTCTTGCACAGTGGGACTCGTATGCCAGGTGGGGCTGGTTACAGCCATTTCCCTGCCCAGCTATCAGCTGCTCTCAGAAGCAGGGGTCCACCCTGGGAGTGAGGAGGGGCTAAAGAGCTGTGGGCCAGCTTTCTGGTCCTGGCCCAAGGGTGAGATGAGGACATGTATCCACCCTGACCCCACTCACCATTGCCTGTGAGGACTTCCCTGGGTGCCATCAGTCCAGAGCTATGGATGAGACAAAGCATTAGAACCTTGTTTGAGGCGCCACCCTCAAGTCCAAACAGTTGGTTTACAGAAGCTCTCCACAGCCTAGCAACCTTCCCTCAGTCCCTCCAGCTTCTCCTTCTCCACTATCCCCACTCACTGAGCTGGTGCTTTGACAGCCACGTAGGGACAAAGCTCAGCACTGTCACTTACCTCATCCCACTTCTCCCCTGGCTTTACAATCATGCTCAAGTCCCTGTTGCCTGCTTTGCGAACAGGACGTAGGTAATAAAGAGGCTCCCCACAAGTAGGGGCCATGTCTGCCTCATCTCTGGAGGCCCAACAGGCCTTGCTCAATGCTGGGCACCTACTCCTAGATCATAGCCTGGCAGGAGGTCCTTCCTACCTCTTTGGGGCATACAGGGAATCTTCTGGAAGGGTGTCAAGGTGGTGAATAAGGGAGTATGGTCATCTTTGGCTTAACTATGCCACCAGAGTTCAGAGCCCATCTGTGGATCCCAAGGCTAGAGGCTGTGGCTGGGCCACCCAAGCCATACCTGGCCGTGTAGGGCAGGCGGATGAGCAGCAGGGCAGGAAGGCTGGCATTGAGCTTCAGCTCCCGCAGGGTGGCCAGGTCCACATGTAGGGGACTGGCCCCAAGCTTCTCTTGCAGGTAGGTGGTCAGAGTGCTAACTGCATACCAATCAACAGCAGGTAGCACAAGTGAGGAGGGGGCCAGGTCCAGGGCATTCTGGGGGCAGGGTAGAGGCACAAGACTGAGTGAGCAAGAGACCAGAAAACCTGAGATAGCCCCCCAAATCTCCCTGGCAAGGGACACCCACACAGGGGTCTCACAGAGAGTCAGAAAGAAAATGTTCTCCCTTTGCCCAGCTCCTGACACTCAGGCCCTGGGCCCTTCTACCCTCAAAGCCAGCATCTCTGATCCTGAAGGGTACAGTTTCTTTATTCTTTTGCAGCACTGGTGACAAAACCTAGGACCTCACATATGCCAGGCAAGCACTCTACCACTTGAGCAACACCTCTTTCCTCTTTTTTTGTTGTTTCGTTTTGTCTGCGGTGCTGGCATTTGAACTCAGGGCCTACCCCTTGAGCCACTCCACCAGCCCTTTTTTGTGTTGGGTATTTTCAAGATAGGTCTCTCGAGCTATTTGCCTCAGCTGGCTTTGAATTACAATCCTTCTGATCTCTGCCTCCTGAGTAGCCAGGATTACAGGCATGAGCCACCAACGCTCAGCTTGTTTTGTTTTATTTTTGAGACAGAGCTGGCCTCAAACTCTCAATCCCCCTGCCTCTGTCTCCTAAGTAGTTGTGATTACAGGCATGTGCCATCACATCCAGCTCCAAAGGGTATAGTTTCTTTTCTTTTTTTTTTTTTTCCCCAGTGTTGGGGATCAAACCCAGAGCCCTGCACATGCTAGGCAAATGCTTTACCACCGAGTTACACCCCCAGCCCCAGGTACAGTTCTTATTTGGCTGGGAGAGGGGGCGCAGGATGTCCTGTTCCCAAGGCCTGGGACTGGGAGAGGACTCTTACCTCCAGGTTAGAAAAGGCGCTGTCCTGCTTATTTCAAACACACCACCGTATGCTGTGAAATCCTCAATGCTTAGCTAATAGGGAAACAGAGGAGACATCTTAGGAGGTTGAGCAAGGAACAGAGGCCTGTGCATTCTCCCGGCCAGTAAAACCTCCTTTAGAGTCAGATGTGGTATAGGGGAGGAGGGTGAACTACAGGCATGTTTGTGTAGGGATGGGAGTGGAAAGTTCATTCTCCTCCAGCGCTCTCAGGGCAGGATGATAACCAGAAGGTAGTCATGGGTTGGGAGATTTGTGGGCAGCTGGCTTATGGTAACCTCAGAAAGAGTAGTCAGCCTGCAAAAGGAACTCGGGAGGGAAGAGGGAAGCTGGGGGAAGGGAAGTGGACAGGCAAGAACATTTACTGCATGTCTCTCGAGAAGAAAGTGGAAGTCAGAGCAAAGGAGAACCAGCTATGTCCAGTCTGGACAGGATCCTTTTCAAGGAGGTTGAGAAATCTCTACCCGACCATGTTTTGGTGGGAGGGGAGAGAGATGAAGATCTTGGAGTACTCTGGAGGAAGCACTGAAGTCTTTTACACTCTCAGGACCACAGTAACCCCACCCCAATCCACTTCCCTCTCCAACCTACATGTGTCCTTTAACTCCTGCCCTCCACCCCAACCCCCAGCTTCCTCTGGCTTCTCCCAGTTAGGCCCAGAGATGATCTGAATCAGCTTCCCTAACCTCATTCTGTTTACTACACACACTTGCCTAGCCTCCCCACCTTTCTGGGCAGGAATGCTGGCCATCTGGCTGCCTGTGCTGTATCTACTAGGTTTTCTTTAATCAAGATATCACACTACTCCCTGGTCCACATTACCCAAGGCTTTCTGTCATATTTGGAACTGCAACAGACTTTCCACCTCACAGCCTACACAGCCCTGCCTCATCTCCTGGCTACCTGGGAGACCATCTCCTAACCCTTCATCTTACTCATTATGCTCCAGCCACACCAGCACTTCCTTAAGCTCACCAAAAGCACTCCTTTCCCAGGGCCCTTGCACCTGCTGCTCCCCTGCCAGGAATGTGTTTTCCCCAAAGCCACATGGCTTCATCCCTCCCTTCCTCCCTCCATCAAGATGTCGCCTCCTAACTGAAGCCTTGCCCGATCACTCTTATCTAAAACAGTGTTCCCATTCACTCTGTCCCCTGTCAGCTTCCTTCTCCAGACCGTACTACTGATATATATCATACGCCAACTTACTATTTACCAGTTGCCCTCAAAAGAAGGCCAGCTTCCTAGGGTAGGGGTTTGGTTACCTAACACATGCTAAGCACTCCAATCTGACAAATGAATGAATGGAAGAATGTCCAAAGACTGGAGGTCTTATGTAGATTTCTTCTCACAGCCCTCTGACGTGGGTAAGTGTTCATTTTTCACTTGCATGTGTCCAAAAGTAGGACTGCGTTCCAGTCTGAGTACATTATTTACCACCTCCTGGAGGGACAACAGCATGGTCACCACCACCTACCGACACAGCAACCCACTGAGACCAGGCAGGCCACTAACGAGGCAGGGACAAGCAGAGGCTTGACAGCCTCCCAAACACCAATCCTGTGCTGCCTTAGAGTCTTCCTGTGGTCTCTACACCTACTTTGGGGGCAGAGGCCTGGAGAGGAGGGAAAATAGCATACTGGTTTTGAGCACAAACTGGGATGCAGGTCTAACAGACTCAAGTTGGAACCACTGTGCTGTCCCTAACCTTAGTTTCCATGGTCGTAAAACCAATTTAGCACAGTGCATATGGAACGCTAAATGACAGATCTCTTTCTAATTATTCAAGTTATGATCATTACTATTAGAATTACAACTCTGCCAACCATTAGCTGTGTGACCTTGAGCAAGTCACCTCCTCCAGCATCAGTCTTCTCATCTGCAGACAGGGATGATAATCCTCACCACAGCAGAGTAAGCCAGAGAGTATCTAAAGTGCTTGGTGCTTGGTAGGTTTGTGGCTTCTCACCCCTTGTTTCCCTCCAATCAAGTCGATGCTCTCACCATTCCCACTGAAGCTTCTCTTCAGTCCTTCCCAAGAACCCAGTCTCACCTCCCTACAATTGGGACAAGGTCACTGAAGCTTCTCCTGGGGAATGGTGTTGGGGCTGGGGGGAGTCTGCTTGCCTCCCGACGACCTGGACAGAGCAGGCTGAGGCGGGCGTACCTTGTCCTGCAGGAACAGCAGCACATTCCGGGGGCCCAGTTCCAGGGCGGGGTCTAAGTAGGTAGAAAGCTGCATGTCGCTGGTGATGTGACCCTCGTGCGTGTCGGCCACAGGAGCCCACAAGTCCCTGGCAGGGGACAGAAGAGGTGCTGTCATGCGGGGGCGCATGGCTTGAGATCGGAAGCCCGTGGGCTCCCAGCTTGATGCCCGCCGTCACGGAACGAGCTCCTGAGCAAGGGACAGTCCCCGTCCGGACCTCGCAGCCCCTCGCCCAGGACAACCCGGGAGTCGGGGAGAGGGCAAGTCAGCCGCTGCGGCGCGCACCGCAGCCCGCCCCAGCCCGGCCCTGCCCGCCCCGACCCGGCCAGCTCACCGGTCACTCGACCACAATACCAGCGGCACCTGCTGCTCTGCAGCCGCCGCCACTGCCACCAGCAGCATCAGCGGCAGCCACGGCATTCGGCAGAACGCCAGGGCCCACCGCGTCCCGGCTCGCCCAGAGCTACCATAGTCGCCGCCATCATAGCCTCAGCCTTCACTGCCTTGAAGCGCTGCCGCCACCATCAGATGACCATCGCCCCCCCGAGTCCCGCTCCGTCCGCCCACCCCACCATTGGCCGGAGCAGGCCGTCTCTCTAGAGTCGTCCGTGATTGAGCCAAGCACCTGGCACTCACGGGCACTCCTTTAGCCTGGTTGGCTGTGCGTGCCTCGGGCGCTCACGCTACTGTGAAAAACGAGGCGGTCAGCTCCACCAGCTCCGACCCGGCTGGCTGGGCCCGGGCCCACAGAGCCGCACGCCTCGCACCTCTGTTTTAATCATTTTTATTAAAATTGTAAAAAGTGGTATCTTTTCCCCTGCAGATAGGCCTTCCTGATATAGGTGAGAAGAGAATGCGATCCCTTAGAGTGAGGAGAGGAGACGACCAGGATAGCATCTGAGGAACACCAGCTCTTACAAAGCGCAAGAGGAACAGGACCAGAAAAGTAGATGCTAAAAAGCATCGAAGAGAAGAATCAAAACCCACAGGGAAGCGTGGTTTCAAGGACATCACGACTAACAATGTCAGCGTCACCTGCCAATAAATGGCAAATAAGATGAGGAACGAAAACTATTCCTTGTACTTAGCAACAGCTGGTAACTTGACAAGACGATCTCAGTGTGAGTTAGTTGGCGACACAGTAACGGTTTATCGTTTCCTGTGATTTTTGCCTTAAAGAGAGAAAGCAGAATAACAGCCAGAGTCAGAAAATGGAAACCAAGCTCCAAGGGCTCCCTGTGGCCGATACGCACGAGGGTCGCTGCATCACGAGGTCACATGCAGCGAGATTTTTTAAATCTTTTCTGTGTCATTTCTTATTTCTCAGATGGTGATCATTACAAACAACAATGATAAATGCAACCCGAATCTTCAACTTCTTCAGGATGTGTGTGCTGATTGATTTAGGAGGACGCAAACTGATGTCTGCAACTTACCTTGAAAGCACAAAATAAAATGGAAAGAGGGTAGGTGCAAGATCTAAAATGTTAATTAATGGCAGAATCTAAGGAAGTTGGTATATACACATGTTCACTGTAATTGGTGGGAGGAGTAGAACCCAGAGCCTCCTGCTGAGCTCTCGACTGACCTGCACCCTTACGCTTGTTAACTTTTTTTTAAAACCTTCTATATGCACTGTATTGAATGATGTCCTCCCAAATTCTGTCCACCAAGAATCTGTAAATGCAGCTTTATTGGAAATAGGGTCTCTTGAGATATAATCAAGGTTGTGATAATGCCATACTGACAAGTATGGGCCATAATCTAATGCATGGTGTCATTATAAGAAGAAGGAAATTTGGACACAGACGAACAGGGAAGGAGCAGGTGACATGGAAACAGATTGTGGTGATGCAGCTGCAGCCAAGGAAACCCAAGGATTGCTGGTGACACTGGAAGGTAAGAGAAAGCCTGGAATGGATTCTCTCCTAGAGCTTTCAGAGGAGCTTAGCCCTACCACACCTTGGTTTTGGACTTGTAACCTCCGAACTGAGAAAGAAGAGATTTCTGTTGTTTTAAGCTCCCTAGGAAACTAATAACACTACTGATATGTTTGTACAATATACAATAAAGGGAGAGGAAGGTTTGATGATGTCCTTGTCAAGCAAGGGACGTTAGCAATAGTGCCTCCAATGTGGTACAGCCTTTTTGATTTTTTTGATACACATGTTAAATGTGTATGATCTTAACCAACGCGTTTCACTCTTAATGATTTTCCATTCAACCGAAAGCATTCGTTGAGCTCAGATATATCACCATGTCCAATTTGTAGTTGTGAAAACTTGAGAAACTTAGCACTGGCACAGGGGACACAATGCCAGCCACTGCTGCCCTGCATACCTGCCCCTCACACCAGGATGTTTGGTTCTTGAACCGAGGAAAAGGGTGCTGAAAACCCAGATCCTCAGGGATGTGCACCTCATTGGCAGAAGTTTAATCTGCATCTTGTGCCCTGGGTG